TCAGAGTTATTTTGTTCTTGCAGGCAGGATATCATCTCGTGGCAGCTCCCCATGGCTCTTTCGACTTGCTCTGGGCGAGATGAGGGTTATAAGCTGGTCGTCCGGGACCGTTTTGAGGCAGGGATGAGGGAACTGGTGTGTTTCACCCAACACCTACTTGAAGCCGAGGCAGATCCAAATGCACACGGGAAAATCCGGGGACGAATCGAGGCAGCTTCCCGGGAGATGTCAGCAGCAGAAGAGGAGCTGGGAAGGCAGCTGGAGTCGGTAGACGCCACAACCGAGGAGTTAGTAGTGAAGAAGAAAAACCTGCAGGATGAGCAAGAGGAAAAGAAAGGGAACCTCGAGCGCTTAAGAATCCAGCTGGGCTCTTGCCGCAGGTCAGAAAGAGAGGCCAGAGAGATGCTGGAAAGGGCCAACAGACACCTCAGAGAAATGCAGGCCGAGCTGCGGAGACAACGAGAGGAAGCAGAACGCAACCAACTGCAACGAGATATTGGCATCGGGCTGATGTTTATTCCTCTCCTGGGGACAATTGCGGGTGAGTGGCTTGTGCTGTTTGTACCTTACTGCCTCGTGGCGCCTTATCGCACACACTTCGCAGTTGCTACCAGGGATTTAGGACTTGGAGAGACCGTCCATCCACTGGCACGATAGGATGGGGCCACTTAATCCCCTTTCCAGTAGTTCTCGCTCTTCAAGTCTCTACTGAGCATGGAGAACCAGCCAGAAACTGGCAAGCATAAGAGGGCTGGTGAATGGGATGGGGGTCTATCCCCTCTAGGGCATGCTGGCTCCGATCCAGCCCCAGGGATGGGGAATGGCTGGCTCAGGGGTGCAGGGAATGGGGCACGGGGCCTTTCCCCTCTGGGGCAGTGGTTCTGATTCTCTCTCATGGGATGTTTTGTTCTGTACAAAGTACATTGGCAGGTTCTCAGACTGGGTCACCCAGCCCGGTTTGCAGTTTCAGCAGGACACCGAGAGCACAATTCCCTCTTCTTTAGAGATGGCTCATTTCTTGGCTCAGGCCAAATGTTTTGTATGTGGTAGAAGGGGATCTTATCCACCATCCAGCTGGGTGGGTCCTACACTAGGGGGAGGGAACACAAAGAGGCCTCCAAGCAAGTAGATACACAGATGGATGTGTAGGGGGAGAGATAGATGGGTTGTATGAAGATGGATGGATGGATAGATAGAGGGGGTGTATGGGCTTGGAGAGATGGGGCTATATGGGGATGGATGGGGGGGTGTATGTAGATGCATGGAGCAAGAGGGGGGTGAATGGCGATGGATGGATGGGGGAGGTGTATTGGGATGGATGGAGGCAGAGATGGGTGTGGGGGGATGGATGGAGAGAGGGATGGATGGATGGGGGGAGTGTGTGGGAATTGATGGACGGATGGAAAGAGAGGTGTGTGAGGCTAGATGGATGGATGGATGAAAGAGGGGTGTATGAGGATGGAAGGATGGAGGGGGTGTGTGTGGGGATGGATGGATGGATGTGGTATATGGAAATTGATGAATGGATGGAGGGCGGGGTGTGGGGATGGACGGAGGGAGAGGGGGTGTATGGGGATGGATGGGGGTGTGTGTGGGGATGGATGGATGGATGTGGTATATGGAAATTGATGAATGGATGGAGGGCGGGGTGTGAGGATGGACGGAGGGAGAGGGGGTGTATGGGGATGGATGGGGGTGTGTGTGGGGATGGATGGATGGATGTGGTGTATGGAAATTGAGGAATGGATGGAGGGCAGGGTGTGGGGATGGATGGATAGGGGGGTGGTGTATGGGGATGGATGGAGAAATGGATGGAGAGAGGGGAGTGTGGGGATAGGTGGATGGGTTCCATGAATAGAAAGGTCCCATAACCACATATTCACCACACACTTAAGAACCACGTGATTTCAAATAATTTATTGCCGTGTAGTCAGCAATGTAAAACCTTGGGCCTGGTTTAATCCAAACCATTCCTGGCTCTTATCTAGCTCTTTCCCACCTCAGAGCTCAAGTGCTTCACAAAGGAGGGGGGTGTCATTACCCATGTTGTACAGGTGGGGAAACTGAGGCATGGAGCGGGGCAGCGACTGGCTCAAGATGACCGAGTGGGGCCCTGGCAGAGCCAGGAATAGACTCTGGTTCTCTCAAATCCCAGCCCATTTATTCCTGTTTAGCCCGTCAGCACCTTGGCCTGGCATCTGGGCAGCACTGGCCCAACGGGGCCTTGATCCCGTTCGGGGTCTGGGTGTGGCACCCTCCACTGCCCGGAGCAGCAGCCGGGCTGTGGAAGCTGCCCTGCCCCGGTGCCCTGCCGGGGGGGAGCACACAGGAGACTCCCCACAGGGCTCTGGCTGGATACCTGGCCATGCTGCCCCCACCTCTGGGGGCGGGTGGGGGGGGAAGGGGCTGCATGGGTCACTGGGGAGGGCACGAGCCCAGGCCGTGTGTGAGGAGCACCGGGCCCGAAGGGAAGGAGGCCCCAGGCTGGGGCTGCTGGGGGGGGCCGTGGGTCTGTGAGTGGCTGGGGGGGTGAGTCCTGGGGGAATGCCCGTCTCCCCGCAGGCTGCTGGAGGGGTCTGCACCCCACAGCAAGGGAGGGGGTTGGAGTTTGCTACTAGCTAGGGGACCCCACTCCACATATGCAGCGCTTGGGCCCCAGTCTTTGTTGGGGGGTCCATGCAGCACCCGGCATGATGGGGGCCCTGAGCTCTGTTTGGGGGGAGGGGGAAGGTATCTGTGCAGCCCCGGTGGACAGGGCTCCAGACTTGGTCGGGGGGGTCTGTACAGGGCCTGGCGTGATGGGCAGACCCCCGATCTCAGTCGGGGGGGGGGTCTGTACAGGGCCTGGCGTGATGGGCAGACCCCCGATCTCAGTCGGGGGGGGGGTCTGTGCAGGGCCTGGCGCGATGGGCAGACCCGATCTCAGTCGGGGGGGGGTCTGTGCAGGGCCTGGCGCGATGGGCAGACCCGATCTCAGTCGGGGGGGGGGTCTGTACAGGGTCTGGCGTGATGGGCAGACCTGATCTCGGTCGGGGGTGGGGGGTGTCTGTGCAGGGCCTGGCGCGATGGGCAGACCCGATCTCAGTCGGGGGGGGGGTCTGTGCAGGGCCTGGCGCGATGGGCAGACCCGATCTCAGTCGGGGGGGGCGGGGTCTGTGCAGGGCCTGGCGCGATGGGCAGACCCGATCTCAGTCGGGGGGGTCTGTACAGGGTCTGGCGTGATGGGCAGACCTGATCTCAGTCGGGGGGGGTCTGTACAGGGTCTGGCGCGATGGGCAGACCCGATCTCAGTCGGGGGGGTCTGTGCAGGGCCTGGCGCGATGGGCAGACCCGATCTCAGTCGGGGGGGGGGGGTCTGTGCAGGGCCTGGCGCGATGGGCAGACCCGATCTCAGTCGGGGGGGGGGGTCTGTACAGGGTCTGGCGTGATGGGCAGACCTGATCTCGGTCGGGGGTGGGGGGTGTCTGTGCAGGGCCTGGGGGGATGGGCAGACCCGATCTCGGTCGGGGGGGGGGTCTGTGCAGGGCCTGGGGGGATGGGCAGACCCGATCTCGGTCGGGGCCTCCAAGCGCTCATTTAATACCAGTACAAATCGCTATCCCAGAACTAATGACATTCGCTTCCCCCAGGCTCCATCATGGTCGGCTGTGGGCAGGTAGCTTTGGATGCCGCCAATAAAGCTGCAGGCGAGGCCCAGGATGCCGTTCATCGACACACGAACGAAGCGGCCAGGTTCTCAGCAGACGTCCGCAGCCACGAGGAGGAGGAGCGGCGGGTGGAGGCCGAGATCGCGGCCAACGAGCCGCGCCTGGCTCAGATCGACGCGGAGCGGCAGGCGTTGGCCGTGCTCCAGGGCAAGATCGTCGCCCTGCAGAACGGGCTGCGGAAATGTGTTACCTTCATGAACGGGCTAGCGGGGAAGGTCTGCGTGGCTAAGAGGCTCACCGAGGACCTGCTGATCTATGAGGAGCTGGCCAACGTCCTCGGAGAGGTTGTTCAGCACATCCTACCCACCATGAGCCCAGGAGGCGAGGCTGGCATGAGATTCCTGGCTGCGGGGGAACTCCAGGGCCTCCTTGAGAAGTTAAAGTCGGGCGGCCGCAGCCTCAGAGCCCGGGCAGACGCCGAGCCAGCAGCAATAGACTATTAGGGCCACGATTTCCAAAGCCGAAGTCCCAGGCCCACGGCCAGGCTACGACGAGCGCGTGAGCTTCCCTCTATGTTTGAGAATTGTAGCAAGTTAACAATGCTGTTAGGTAGGGTCGCCACCTCCAAGGGGCAAAAAAGCAGACAAACCCAGCCATTGCCCCTCACCCCCACCAGCCTTACCCTCTTCTTCCTCCAGGCCTTGGACCCCCATCCTCCCACCCCGTAACCACTCCTTACCCTCCCTGCTGGCAAGCCACACATCCCTCCGTCCCTTCTCCACCACGTGACCTGGGGCGGTCCTCACAAGATCCCTGGGGTGACTTGGACGAAGGGCTGAGCCACGGAAAACCCAGAGAGGGAGTCAGGAGAAGACGGTGGCTGGGACGGGCCCTTGTGGCCAAGGAAATGTCTATGGGGCGGGGAGGAGGGTATGTGAGGTAAAGGCCTTTTGAAACCAAAACGTGAACCAATCCATTCTGAAAGGTCAAAAGGAACATTTCAACCGTTTTGACCTGAAACTCAAAAAAGAGTCATACAAAAGTGGACCTCTGGGGGGCCTGCTCATTCTGGGGTGTGGCATGAGCAGGCCCCCCAGAGGAAGTTCTTAAATGTAGCAACACACATTAATAATAAAATTATATCAGAAATGGATCCGATTAGCTCGAGAACACCAGAACCTGGGCAAAGTTCCAGTCCCAATCAATCTAAGACGGCAACTCGGATCTATTTCTAGTTCACATCAGATCCTGTTTTGGAATGTTTAAAAATAATTCCTAACGATGATTGTCATAAATATCAAGGGAAGGGTAACCACCTTTAAATCCCTCCTGGCCAGAGGCAAAACCCTCTCACCTGTAAAGGGTTAAGAAGCTAAGGTAACCTCACTGGCACCTGACCAAAATGATCAATGAGGAGACAAGATACTTTCAAATCCGAGGGGGGAAACAAAGGCTCTGTCTGTCTGTGGGATGCTTTTGCCGGGAACAGATCAGGAATCCAGCCTTACAACTGTTAAATTAGTAAGTAATCTAGCTAGAAATGCTAACAAATGGAAAAGATTTCCTTTTGTTTAATGGCTGGTAAATAAGCCGTATTGGAGGGAATGTAGATTCCTGGTTTTGTGTCTTTTTGTAACTTAAGGTTTTGCCTAGAGGGATTCTCTATGTTTTGAATCTGGTTTCCCTGTAAGGTATTTACCATCCTGATTTTACAGAGGCGATTCTTTTACCTTTTCTTTAATTAAAATTCTTCTTTTAAGAACCTGATTGATTTTTCATTTGTTCTTAAGATCCAAGGGCTTGAGTCTGTGTTCACCTGTACCAATTGGGGAGGATTTTTATCAAGCCTTCCCCAGGAAAGGGGGTATGTAGGGCTTGGGGGGATATTTGGGGGGGGAAGACGTCTCCAAGTGGGCTCTTTCCCTGTTCTTTGTTTAAAATGCTTGGTGGTGTCAGCCTAGGGTTCAAGGACAAGGCAAAGTTTGTACCTTGGGGAAGTTTTAACCTAAGCTGATAAGTTTACGGGGTCTTTCATGCAGGTCCCCACATCTGTACCCTAGAGTTCAGAGTGGGGAGGGACCCTTGACAATGATGTTTGAAGGAAAGTATCATGGCATATTTTTGGCATCATTCTGCCGATACTGTTGGCCTCTATAAAGTTTTTGTGGGCACGGAATGAGGGATTTTACGATCAACTCTTTTGTTTAGAAAATGCTTGGATCTCTTCGGTGACTTGACTGACTTAATTCTTTTTATGACTGCATAGGAAAATATTTGTTTAAAGTTTAATCTGTACAAACGTAGGAGTTCAATATATTCGTTATTTTATACAGTGCCAGGTTTACAGTGGCTCCAGGGAGCCAGGCCCATGCTCAGAAGGGGCCCTGGCCTGCTCCCCTTGCACTGCGCCCCGAGAGCCCTCTGGCTCCCCCCGCCCACCACTTGCTCCTCTTGGCCTGCCCGCCAGCTGGCCGAGGGCTCCTCTCCACCTCCGGGCCCCAGCCCCGGCTCCTCTCAGCCCCCTGGCTGGACCCAGCGCGCCTCCGGCTCTGGGCAGTCTCTGCTTCCCACCACCTGTGGGGCCCCACCTGTCTCCCCGGAGCTGAGCCACCTGGGACTGGTGCAGAAGCCTGGCCAGTCTCAGCCAGGTGTGGGTGTGGGGCAATGTGGGGGGCTTGGCTGGGCCCCTCCAGGCAAGTGCATCTTGAGGGACCCTGGCCAGGGCAGGTCCTGGCCTGGCTGATCGCATCACTCCCCGGGGGGGCTAGAGCGATTCCAGCAGGGGGGTGCGTCTGGGGGGGGCGCTGGGCTGTGAAGGGGCGGGGAGGATCTGTGTGTGCTGGGGCACTAGGAAGTGGGGGTTCAGTGACGGGGGGTGCTGGGCAGATGTGGTGGGGCTGCGGGCAGGGGTGGTGTTGTGCAGGGCGCTGTGCATTTGTGGGAGGGTCTCGGGGGGGGGTGCTGGGCATAGTGGGTCTGGGGCCGCTCTGGCCATAGGGAGGGGGGGTGTTGGGCAGGGGGGCTGTGTGGTGTGGCATAGGCCCATCCCCGAGGGGAAGGGTCACACTGGCATTACAGGGCCAGGTGGGCCACTGGGCGTCGGACCTCGCATTGGGCGGAGCGGGGCCGCCCCTGCCATGCCCCATTGCCCCTGGCCGGCCCCTCGCTCTGGGCACCGCCCTCCGTGCCCCATTGCCCCTGGCCGGCCCCTCGCTCCGGGGACCGCCCTCCGTGCCCCATTGCCCCTGGCCGGCCCCTCGGTCCAGGGACCGCCCTCCGTGCCCCATTGCCCCTGGCCGGCCCCTCGCTCCGGGCACCGCCCTCCATGCCCCATTGCCCCTGGCCAGCCCCTCGCTCCGGGGACCACCCTCCCCACGTCATACCCCATTGCCCCTGGCCGGCCCCTCACTCCGGGGACCGCCCTCCCCGCCCCGCGCCCCATTGCCCCTGGCCGGCCCCTCGCTCCAGGGACCGCCCTCCGCGCCCCATTGCCCCTGGCCAGCCCCTCGCTCCGGGGACCACCCTCCGTGCCCCATTGCCCCTGGCCGGCCCCTCGCTCCAGGGACCGCCCTCCGTGCCCCATTGCCCCTGGCCAGCCCCTCGCTCCGGGGACCACCCTCCCCACGTCATACCCCATTGCCCCTGGCCGGCCCCTCACTCCGGGGACCACCCTCCCCGCCCCGCGCCCCATTGCCCCTGGCCGGTCCCTCGCTCCGGGGACCGCCCTCCGCGCCCCATTGCCCCTGGCCGGCCCTCGCTCCAGGGACCGCCCTCCGCGCCCCATTGCCCCTGGCCAGCCCCTCGCTCCGGGGACCACCCTCCCCACGTCATACCCCATTGCCCCTGGCCGGCCCCTCACTCCGGGGACCGCCCTCCCCGCCCCATTGCCCCTGGCCGGCCCCTCGCTCCAGGGACCGCCCTCCGCGCCCCATTGCCCCTGGCCAGCCCCTCGCTCCGGGGACCACCCTCCCCACGTCATACCCCATTGCCCCTGGCCGGCCCCTCACTCCGGGGACCGCCCTCCCCGCCCCGCGCCCCATTACCCCTGGCCGGCCCCTCGCTCCGGGGACCGACCTCCCCGGGCCGCGCCCCCATTGCCCCTGGCCGGCCCTCGCTCCGGGGACCGCCCTCCCCGCCCCGCGCCCCATTGCCTCCAAGGGGGCCCACAGAAGGATAATCCGGCCCTGATTTTATCTACATCTCTCCTTATATTTTCTCCTTTCCAGACCTGAAGGATCCCAGGCCCCAGCGAACACAGTCACAGCAGACCAGCAAGGAGGCAGAGGGCAGGCGGCTGCAGGAAGGGCGGAGGCCAGCTCCAGCCGGGGATAGACACATTGCTGGGCCAAGTGAACGTGACAGTACTTTCCTCTTTCTCCCAGGTGCCATGGCCTCCACAAGCCGGGTCAAAGAGCTCCAAGAGGCTGTTCTCTGTTCCATTTGCCTGGCTTATTTTAACGATCCGGTGATTCTCAAGTGTGGACACAATTTCTGCCGAGCCTGCATCACTCAGTACTGCAAGGAGTCCAAAACCTCCCCCCACTATCCCTGCCCCCAGTGCAGGGACCCCTTCCAGGAAGGGGAACTCCAGCCAAACCGGCAGCTGAGGGCTGTAGTTGAAATAGCCAAAAAATTCCCACACCCAACGGGGAAGGAAGCATGTGAAAAACACGAGGAGCTTTTGAAACTCTTCTGTGAAGTGGATCAAACTCTCATCTGTGTGGTGTGCAAAGAGTCCAGTCGTCACAAAGACCACCCCGTGCTTCCTCTCGAGGAGGCTGCTCTGGATTCCCAGGTAATTTTTGCCTTGGGAAGGCATCCCAGCCCAGGCAGCCTCGAGCAATCAGAACAGAGCCATCTGAGAAATATAAAACCAGCAAGGTAATAAAACTAGCTTCCTACAATGACAAGGTAGAAAAGCAGAAGGGATTTTATACAAGAAGAACGTTGTGGAGACGTGTTTTTCAGGCCTCCTCTGCATACAGGTTTTGTACTGGTCTGTGCTGGTGACGGGTGGGATTTTTTTTTTTTTTAAACAAAATAGTTATATCAGCAAAAGCCCCCGGGTGTGAATACAAGTTGGACTGGTGTAAAGGTGCCTGATGCCAGGAATGCTTGTTTCCATTTCCATGCAGGAATAGGCTATACACTTTTATACAGGTGTAACGACACCCACGCTCGCAGGGCTATATGGCTTTAATAGCACCAGGATATGTAAAGCAGGGTATGATTTGCGTGCCCGAGAGCAAGGGCATCCCCTGTGCAGGGAGAAATCCACGTGGGGGCAGGAAACTCTACAAGTTCCAGCTCACACAGGTTCCTTTTAATCATTGCAAGGTGGGGGGAGCGGGGTTTGCTTCTCATACAGAATGGACAACGGTTGCGGGCCTGGCCCATTCCAGCAGATTTCTTGAAATCTGCGGAGGCAGGGGTAGGTGACCATATTTTCAAAATGAAGATCCGGGGCACTGTTATCCGGGGGGAAGGAGGTGGAGGATCAGGGCGGAGTATTTGGCTGAATTTGAACAGCCAGAGAGCTGGGCTATTAGAGGGCCCCAGCGCGGGGCTGCAAGGATGAGGGATGCCTTGAGGCGGACCCTCCTTTCACTCTCCCGCCACTCCTGCGCTTTTCGATGTGTATTAAGGGACAGCTGCATGACTTCATGCAGCAGGTCCTCTTTGCTTTCTCGTGTACATTTCCTGATTCTTTGGAGTCTTTCGGCCCTTGATAACAAGGACGGCTGGGATCTCAAGGCTGCATCTGTAAAGCCAAAATGCAACACTTAACAGAGGCAGCATTGTTCACACCAGACAGAGCAATGATTCCCCCGTACTTAAAGACAAGCACAGTCTACACAACAGCAGAAACCGCTCATCCCAAAGCTTGCGCACATAACCCCCGGGAGCCCCAAAATGGTGAGCAAGCACAGGGGCAAGGGGGACTGATTGATTCACGGCCACACTGTCTTCTGGGTTTCTGTGCCTCGGGGAGAGCCAACAGCGGCAGGGGGGCCCTATACTGAACACTGTCCCCACATTTTCCACAGGATGAGTTTGTCCTGGAAGAGATCTTGCTGCTGAGGGTGACCTGGGAAGCAAGGGAGGGTCTTCTGCGGCAAGGCGGCTTCCGCCCCGGCCCGTCTGCAGCTTGCCTGTGGGCAGCAATGGTCCCCCCGCCCCTCGCGGCACAGTGGTGGGGACATGTTAGCCTGACTGGGACAAGGGCCACAGAGGCTCTCCCAAGGAACCTGCGCAAGCCCATTGCCCAGCTTCTGCATGAGACCTTTGAAGAGATCGCTGAGGCTGATTGCTGCGATGTGAGAGAGCTCATCAACGCCCTATTCCGCATCTAGGCACGCGGCCCTAACCCTCCTCGCCCCAAGAGCCCGCCCCCAACAACTTCCTTCCCAAAATAAAAGCTGCTTGCCGGGAACCTCCTCTGGAGTTTGTCCTTCCCCAAGCACCGGCCGCTGCGACTGGCTACCTTCCTCCTGGCTTGAGAACAGCTCCTGGCTGCATGCTGGGGGTGCTGGGCTGTCCCCCTCCTCCTCAGCACCCTCGCTCCCGCTTTCCCCCCCCTCCTGCCTGGTTGAACTGGGCTCTGAAGTGTCCAGGGTGCTGCTCAGAGTGGAGGTGGGGTCGCCCCCCAGTATGGCGTCCAGCCCTTTGTAGAAACGGCAGGTTGCGGGGTAGCACCGGAGCGGCTGTTTGCCCCGCGGGCTTTGCGGTGGGCATCCTGCAGCTCCTTCACTTGAACCCCGCACTGCAGCGCGTGCCGGTCATGGCCCCTTTCCAGCATGGCCCTTGATATCTGCCCGAAGGTATCGTAATTCCTACGGCTGGAGCGCAGCTGGGACTGGGCAGCTTCCTCCCCCCAAACACTGATGAGGTCCAGCACCTCGCCATTGCTCCATGCGGGGGCTCGCCTGGCGCATGGAGGCCTGGTCACCGGGAAAGTTGCACTGAGAGCACCCCACGCCTGGCTGAGCAAACAGGAGGGGGATTTTCAAAATTCCCAGAGAGTTTAAAGGGCGGGTCTGACGGGTGGTCACCTGAGGGCAGGGCAGTAGAGTTCAAAGCGATGACCAGCGTGGCTGGAGCAGGCGTTGTGGGACACGTCTGGAGGCCGATCACAGCACACTAACAGACCAGGGCGTCCACACTGGCGCCGCGGTGCTCCAGCCAGGGCGCATCAAGCGTTCGGCTTCTCGTCGAGGTGGAGCACCAGGAGCGCTCCAGCCACGGAGCCACGGAGTCTGCCAGTGTGGACGCGTCATGAGTTAGGGCGCCCGGGGCTGCTTTAATGCGCTCTAACTTCCAAGTGTAGCCAAGCCCTTAGAGAGTCATTTGCAGGAGAGAGAGAGACCTCAAGCATGAGAATGACGGTATAGTCATGTGGTTAGAGCACTCACCCATTTTATTATGCATTTCATATTCTTGAAAATATAAATAAAATGGGGGAAAGCCCTCCAAAAGCAACCAAAGCTAATCCAGTTTTTCTTTTGTTAGGAACAAATTCAGAGCCGTTTGGAGAGTTGGAAAAAAGAGAGAGAAGAGATTCTGTCATATAAATCTAGTGCAGAAAATACAAGCCAGGAACTACTGGTAGGTGCTGTTCTTACTCAGAGACAAATGTGCACAGGGACATTATTGATACTCTGCTTAGTCTAACGGAAGAAGAACAGTGAGAAACATCTTCCCTTCCGTGAAAGTTTATTACTTCTTTATTCTCATTGTAAAGAAGAACTGTTCTGATTTAATTGAGTATAAACAGGAAAATGGAGTATTAAGGAAAGAGTTTTAATAATCCAAATATTTCCATTGATAATGTGAGTGTAATTTGTTTAGCTAATGGTAGTTTTTCTTTTAGTCTTTCAACTAGAGCTGGTCGAAATTCAAACACAAAAATGTCCTGTAGGAAAATGGGATTTAGTAGAAAACAATTTTTTTTCTGTGGGAAAATGTCTTTTGCAAATAAATAATAAAAGTTTTTTGACAGGAAATTTCAGAATGAACAAAAATGTTTATTTTCATTTCAAACTGAAGTTTTAATTTTGGTTTTAAAAAGCTGAAATTTTTTCAAAATTTCAAATGTTTTTTATCCCTTTGTTTCCCCTTTTGCTCCTTTTTGCCACTGAGTACAATAACATGAATAATTTCCAGGTTTTTTCTCCTGGATTTTCCTTTTTCTTTTTGCCAATTTTTCCAAAATGGGAGAACTTTTGAAGAGTTCCAGAGAGAATGGAATAAAAGGAACAAATGGGGCGGTGGTGGAAATGGACATTATTTTATTACATTTTAGAAAAAAGGGGAAACAGAAATGTGAAATTTTTTCCAGTTATTTCATGATATTTTTCAAAGAAATTAAAAGTTGTCCCATTTTGAACACTGAAAAATGGAAACAACTTTGAAATTTCAAAATTTTTTGCAAATTTCTCCCCCATTTTTTGGCTTTACTTTCAACAGCCATAACTGTTAGCATATAAGCCTGTTTGTTAACCTGAGATAGAATTTTGGGTTTGACTTTTGATACTCTTACATCCTTACTAATGTGTGTGAAGAACAAAGGACAAAGACACAGTGTGTGGCTTCTGCCTAGCCAGATGGGTTTGTTAGTATAATGGGAACAGATAAGAACAGGTAAAGCAGATCGAGGGACGTGATCGTTCCCTTCTATTCGGCATTGGTGAGGCCTCATCTGGAGTACGATGTCCAGTTTTGGGCCCCACCCTACAAGAAGGATGTGGAAAAATTGGAAAGAATCCAGGGGAGGGCAACAAAAATGATTAGGGGGCTGGAGCACATGAGTTATGAGGAGAGGCTGAGGGAACTGGGATTGTTTAGTCTGCAGAAGAGAAGAATGAGGGGGGATTTGATAGCTGCTTTCAACTGCCTGAAAGGGGGTTCCAAAGAGGATGGATCTAGACTGTTCTCAATGGTAGCAGATGACAGAACAAGGAGCAATGGTCTCAAGATGCAGTCGGGGAGGTCTAGGCTGGATATTAGGAAAAAAGTTTTCACTAGGAGGGTGGTGAAGCACTGGAATGGGTTATGTAGGGAGGTGGTGGAATCTTCTTCCTTAGAGGTTTTTAAGACCCAGCTTGACAAAGCCCTGGCTGGGATGAGTTAGTTGGGGTTGGTCCTGCTTTGAGCAGGGGGTTGGACTAGAACCTCCTGAGGTCCCTTCCAACCCTGATATTCATTGATTCTATGATTCTAAAGTGTTACAGGGTGACTTTTAAAAACTAACTTTATATTTGTGGATAATCTAAGCACTATGTCAAGATGTACAGACACTCCTTCCCCAACCTGTATATTATATAATTTTTTTAACATTAGCTTTAATAAAAGTTTTAAATATGAGCACACACTGGAAGGCTGCCTGGCTCCTCTCTCAAGCCAAGGTCAAGCAACCAGTTAGGAGGGGCAAAGGAGAATGGGGGGAGGCATAAGAAACACTAAAAGCCAAAGAAAAGCCCGGTCTTGGCCAGGACACAACCTTACTCCTTACCCTTCCCATGGGATACAAAAGAGGTGGGATGAAGATCCCAGACTCACAACCCTCCAGAATGGAACATGACCATAAGTTGTAAGGGGTGTGACTAGGAGCGCGTACTACAGGTATATTTGGACTGGCTAAGAAGGAGGGATGGGGAATGGGGACGTGGGGTAAAGGCTCTGCGGTGTCAGAGCTGGGAAGGGGGGATATGGGGTAAAGGCTCTGTGGTGTCGGAGCTGGGAAGGGGGATGCGGGGTTGTCATGAACATACAGCTAAGGGTAGCATAAAATCCCTCCTTTACCTGTAAAGGGTTAAGAAGCTCAAATAACCTGGTTGGCACCTGATCAAAAGGACAAATGAGGGGAGAAGATACTGTCAAATCTGTAGGGGAAGGTTTTTGTTTTAAGAACAGGAGGACTTGTGGCACCTTAGAGACTAACAAATTTATTAGAGCATAAGCTTTCGTCAGCTACAGCTCACTTCATCGGATGCATGCAGTTTTTGTTTTGTCTTCCTTTGTGTTCTCTCTGAGACAAAGAAAGAGACCAAGCAAGTAATCCAGCTCCTACTGAAATGATACATCTAATTATTACAGGTTTCAGAGGAACAGCCGTGTTAGTCTGTATTCGCAAAAAGAAAAGGAGTACTTGTGGCACCTTAGAGACTAACCAATTTATTTGAGCATGAGCTTTCGAAAGCTCATGCTCAAATAAATTGGTTAGTCTCTAAGGTGCCACAAGTACTCCTTTTCTTTTTGCTAATTATTACAGAAATAGTAAGTAATAGCAAGGAAATGCCTTAGATTATCTTTTGTTTTAGCTGGTGAATTTTCCCTATGCTAAGCAGGAGGTTTATTCCTGTTTTTTGTTTTGTAACTTTAAAGTTTTGCCTAGAGGGGAGTCCTCTGTGTTTTAAATCTTATTACCCTGTAAAATTACCTTCCATCCTGATTTTACAGAGGTGCTTCTTTTACTTTTTTCTTTATAATAAAGTTCTGTTTTTAAGAACCTGATTGGGTTTTTAGTGTCCTAAAACCCCAAGGGTCTGGTCTGTGCTCACCTTGGTTACCTATTTGGTTGGTATATTATTCTCAAGCCTCCCCAGGAAAGGGGGTGAAGGGGCTTGTGGGGGATATTTTGGGGAAACAGGAACTCCAAGTGGTCCTTTACCGGAATCTTTGTCTAACTCACTTGGTGGTGGCTGCGATACCATCCCAGGGCAAGGAATTTGTGCCTCGGGGAAGTTTTTAACCTAAGCTGGTGGAATATAAGCTTAGGGGATCTTTCATGCTGCCCCAGAGAAGGATGGTCACTTAACTCCTAACCAAACCCTACTGAAGTCATTGGAAAGACTCCTGTTGATTTTGGTGAGCGTTGGAACAGGCCCCAGTGACATCGCTGCTTCCAGTGTTTCTGAGCTTGGGTTCTACTGCTCGCTCCCCAGAATTAGTCCTTGCCTCTCCAGTTCTGGATCCTGCACCTGCTATGCTCTCTGTTATCTGAAGGATCTGGTTTTCCAGATGCCACGGATCACAGAATATCCTCACAATGCAAGATACGTTCATGTTCTAAACACCCGCCGGGACTCTTGAAAATCTATTGAAAAACCACCTGTCTACTGAGCATAGAGCATGTTCTCCATAAAATGTCAGGAGTTAAATGCTACGGGGTTGCAATGACATGCTCCCATGTGCACACATAAGGCTTTATAAAATGTCCCATGACTCACTCCGTGTCCCTGGCCTTGACCTGCGCTTTCCCTGGCTGTATCTCGTCATTTCAGAAACAGCTAGAAACTGAGAAGCAGAAGATTGTGTCTGAATTTCAGCAACTGCGCCAGTTTCTGGAGGAACAAGAGCAACTCCTCCTGGCCCAGCTGGAAGAGCTGAATAAGGAAATTGAAAAGAGGAGGGCTGAGTATGTTGCCAAACTATCTGAGGAAATATCTTCTTTCAATTACCTGATCAGTGAGATGGAGCGGAAGTGCCAGCTGCCAGCGAGTGAATTCCTGCAGGTGAGACAGTGTTACCAGAACCTTTCACAGGGCAAGAAAGTCTCCTAACTCTTCACTTTTGGAGTGTAGGAGTGAATGGTCAGAACATACAGTATTAGTAAACTATACATTATTTTTCCTTAAGGGCTTGATAAAATGCTCATTAAAGTCAATGGAAATATACTTCTTGAGTACATTGGGCATAGGATCAAGTCCTAAATGAAAAAAATTCTTCGTTTGAATTCTAGTTGGAGAAGACTCCTCCAAAAATGGCAAACTCCAAACTCTGTTCTCCTTGTCTCCTAATGCAAGAACAAAGGGACATTCAATAAAATTAGAAGGTGACAAATTCAAAACGGATCCAATGAACATGTTTTCACACATCACGTAATTAGACTGTGGAACTCATTGCCACCAGATGTCGTTGAGACCCACGAAAGCTTATGCCCAAATAACTCTGTTAGCCTTTAAGGTGCCACCGGACTCCTTGTTGTTTTTTGTGGATACAGACTAACACAGCTACCCCCTGATATTCAGGCCTGTCTGGAAAGGCCTATACTTTAAGAATTCAGGTGTATTCTTATCATTTAGCTAGTTCTAGAGGTATAAAAGAGAGAATCAAAATCACTGTCTGCCAGTGTAAGGGCCTTCTCTCACAGCGACAGTCTGAGGCCCTGTTCTTAGGCTAAGGCCTTTGGCTAAGCAGCAGGGGCTGCCATATGCTGGGAAAAAGAAAAGGAGGACTTGTGGCACCTTAGGGACTAACCAATTTATTTGAGCATGAGCTTTCGTGAGCTACAGCTCACTTCATTGGATGCATTCAGCTGGGAAGCAACTGGTCACATCCTCACATCCCAAACCAGTCACATTGAAATCAGGCAATCTGGGGCTGTTGGAAAGGTGATCCGATCTACCACCTCCAGAGAAAGGGAAGCATCTAGAAGATGTAAAAGGAAATGTAGTTTGATAGTTTTCTGTCTGGTAAGAACTCGCTTATCAATAGACACAGCTGGGAAACCCTTATGTCTTTATAGGTGTAGTTGTAAAATCCTCATTTCTGTATTGTTTTGTCATTATAGTTCCCACTTTGCTATTGTTTATTTTCATGGTCTCTGTCTGGTTCTGTGATTGTTTCTGTCTGCTGGATAATTAATTTTGCTGGGTGTAAACTAATGAAGGTGGTGGGATATAACTGGTTAGCTAACCATGTTACAATTGGTTAGGTAAAGTTCAGTAAAATGATTGGTTAAGGTATAGCTGAGAATATTACTATATAAATAAGGGGCAAACAGGAAGTAAGTTGGGATTCAAAAATAAGGAAAAAGGAACTTGGATTTAAGCTTGCTGGAGGTTCACCCCAGTAAACATCGAATTGTTGGCATCTTTGGACTTAGGGTATTGTTGCTCTCTGTTCAGGCGAGAAGGACCAAGGAAGTGAGAGGGTGGAGGAATAAGCCCCCTAATATCAAGCATTTAGCAAAACTCAAGAATTGATAGGATATTTATATGGATAACACAATATCCAGAGTGATATTAAACCTTATGCTTCATTGCTTCAGCCAGTCGCTACCTCTTAGAGAGCAGGATGAGAATGTGGGGTGCAAATTATCTTACACCTTCCCCTGAAGCATCTGGCACTGTCCACCTTTGGAGACAGAATACTGACCAGATGGACCTAAAGTCTGATCCAATCTGGCATTTTCTGTTCCAGACGCTAACTCCAAAAGATGAAAGATGGAACCAGTCCTTAATTACAGAAATAGCTAAGATTGAAGCTGAGTTTCCATTTTAAACCTGATTTTGACACTCTTCCTACATACACCAAAAAAGGAAAAATAGTGGCCTCAAAATTGATACATGAGGTCTGAGGCTGTCGTGATTTTTTTTTTCCAGAACTGAAGTTAGTTAGGGAAGCTGTTCATTACTTATGGTATCCTGACTGTATAAGTAGTCCTTAGAATTTCAAAAGCTTTCTAATTATTTTAATTTTCAAAAAGTGCCTCTAAGCAGCAAACAAGAAAGAAGGTGAGACATAAACTGTAGCATCCTGGACTTCTCTAGCTGATACCTAGGGTCAAATTCTCTGTTGCAACCAATATCTGCTGTGGGCAGCGTTCTTCACTCCTCAGGTCTCCTGCATTGACCTGGCGTGTAGGATAGTGAATGGCCCTGTGTTACTCTGTACCCCACACCCATTGTTCTCACCCAGCCCCAGCTTCCTGTGGATGTTAAGAAGTGCACAGCCTTCGTAATGTTTGTGGGCGAGTGGGGAGAGAGTTTACAGCATGGGGGCAGCACAGCATGGGGGACATTCCTCCCTCTGGACCCACTGGAGTCTGCAGGAGGGGATCTTCCCCACGCCTCTGAGTGTTCTGATGTGCTGAACAAGGATCTTCCGAAGGCTGAGCCCTCTGGTTTCGTGTGCCGGGTGGTTATTCACATGTCGTTACACGAAGAGCTTGTGTGCCTCCTTATACAAACTTCCTGGGCCCAGATCCTGCAGTCAGAGCACTTCTCCAAAAGAACAAAGGCAACACGTGTGATGTTTTTGTTTATGTTAATAAATAACAAATCATTTCACTTTGAAACTCAAAACTGTGAAGACAAAGTGAGTCCCCTCCAGAGCAGAAGGGATCCTTAGTATGAGATACGGGACTGAATTTCCTTTTATCTTTCCCCTCTAGGACATCAAAGGCACCTTGAGCAGGTAGGTGGCTCCTTCTCACTCTCCCTTTCACTTCCCAGTGCAGGGAAGGGGTTTGGACATGAGACCTGGCTCCCCATGGTCCAGCAGTGCAGAGCGTGGGGCTGGTTCCCAATCTCCCTCTGTTAAATCTAATCTTGGGGCTGTTGTCATTTTGACTAGACTCCAGAATAGGTCTACCTGAGAAAAGAGTGATTTACGTACAGACAGGGTTGTTATTTATAGTGTCGGTGATGGAGTGGAGACCTCAGGAGATTGGGGATGGAGAATGGGTCTCTCATTTCTAGGTCACAGACTCCAAACTCCACCTAGGTTGGTAGGGATGGAAAGTCAGGGCCCTCTGATGACTATTCAATGAGCTGTTTATTAATTGTTTCTTATTATGCCGTGAGCGCTATCAGTGGGCTTGGCGTGGCAAGAGAGACGATGGAAGAGACATTCCCTGCTCTAAGGAGTTTATAACGTTCTGTGATCAGTAGCTCTATGGCTGGGCCGAGAGGCTCAAGGCAAAATCAGGGCCCAACACACGGGGAGCTGCACAGACACGTAGTAAGAGACAGTCCCTGCCCCAGGGAGTTTACAGTCTAAAAAGCCACAAAAGACAAAGGGCGGAAGGAGGAAGGATTAAAATCAGTTGAAGGGGACATTCAATAAAGACAAAGTGCTCCACTTTGGAAGGAAAAATCAAATGTACAACTACGAAATGGGGAATAACTGGCTAGGCAGCAGGACTGTGGAAAAACATCTGGGGGTTAAAATGGATCACACATTGAATGAGTCGGCCGTGTGATGCTGTTCTGGGGATTACTCTCTTCCAGGGCCAACACCTCCCCTTGCAGTCTCTCCCCCGGTTGTCTCTCTCTCACTCTGCAGCCTCATCTCTCGCTCCAAGGGCTGCAGCTTCCTCTTTGGGACTCAGCCCTCCAGCCAGGTCACTAAATGGTCTGCTCTCTCCCTGGGCTGCTTCCTACTTGCCTCCCAGAGGCTTTCTTCTCCACCCTTCTCTCGTACAGGGGTTAGACGAGATGACCCTGGCAGTCCCTTCTAGCCCTGTGATTCGAAGTACTCCCTTCCCCCAGGGCCAGGCTCCCAGCATCCTACTCTTCCCCTGGGTTCCCTCCTTCCCTTTCCAACGCACACAGGGTGGCTGCAGACTTCCTCGTGGCACCCAGTTTCTGTTGCCAGCTTCCTGGCTTTATACTAGCCCAGACCCCCCCCGGCTCAGCTGAGATTCATCGTCCAATCAGGGGTTGCTTCTCTGCCCTAAACCCCCCGTGTGTGGCCTGTCTCGCTCATCTCCTCTTTCTCAGCTTCCCTCACTCTTTTGGGGGGCTGATGTGGGGTGAACACCCCACCACAGATGTATTAACAGGAGTGTCACGTGGAAGACACAGAAGGACGTTGTTCCACCCTTCTTGCCACGGTGAGGCCTCAGCTGGAATTCCGTGTCCAGTTTTGGGCATCGCACTTTCAGAAGGATGTGGAAAAATTGGAGAGTTCAGAGGGGAGCAACAGAAATGATCAGAGGTTTAGAGTGGATGAGCTGTGAGGAAAGGTTGCAATAAATGGGTGTGTTTAGTCTCGAGAAGAGAAGACTCAGGGAGGGCCTGATAACAGTCTTCAGATATGTCTGAGGCTGTTCTACACAGAGCGGTGATCAGCTGTTCTTCAAGTCCAGTGCGGGTAGAACAAGAAGTAATCGCTTTCATTTGCAACAAGGGAGATTTACATGAGTGGGACGGGGTTCCCGGGGTGCAGCCTGGACGGTGGGACTGCTGAGCCCTCCTAATCCCCAGCCTGGGCTGCCTCTCGCCCTGTGATGCTGATGTCCAGCTACAAGCCTGGCCGGCCCTGCGCTGAGACAGACGCCCACGGGCAGGGACACGCCCAGCTGTGTTACACGACTCCGCTCCCGGCCATTGATGAACCAGCAATAGAAGGCGCCAGCCAGTTCCCCCCAGCTCCAGCCCTGCCCCCCAGAACTGCACCGACTCACCCTGCTCAAGGCTCCCTGGGCAGTGCAAGTTCATTAAGTCGTTTGCCGCTCCCTCCCTGTGGTCAGCCACCCAGTGCGGCTGCTCCCCAGCCAGCCTGGGAAGTGGGATAGGGGACCCCACGGTAGCCCCCAGGTGTAGGGAAGATGAAGAACCCTAGGAGGAGCAGAGGTGAGGCTGGGAGGGCTTTATTATGGCCTGGGGGCTGCAGGGAGCCTGAAGTGAGTGGGGGGCTGATGGGCTGGGGGAGGCTGTATTGATGGTGGGTTCTGAGCAGATAGGGTGAGTGCTGGGAGGGCAGTGGGGTAGGAGTGCTGAACTGATGGGGCAGTGATGATGGGGGCTGGGGGACTGAATTTAAGGGGGTTGAATGGGGACAGAACGGATGGGGGGCTGGGGGACAGGATTAATTGCTGGTCAGGAGATGGGCAGATGTGGGGGTGAGAGCTCCTGCAGCAGGAGCCAAAATCACCTTCTCCAGTACATGTGGGAGAGTGGGCAACACTAATTGTCACTTGCTCACACCCTGGGGAGGGGCCAGGGGAGTTCAAACATCAAGAGACTGACCTAAAAACGACAACAGAATCCTTTTCAAACGTGTCATGATTTTTGGGACAATCTCATGAGATTTGATCTCTTGAAGTTGGCAATCCTGTATTAGCCATTGCATAGCTTTGGGGCCAGCAGTGTGGAGTTTGGAAAGTCCCCGATAGACCAGCACAAGACGAGCGGCCATTCAGGAAGCGTGCGGTGTCCTCCCCACACCGCAGCTACAGAGTCATGGGGGGCCAGTGGGGTCTCTATAAAAGCAGTTTTTCTGTTGCTCAGCTGGCTGATCTTTAGGAGGGGGGGGCTCTGCAAGGAGATGGGGTGTGAAGAGTTACATCATTGGACGGGGGACTTTGGATTCCCTGTAATCTGCTGGGAGCCTCCTCTGGTGCCAGGGTCTCTAATCACATCCGTGGGGAGAGGTGGGTGCAGATGGGGAAAGATTGTCAGGCCCTTTTATGCTGCTCTGTCAGAGCAAAGGGGCCTCAATGTGCGTGGAAACAGTCCCCAGAAAATAGCTCCAGTGCAAGGGAGCGCCCGCCCCCGGCCCTGTCCCGCCCCGTCCCGTCCATGTGAAGTTGACAGAGGGGCTCTTCAGCACTCTGCCCCCAGCTCTTATTGTAGGAGTGGGTTTGGGGCATGCTGGGGGCCAGGGCCGGCTCTAGGGGGTCCAGGGCGGAAGTGACAGATTCGTCTCTTTTGGGACCGACCGCGCCAGCCAATCGCACAGGCTCCCCAAAGCGGTTGCCCGGATTCGCCCTCCCCAAGGGACGGCTCTGCTGGGGGCATAGACAGGAGGCATCACACTATGGCCGATCTCTGCTTTGCAGCCCTGAGGCCCCTGTAACTAGGGGCCAGGGAGACTAAAGGAAGGACAAAGGTGGCTTAAAACCACCTCCCTCTAACCCCCCTTGTCTTTACCCCAAGCACAAGGATGGAATCACTGAGAATCGGACTCTGGGTCTGGGGGCCTGGCTGAGCTGAGCTGATCCTTTCACTCTGTCACTGAACTGGCTCTGTCAGGGGTGTGAATCCCCCCTGCACATGGCTGAGATCTCAGCGCTGCTCCCCATGCAGAGCTGGGTAAATCCTGGACGGGGGAGGTTGCCTGGTTCACTCCCCAGCTGGGGCAGGTTCTGTACGGACACGATCAGACCCTGCCCCAGGGCCGAGCTCTGCCCCTCACGCTCTGATTCTCTCTCTGCAGTGAACGTGACTCTGGATCCAGACACGGCCCATCCCGACCTCACCGTGTCTGCGGATCGGAGACATGTGAGATGGGGAGACACACGGCAGGATCTGCCTGACAACCCTGAGAGATGTGACACTGTGCCCTGCGTGCTGGGCTGTGAGGGATTCACCTCGGGCCGACATTACTGGGAGGTGGAGGTGGAGATGGAGGGGAGGGGACTCTGTGCTGTGGGGGTGGCCAGAGAGTCCGTGGGCAGGAAGGGATAGATCAGCCCTGAACCTGAGCAGGGGATCTGGGCTGGGATGTGCAGTGAGGATGAGTACTGGGCTCTCACATCCCCTGGGCAGAGCACCCCCTTGTCCCCGAGCTGGGCACCCCGCAGGATCCGGGTTTATCTGGACTATGAAGAGGGGCGGGTGGCGTTTTTTGATGCTGATCGTGGGGACCCGATCCTCACTTTCCCGCAGGCTTCTTTCGCCGGGGAGAGAATCCACCCGCTCTTCTGGGATGGTGTTAGCGTGCAGCTCCTCTAGCCCCCACCCCCCTGATCTCTATGGCCTGGAGAGACCCCTCAACTGGGGGGAGGGGGGAGTAGGGGGGAGGCCCAACTGAAGAGGCTGGGGGGAGTAGGAGGAGGCCTGGCTGAAGAGGCTGGGGGGGGAGCAGGGGGAGGCCTGGCTGAAGAGGCTCAGGAAGGGAGCAGAGAGAGTGCGGGGAGGCCTGGGTGAAGCAACTGGGGTGGGAACAGGGGTGTTAAATTCATGTGAGCTGATTGTTATTTAGTCACAACCAGCTAATATAGATTTGCATACAACTGTTAGCGTGTGTACGGGGTGCGAAGGCTGGAATTTTCAAAGGAACCGAAGCGACGTCAGACTCGTTGATTTCCAGTGGAACTCGTGCTGCTAAGTAACTTCAGGTGGGATTTTCAAAAGCACCTACGTCATGTTTACCATTGCGTTAGTTTTAATGTGTTAATATATTTTCTAGAATAATGAATTGTCCCCGTGTAGGCAAACTGCTTGCGTTCTCCTGTTCACCTTATTGAAGTCCCCCAGTAAATGGACCCGAGAGGGAAATTTGTTTGTTAAAACTTTCCGGAAAGCATTGGTCTGCTGTGTGAGTTGTATTTTGAGACAGAAACAAAAGGTTGGTTTCCATATGAATTTAAAATGAACAGAGCCCTGAAAGCCCAATCAGTTCCCTTGTGCCCGCTGCCCAATATAGGATGGAAAGGCAAAAACAGATGAGAAATGTAGGGTTGATGACAAATATAGGAATGATGCTGGATTCCATCATGCACGACATTTCCTGCTCGATCCTCTCTTCCGCCCCCGTTATACCGTCAAGTAAATAATGTAACTGTCAGGGTGGGAATGACTCTGACAATACCAGGAATATGAAATAAAAATGAACGGATCATATGGAAAACCCCCTTGAGATGCACGGCGTTCAAACTAAAATGTCCAGCATCTGTCACATCCGAGTTGTTTTCATGAGGTGCAAACTGGGTATAAAAATTACCATATGTGTTCTTCATGTAACTCATTTTTCTTTTAGAAATCTCCCTGATTTTGCTGTCAGCAATTTATTGTATTTGAATTTCCTCCGAAAGTGGTCTTTCTAAAATGTGGATAAATGCATATTTGGATGGTCTGGGTTCATATTATTAAATTTGCTGACAGTAGAATTGTTACTGGTGTGACTGTTGCCTGGTATGAATCACCACTGAGAACGCCCAGTTCAGGACAGGGCAGATACACCCCAAACACTGGTGGTTTGTTCTATAATTAGATTCACCAAAACAGTAACAAAATGAGCTCTTGTATCCCCACACTGGTTAGCAGGAAGCTAAAGCACAGTCCCCTTTCGGCATTCCAGCTCCTGGCTTGTCCACCCAAACTGGTCTTTTTAGTAATAAATGATTACTAAAATCAGAAGTCACACATAAAGTTCTTCCGAGCCAAAAGCCACTGTCCTCAGGTCAATATATAATTTAGATCTTTCCCAAAAATCACATTGCAGCCAATCCCCTTAGTAACTAAAAACGAAAGGTTTATTAATAAAAAGGAAAAGAAGAGAGTTAGTAAAGGGTTAAAAGAATCGTATAAATTACAATTGAGTTAGAGAGTCTGTAGATCAGGATCAGAGCAGAGATGGTCCTTCTGCTAGTTTGCAAGAGCCTTTCTGGAGGGGGGAGGGAGAGCTCAGTGGTTTGAGCACTGGCCTGCTAAACCCAGGGTTGTGAGTTCAATCCTTGAGGGGGCCATTTAGGGATCTGGGGCAAAAATTGGGGACTGGCCCTGCTTTGAGCAGCAGGTTGGACTAGATGACCTCCTGAGGTCCCTTCCAACCCTGATATTCTATGAAAAGGCCAAATGACCGTTTAGATTTAGTGTCTTTCCAGGGCATTCAGGTAATCACTTGGGGATCTCATTCCCGTGGCTTAAACTGTCCCTGTTTAAAATTCAGCAGAGTAGAGTTGGCAGGCTCAGGCCCAGGGTCTCTCTTTTGTAGCTGAAGCAGGCTGGCAAGCTGCCAGGCAACTTCACCAAGTGGGATTTGATGAGAACAAACACCGATACTCTGTGATCCTTATTCAATGGGTGATTCAAAGATAATGCCCTTAGTTACAGCCCTTTAAACTACCAAGATGGTTTCCAGTTGGTTCACAATGTGGAATCACAAGTTTCAAAGAGATGAGGACAATAACATTATTACTTCCCGAGCTTCATCTAAATGCTAACCATCCCTTTTGATCTTGGAGACAATTGAGTTCAGTAATATAGCGTGTTAAGACATGAAAAGGATTTAGTAACTACCAACTAATTTGCTTACAGTGACACACTTCCCACAGGATGTAGGTCAACAGACACGTACATTAAGTATCTACCCTGGATCCTTATCACTACAAATGGATGTTAGCGATTGCTAGTCTAATTAACATTTCTTTGATACTCACACCCAAATTTTTATTTAGCGTGTACATAGTCGTCTAGCCAAGCGGTGGCATCTTCAGTGGTGTGATGCAGTTCTTCTAGGCCACCGCTGACCCGAGTCAGCAGGCATTCCTCGACCGCGCGCGTCATCGTCTGTGTTTCACCTTTGCACAAAGGGCTGTCACGAAGGCCCCAGGGATGCTGGTTGGCATGGAGACCTTACCCAGTCCAAAACCTGTTCAACAGGGACCACTGGCGCCCGGGCAGGTCAAACCCAGGCAGGCAGATTGTGGGGTCGGCGAGGAGGGACTGGTTGGGGATTATAACAGATCTCCGTTCCTCTCGCCGTGGCGGAGGAGACCATAATGGGCAACGTGACGGCAAACGTGGCAGCCGGCGTTTTAAAAAGGTCACTGTGCAGCCGCAGGCTTGGGTGGGCGCGTCCTCTCTCCAGTATCTTGCCAGAGACAACCTCTCGTCTGATACGAGTGTCACGGACTCACAGGCCGTGCCTACTCTTAGCCCCGTGCGGGAACCCCCTTCAGTGAGACAGCCCTTCTCGGGGGTCCGCTCTCTCTCGGGGGCTAAGCCCCTCCACCTCCTGGAACCGCACCTCTCTGAGCCTTAGCATGCCTGTCTCTCGCTGTGGGCCCCCTCAGGGAGTCCACGTGCTCCGGACCCCCAGGGCCTCACACCCAGAGGGAATGATGCCCCCTGGTTCTCTAGACCAGAGCGACTCTCAGCCAGCGTAACACGGGAGGTTTATTGAGCGTCTGAACCTCGCACAGGAAACTCAGGGCCCTCAGGCCTGGCCTCCCTCAGCACAGCACCTCCAAGTCTCCCCTGCATCCAGGTGGGCTCTGCCTGCCCCCTTTCTCCAGCCCAGAGCTCCCCTGCTTCCCAGCTGGGCATCTGAGATCACCTCCCCCAAGCCCCCCTCTGTCCATTGTCTTCTGTCCAAGTAAACAGAGTCACCTGGGTCCCCTCTCCCCTCTTCTGTCCTCTGGCCCCCCCTGGCTGGAACCGGCTGGCCAGGTCACTGGGGTCCTCTCTTCACAGCCTATTGTCCTCCCACTGGCCGGACCCGGCTGCGACTCCTGAGCTGGGCCACCGGGTCACCAGACGCTGGGGTCGCCATTCTCCAGGCCATTGGCCGGGGTCCCAAGTTCCGTCGCCAGTCCCCTGTAACAACCAACTCCCTCTCCCATCACCTCGTTAAACCAATAACGCCCAGGGAAACTGAGTCCTACCCCCTCTGCATGCAAACCATTGGAAAAACAAGGAAAAAACGAGAACCCCCCCACACACTTCATCACATCTCTCCTCCTTCGAGTCTGAACTGAGCGGGGTCACTCAGCTAGTGGCCTGGGGAAGTTCAGGGCCCCCCCTCCATGATAAAGCGTCATCTATAACATTGGCACTCCTCCTCACATGGACCCATAGGCATCAACTTTTCCTGGTGCCGGTGGGTGCTCGACCCCCACCCCGCCCTGCCCCGCCTCCATCCCAACCCCTTCCCCAAATTCCCTGCCCCAACTCCACCCCGTCCTCCACCCCAACTCCTTCCCCAAATCCCCGCCGCAGCCCGGCCTCTTCCCCGAGCGCGCCGCGTTCCCCTCCCCGCTCCCTCCCAGCACTTGGCACCGCGAAACAGCTGTTTTGCGGCAGGAAGCACTGGGAGCTAGGAGGAGAAGCGAGGACGTGACACATACAAGAGAAGGCGGAGCAGAGGTGAGCTGGGGTGGGGAGCCGCCGGTGGGTGTCATAACACTGAAGGAGCAGGCTCTGTCTCAGCAGCTTGGCATTAGCCCCTTTCATTTGGTGCAGCCACGTCAGGGGTGAATGGTCGGTGTACACAGTGACGCGCCACCCAAATACATACGGCTGAAGCTTTTTAAGGGCCCACACCAGGGCCAGGCGTTCCTTCTCCGTGGCCGCACAGTGCTGCTCCCGGGGCAGCAGCTTCTCGCTCAGATACACAATAGGGTGTCTCTCCCCGTTAGTATCAGTTTGCATCAGCACCGCACCCAGCCCCCAGTCTGAGGCGTCGGTGAACACCAGGAAGGGTTTGTTAAAATCTGGGTTTACCAGCACCGGGTTTTGGATAAGTGCCCCCTTCAGCTGTTCGGTCCCGACCACCTTGTCCAGCTTTCCCTTCCTACAAAGCTTCGTAAGGGGAGCTGCCAGGGAGCTAAAGTGGGGCACAAACCTCCAGTCGTATCCCACCATCCCAATGAGAGCCTGGACCTGCTTCTTAGTCTGGGGAGCGGGCCAGTCCTTGATTGCCTCCACTTTGGCTGGCTCCAGCTTCATGTGGCCGCTCCCCACCTTGTGGCCCAGGTATGACACCTCTGCCATCCCCACTTTGCACTTTCCAGCTTTTATGGTCAGTCCTGCATCCTGGAGGCAACCCAGCCCCCTCTTCACCTGGGACACATGGTCCTCCCAGGTCTGGCTAAAGACACAGAGATCGTCAATATACGCTAGAGCAAAGTCCTCCGTCCCCCTTAGCAACTGATCCACCAGGCGCTGGAAGGTGGCAGGTGCCCCCTCGAGGCTGAAAGGCAGGACCAGGAACTCGGAGAGCCCTATTGGGGTGGTGAAGGCAGACTTCGCCCTGGAAGGGCTGGCCTTACCATGAGACTGGGCGGGGGGCGACACTAGGACCCAGAGTCTAGAAAATTGTGTCTGCTGCTGGTGCATCTGTATTGTCTCTGCTCGAGATGCACAGAGATGGGGGAGTGCTGGGCTGGAGGGAGGAAGGCATAAGAGACAGAACAGGCAGGCAGGAGAAAAGGGGAGAGGGAATAACCGAAAGCAGCAGGAGCTGCAGGGAGAGAGAGGAGGAGGAGCCTCTTATGTACCCCTCTAGCTCCCCAGGAGCCTGCATTGATTAACACCAGCTTCTCAGAGAGCTTCCTGTGTCCTGCTGCTTCCCTGAACCCACTTGAAGGGAACAGGCCATCAACTGGACTAGTAGGAGCCTGTTAGGCCCTTAAGACGCTGATCTCTTCCTTCACTTAGGCCCTGCTACCAGCCTGCTTATTGGTCCCCTTCAACTGAGTGTTGAGAGCCACTCTAGCTGGCACAGAACAGCAGCCATGAGTGAAAGAAGAAAACACCCCTCGGGGGCAACATTCAGAAAAAGAAAGCCAGCAAAGGAAGCTTTTCTGTCTAAGCAGGAAGGAGCTCTCCTGAGATACACGGACACAAATGTTCCCGGTGAGCCTTTCGGCCCCAGTGAGGATGTGAGTGGTGAGGAGAGGCCTGATCTTCCAGTTAGTCACAGTGCAGGTGATGGGGCAGCTACTGCAGCATCCATATCTCCATCTCAAATGGATGTAGCCATGCACAGTCCTGAAGAAAAGCGTAGATCAGAGGAGAGGGTGGTGGAGGCGCAAAAAACAGCTGCTGCTGAGTTTAGTTCCTTAAGTTGAGATGATCCAGGACTGTGGACCCCCCTGAGCAGTAGCCCGAGGGACTTCCTTGTACTGCATGGGCCACAGCAAGTGAAAAACTTTATGTTCCCCAAAGACAATGAAAATAGAAGTTTCCATCCAACACATTACTGGCGTGAAATCCCCAATGGGGACAAAGCGGACAGGCCATGGCTTATGCACTCAAAAACCCAGAATGCTGCATACTGATTTCGTTGCAAACTCTTCCAGTCTAATGTTCCAGCCACATTGGGTTCTACAGGAACAAAGGACTGGAAAAATCTAGCTAGAAATCTGGCATGCCATGAGAAGGCAGCAAATCACCAGAGAGCATTCCATCGGTGGAAAGAGCTTGAGATGAGACTGAGGTTTAAAGGCCACCATAGATGATCAGCATCAAGAGAAGATTGCATCAGAGTCTCTTTGCTGGCAAAATGTTCTGAAAAGGCTCATGGCCATTGTAAGACTGCTTGCTACCCAAAACCTAGCCCTGCGTGGCACTTCAGATCAGCTGTATGTGCCAAACAATGGAAATTTCCTTAAAACTGTGGAGCTGATGGCTGAGTTTGATGCTGGACTCCAGGAGCATCTAAAAAGAGTCACCTCCCAAGAAATGTACACACACCACTCCCTTGGAAAAACCATTCAAAATGAGATCATCCAGTTACTGACAACAAAAATCAAACAGAAGATTGCGGCAGATCTGAAGTCAGCAAGATATTACTCTGTTATTCTGGACTGCACACCTGACATCAGCCATGCGGAACAAATGACTTTAATAGTGCGTTTTGTAACAGAACCTAGTGAAAATGTCCCGGCAATGGTGACTCTCAGAGAGCATTTTCTAGAATTTATCAACACTGATGATACTACAGGAGCTGGTATGACAAATGTGCTTCTTAAAAAGCTGGAAGAGACGGGAATTGCGATCACTGATGTGAGAGGTCAGGGCTACGATAATGGTGCCAACATGAGAGGAAAGAACAGAGCAATGCAGACAAGGATCCGAGAGTTAAACCCTTGAGGTTTTTTTGTCCCATGTAGTTTTCATTCATTGAACTTGGTGGTCAGTGACTTGCTTGGAGGTGGTAGCATCAGCTTCCTTAGAGGTTTTAAGGCTTGAAGGCTGATTTACTGGGAATTGGTCCTGCTTTGAGCAGGGGGTTGGACTAGATGACCTTCTGGGGTCCCTTCCAACCCTGATATTCTATGATTCTATGATCAGCTTCTAGTGAGGCTGCTGAATTTGCTAATTTCAAAGCATCGATGTATTTTTCTGCATCAACTCATGGATGGCAAATTTTGAAGCAACATCTGGGAACATCCTCTCTGACACTGAAACCACTGAGTGCCACACGATGGGAAAGTCGAGTGGGGGCGGTAAAGCCTACCAAACACCAAATCGGGAAGACAGATGGTGCCGTAGTTGCCATTATGGAGGCTAATGCCATGACAGGAACTGTTTGTGAGAGAACAGTGGCAGTGGGAAATGGCATCACCAGAAACATACATCACTTCAAATCACTTGCTGGGACCCAGGAGTCCGGAACGCGCCACGCCCCCGAACCCTCCCGCCTCGGGGGCGCCCCTCGCTGGGACCCAGGAGTCCGGGACGCGACCCCCGCCTCGGGGGCGCCCCTCGCTGGGACCCAGGAGTCCGGGACGCGGCCCCCACCCCCTAAACCCTCCCGCCTCGGGGGCGCCCCTCGCTGGGACCCAGGAGTCCGGGACGCGGCCCCCACCCCCTAAACCCTCCCGCCTCGGGGGCGCCCCTCGCTGGGACCCAGCAGTCCGGGACGTGTCCCCCCCCCCTACCCTCCCGCCTCGGGGCGCCCCCTCGCTGGGACCCAGGAGTCCGGGACGCGCCCCCCACCCTAAACCCTCCCGCCTCGGGGACTCCCCTCGCTGGGACCCAGGAGTCCGGGACGTGTCCCCTCCCGCCTCGGGGCCCCCCCTGGGACCCAGGAGTCCGGGACGTGTCCCCTCCCGCCTCGGGGGCGCCCCTCGCTGGGACCCAGGAGTCCGGGACGCGTCCCCTCCCGCCTCGGGGGCGCCCCTCGCTGGGACCCAGGAGTCCGGGACGCGCCCCACCCCCTAAACCCTCCCGCCTCGGGGGCGCCCCTCGCTGGGACCCAGGAGTCCGGGACGTGTCCCCCCGCCTCGGGGGCTCCCCTCGCTGGGACCCAGGAGTCCGGGACGTGTCCCCCCCCCTAAACCCTCCCGCCTCGGGGGCGCCCCTCGCTGGGAGCCCAGAACCGCCCCCTGGAGTCGTTCTCTCACTGAGCTCTGATTGGTCAGCTCCGTGGAGGGCGTGTCCGCCTACTCCCGAGTCTCACCTCTCCCAGCTCTAATTGGCCCATTTCATGTGTCCCGCCCCCGTTTCCGTGCTGCGATTGGTTGACTCAAGCGGGGCGTCACCCCACCGCCCTGAGCTACGATCAGTCAGCTCCGCGGGGGGCGTGTCCTTCTGCCCTTTCTCGCTTCCTACAGCTCTGATTGGTCAACACGCCTTAGGGGCGGATACTCTGTATCCCATTCTCACCACTGATTGGTCATTGAAGCCTGTGGGCGTACGTTCCCCCCCCCCGACTCCACTCTCTCGATGTTGATTGGTTAGCTCGGCAAAAGGGCGTGCCCCGCGCTGGCCCCTCCCCGCTGCCCGCCGAATGGCCGGTTCGGGTTCCTGCGGATCCGGGGCGCGCGGGGCGGTTGGTCTCGCGACGTTTCCCGAGAGCGCTGCGGGTGCGGGGAGCCGGAGTGAGCCGGTCGCGGGCAGGTGGGGAGCGCGGGGACCGGACTCCCGGCGTGCCCTGCGCGGCGACCAGACTCCCGGCGTGCCCTGCGCGGGGCGGGGGGGACCAGACTCCCGGCGTGCCCTGCGCGGGGCGGGGGGGACCAGACTCCCGGCGTGCCCTGCGCGGGGCGGGGGGGACCAGACTCCCGGCGTGCCCTGCGCGGCGACCAGACTCCCGGCGTGCCCTGCGCGGGGGGGGGGACCAGACTCCCGGCGTGCCCTGCGCGGGGGCTGGGACCAGACTCCCGGCGTGCCCTGCGCGGGGGGGGGGGGGGAGACCAGACTCCCGGCGTGCTCTGCGCGGGGGCTGGGACCAGACTCCCGGCGTGCCCTGCGCGGGGGGGTGGACAAGCGGCGCTGGGCGGAGGGAAAGGGGGCAGGTGAGGCTGTGGAGGATCGGGGGATGGGAGTGGGGGCAGGGGGGAAGGGGATGGTGGGGGACAGGTGGGGAGGGGGGACTTGAGGGGAGCAGGAGGGGCAGGTGGCGAGTGAGAGGCAAGGGAGCCTGGCGGGATCAAGGGAGAACGTGGGCCCTGAAGGGGGGTGTGGGAGGGGAAGGAGCTGCCTTGTTTGCTGTGCGATGGCTCGGGACGTTATCGTAGGGTCTATCCTAAATCCGCAGACGGCATCAGATGTGGGCTGGCGGGGAACGTGGGCACGAGGCCGGGGCGGTGCAAGGATGTTTTGCGCCCTAGGCGAAACTTCCACCTTGCACCCCCCTCCCGCCCTGAGGTGCCCCCCCTGCAGCAGCTCCTTGCCGCCCCCCCTCCACCCTGAGGTGCCCCCCCTGCGGCAGCTCCCCACCCCCCCCGCCCTGAAGCGCCCCCCATGGCAGCTCCCCGCCCCCCACTCTGTCCTGAGGCTCCCCGCCGCCCCCTCTCTCCTCGGGGAGCCATGCAGCAACTCCCCCCCTCGGTCCAGGGAGCCGTGCGGCAGCTCCCTGCCCCAGCTCACCTCTGCTCCACCTCCTCCCCGAGCACCCCGCCATCACCGCTTCTCCGCCTCCCAGGCTGGCGGCGCCAATCAGCTGAGCAGTGCAGCGCGCTCAGAGGAGGAGGCGGAGCAGAGGTGACCTGGGGCAGGGAGCTGTTCCCCTGTGCGCCACCCTGCCACCCCCCTGTTACTTGCTGCAAGGCGGCCCTCCCCGCGCCCCCCTGCCCCAGCTCCCCTCCGCTCCCCCGCCTCCCCGGAGCATGCCTTTGGCCGCCCCCAACTACTTGGCGCCCTAGGCGACCGCCTAGTTCGCCTTGTGGTTGCACCGGCCCTGCACAAGGCCAGGGGAGAGAGATGAGCCAGGCTGTTCCCCCCTAGGGACAGGACGGGACGGAGAGTCGTCTGGCCACCCCCGGAACAATGGACAAAAGGGAAGAGTCCAGGGGTCACCTGGACCCGCCGGCCGTCTTTGGAGCCCCCAGACCCACCGGTAACATCCACAGCTCTGAGAGTCCCCTAAGCCCCGCACCATGCACTGTCATCCCGGATGCCTGAGTCCCATTCCACATGACTTATGAGGAGAGGCTGAGGGAACTGGGGTTGTTTAGTCTGCGGAAGAGAAGAGTGAGGGGGGATTTGATAGCTGCTTTCAACTATCTGACGGGGTTCCAAAGAGGATTGATCTAGAGTGTTCTCAGGGGTAGCAGATGACAGGACAAGGGGTAATGGTCTCAAGTTGCAGTGGGGGAGGTCTAGGTTGGATATTAGGAAAAACTTTTTCACTAGGAGGGTGGTGAAGCACAGGAATGCGTTACCCAGGGAGGTGGTGGAATCTCCTTCCTTAGAGGTTTTTAAGGTCAGGCTTGACAAAGCCCTGGCTGGGATGAGTTAGTTGGGGATTGGTCCTGCTCTGGGCAGGGGGTTGGTCTAGAACCTCCTGAGGTCCCTTCCAACCCTGATATTCTATGATTCTATGTCCTGGTCTCTGCCCCTCTAGGGGTGAGCACCCTGCACTGCCATCCCGAATGTCTGGGTCCCATTCCCCATCTCCAGCCCCCTAGGGATGAGCCCTACGAATTGCTGTTCCGGATGCCTGGTCCCAGTCATGTCCTTTCTGCTATAGGTCCTAGGGGGCTGATTCCTCCCTCGCATTTCCAGAGCCGGTCGGCGCCTCCCCTGGTTGCTTCTGGAACAGCTTCCTGGAGGGCAGGGCCCCCCTGCTGGCAGCCCCAGGAGCTCAGGGAGCTGAGGCAGGAGAACCAGCGCCTCCGAGATGAGCTGCAAAGATGGACAGCAGGGGGCGCTAGGGCACCCAGGGGGAGGGCAGGAGCGGAGCTGGAGGAGCCTGGAGTGTGGAGCAGGTAAAAGACCCCATTCCTCCTCCTGCCCCGATCCAGCCAGTCCCCACGCTGGGGCCAGATGGGAGCAGGTGCGCCCTAGAGGTGAAAGGCTCCATGTCTCCTTCCCCTGCAGGTCCCTGGACAGGGAGGCGGAGCCCCCAGCTGCCCATCATGCCCTGGCCATATCCCAGCAGGCCGAGCTCATTTCCCACCAGCTCCACGAGATCCAGCGGCTGGAGGCGGAGCTAGCTGGGCTCCGAACTGCCGTTCTCCAGCAGGAGGCCATGGTGGCTGCCAGGGAGAGCACCGTGGCCTGCCTGCAGGGGGAGCTGGAGCAGCTGAGGGGGAGGAGCCAGGCTGAGGGGGAGGCCCTGAGGGCGGAGCTAGAGGAGCAGAAGAGGTGTGGCCAGGCAGAAGCTACTGCCCTGAAGGCAGAGCTGGAAGAGTTGAGGAGGCGTGGCCAAGCAGAAACTAATGTCCTGAGGGCGGAGCTAGAAGAGCAGAGGAGGTGTGGCCAAGCAGAAGCCGACGCCCTGAGGGCAGAGCGAGCGGTGGCCACTGAGCAGCACCAGCAGGAGCTGGTGCTGGCGCGGCGGGAGCTGCAGGCGGCGCTGGAGGAAGGGAAGGCCCAGACCCAGAGGGCAACAGAGCGCCTGCAGGGGGCGCTGGGGGAGCACCAGGCCGAGGTGAGTGGGGAGCTGGGAGCCAGGACTCCTGGGTTCTGTCCCAGCTCTGGGAAGGGAGTGGGGTCTGGTGGGTTAGGGCAGGGAGCCAGGGCTCCTGGGTTCTCTCCCCAGCTCTGGGAGGAGAGGGGGGTCTAGTGGTTAGAGCAGGGGGGGCTGGGAGCCAGGACTCCTGGGTTTCTTCCCAGCCAGGTCCCCTCTCTCCCCCCAGCTCTCCCGTCTCTGTGTGGCCCATGGGGCTGAAGTTGGCTCCCTGCAGCAGCGGGCTCTGCAGCTGGAGCAGGAGCTGGAGGCCAGGGGACGGGAGCGCCAGAGCCTGCAGGAGCAGCTCAGGTAGGAACAGCCGGAGGATGGCGCCCCCTGGAGGCAGGAAGCCCCCATCCCCATGTGTCAACCCCCTGCTTTCTCCCCCCGCAGCACGGCCCAGGCGGAGCTGGCCTCCCAGCAGGCCCTGCTGCAGCAGCTACGGACCTATGTGGGAGAGCAGGGGAGCGGGCTGGGCCCCGAGAGGCAGCTGCTGCTTGGCCAGGTGCAGGTGAGGAGGGGCGAGCTACACACGGGCAGTTCCTATTGTGTCCTGCAGGGGGCAGGACTGATCCCCCCCTTCAGGGGGCGCTGACGCACATGGGGGTGGGGGACAGGACTGATCCCCAGCTGGGGGCGCTCACACCCTCCCCTTACCCCCAGCGCCTAGAAGGGGAGCGCGACGCCCTGAGGACGACGGCAGAGCTGCTGCGGCTCAGACTGGCCTCGCTCAGCGACATCCTGGCCCTGCAGGAGCTGGAGCTGACCAGGAAGGTAACGGCCCCCTGGCACTGCTGGCTCGCTTTCTCCGGCATCCAGGGCTGGCCCAGTTCCCCAGGCCGGCAAAGGGGGTGCTGTGTTGTGGGGCGGGGGCTCAGCAGGGGGCGCTCTCCCCTGACGCCCATGGCGGGCCCAGTTCCCCAGGGCGGCACTAGGAGGCGCTGTGCTGTAGGGGGGCAGCGCTGTAGCCTGGTGTTGAACGAATGTCTCCCTCCAGCCCTGTGACCCCCTGCAGCCCGAGCCAGCCCAGAAGAGCCAGTCCCTGCTGAGCCGCTGGCGGGAGAAGGTCTTTGCCCTCATGGTGCAGCTCAGATCCCAGGAGCTCGGCCACGCGGATGCCACCAACCTGCTCCAGAGGAAGGTGAGGGCCTGCCGCAGGGGAGCGGGATCTAGTGCTGGGAGCGGGGAGCTGGGAGCCCGGACTCCTGGGTTCTATACTCCTGGGAGAATTCTGCACCAAAATTTTAAAATTCTGCACATCATATTTGAAAATTCTCCAAAATTCTGCACATTTGATTTGTCAAAATAGCACAATAGAATCATGCCAGTTACAATTAGTTTGGTCATTTATTTCGAACTATCTCCCAGTGAGTATGTCTGTAACAATACAGACCAACCAAAAGAAGAAGCTGGTCATTCTGTTTTGACAAATAGATTCCTTACGAGGCGTGTTAGTACACAACTTTGTGTATTTCCTGCACCCGTCAGAAGCAGTGCAAAGGCTTGGAGGCGTCAGGGGTAACGGAGGAATCATAGAATATCAGGGTTGGAAGGGACCCCAGAAGGTCATCTAGTCCAACCCCCTGCTCGAAGCAGGACCAATTCCCAGTTAAATCATCCCAGCCAGGGCTTTGTCAAGCCTGACCTTAAAAACCTCTAAGGAAGGAGATTCTACCACCTCCCTAGGTAACGCATTCCAGTGTTTCACCACCCTCTTAGTGAAAAAGTTTTTCCTAATATCCAATCTAAACCTCCCCCACTGCAACTTGAGACCATTACTCCTCGTTCTGTCATCTGCTACAATTGAGAACAGTCTAGAGCCATCCTCTTTGGAACCCCCTTTCAGGTAGTTGAAAGCAGCTATCAAATCCCCCCTCATTCTTCTCTTCTGCAGGCTAAACAATCCCAGCTCCCTCAGCCTCTCCTCATAACTCATGTGTTCCAGTCCCCTAATAATTTTTGTTGCCCTTCGCTGGACTCTCTCCAATTTATCCACATCCTTCTTGAAGTGTGGGGCCCAAAACTGGACACAGTACTCCAGATGAGGCCTCACCAATGTCGAATAGAGGGGAACGATCACATCCCTCGATCTGCTCGCTATGCCCCTACTTATACATCCCAAAATGCCATTGGCCTTCTTGGCAACAAGGGCACACTGCTGACTCATATCCAGCTTCTCGTCCACTGTCACCCCTAGGTCCTTTTCCGCAGAACTGCTGCCTAGCCATTCGGTCCCTAGTCTGTAGCTGTGCATTGGTTTTTTCCGTCCTAAGTGCAGGACCCTGCACTTATCCTTATTGAACCTCATCAGATTTCTTTTGACCCAATCCTCCAATTTGTCTAGGTCTTTCTGTATCCTATCCCTCCCCTCCAGCGTATCTACCACTCCTCCCAGTTTAGTATCATCCGCAAATTTGCTGAGAGTGCAATCCACACCATCCTCCAGATCATTTATGAAGATAAAAGGAGCTGAGGGAGAGGGAAGGAGCCTGGAGGGTGCTGGGTGTGGGTGGGAGGTTTTTCTTTCGGGGGGGGGGGGAGAGGGGGAGGATTGTTAGGGAATTGGGAAGCCTCCCCCATGCAGACCCTGGCTGACCCCAAACCTCTCCCATTGAGTCAGGCACGTCTGCCCGTGTCCCTGCACCCCGCATCCCCGTGGGTCTCTGCAGCCCCCCGTCCCCAGGCTCGGCGCCGTCCCTGCCCACTAGCCATTCTGAACCCCAGTCTGTGACTCCCCCAGCAGCCCTGTGTGCCCCGCTCTGTCCTAACCTGGCTCCGTGGGCAGGGTGCTGTGATCAGCTCCACTCCGGGGGGACCCTGCACCACGGGGCATCGAATTTTGTATTTTCCCACATAAAATACATTTTGCCGAAGAAGTGCTGCAGTTCCGCAGTTTGCCCACCAGAGGCCGCTGTGGCGCTAGGACGCAGCATAGACTCCTAGACCTGGCGGGGACCTGGAGAGGTCCCTAGTCCAGTCCCCTGCGCTCACGGCACGACCCAGTATTATCGAGACCGTCCCTGACAGGTGTGTGTCCAACCTGCTCTTAAACATCCCCAGTGATGGCGATTCCACAACCTCCCTAGGCAATTTATTCCAGTGCCTGACCACCCTGACAGTTAGGGAGTTTTTCCTAATGTCCCACTAAACCGCCCTGGCTGCAATTGAAACCCATTGCTGCTTGTCCTGTCCTCAGAGGTTAAGAACAGTTCTTCTCCCTCCTCCTTGTAACCCTTTACATATTTGAAAACTGTTCTCATGTCCTCTCTCAGTCTTCTCTTCTCCAGACTAAACAAACCCAGTGTTTTCTATCTTCCCTCAGAGGTCATGTTTTCTAGACCTTTCATCATTTTTGTTGCTCTTCTCTGGAATTTTCTCCAATCTGTCCACATCTCTCCTGAAATGTGGCACACAGAACTGGACACAATACTCCAGTTGAAGCCTAATCAACAGGGAGTAGAGGAGAAGAATTACTTCTCATGCCTTGCTTACAACACTCCTGCTAATACATCCGAGAATGATGTTTGCTTTTTTTGCAACAGTGTTACACTGTTGACTCATATTTAGCTTGTGGTCCACTATGACCCCCAGATCCTTTTCCGCAGTACTCCTTCCTAGGCCGTCTTTTCCCATTCTCTATGTGTGCAACTGATTGTTCCTTCCTAAGTGGAGTGTTTTGCATTTGTTCTTATTGTATTTCATACTGTTTGCTTCAGACAGTTTCTCCAGTTTGTCCAGATCATTTTGAATTATAATCCTTTTCTCCAAAACACTTGCAACCCCTCCCAGCTTGGTATCATCTGCAAACTTTATAAGAGTACTCTCTGTGCCACTATATAAATCACTGATGAAGATATTGGACAGAACCGGACCCAGAACCGATCCCTGCGGAACCCCACTTGTGATGCCCTTCCAGCATGAGTGTGAACCACTGATAACTACTCTCTGGGAACAGTTTTCGAACCAGTTCTGCACCCACCTTATAGTAGCTCCACCTAGGTTGCATTTCCCTTGTTTGTTTATGAGAAGGTCATGTAAGACAGTATCAAAAGCTTTACTAAAGTCAAGATATTCCATGTCTACCGCTTCCCCCCATCCACAAAACTTTCTTTGACAGGGTAACAAGCTATGAGGTTGGTTTGACACGCTTTGTTCTTTACAAATCCATGCTGGCTGTTACTTATCACCTTATTATCATTTAGGTGTTTGCAAATTGATTGCTTAATTATTTGCTCCGTTATCTTTCCACGTACAGAAGTTAAGCTGTCTGGTCTGTAATTCCCCAGATTGTCCTTATTTCCCTTTTTATAGATGGGCACTATATTTGCCGTTTTCCAGTCTTCTGGAATCTCTCCTGTCTTCTATGACTTCTCAAAGATAATTGCTAATGGATCGGATATCTCCTCAGTTAGTTCCTTGAGTATTCTAGGATGCATTTAATCAGGCCCTGGTGACTTGAAGACATCTAACTTGTCCAAGTAATTTTTAACTTGTTCTTTCCTTATTTTTGCCTCTGATCCTACCTTATTTTCACTGACATTCACTACGTTAGACGTCCAATCGCCACCAACCTTCTTGGTGAAAACCGAAACAAAGAAGTCATTATGCACCTCTGCCATTTCCACATTTTCTGTTATTATTTTTCCCCTCTCATTGAGTAACTGGCCGACCCTGTCCTTGATCTTCCTCTTGCTTCTAATGTATTTGTAGAATGTTCTCTTCTTACCCTTTATGTCTCTAGCTAGTTTAGTCTCGTTTTGTGCCTTGGCCTTTCTAGTTTTGTGCCTACGGACTTGTGTTGTTTGTTTATATTCGTCCTTTGTAATTTGACCTAGTTTCCACTTTTTGCAGGACTCTTTTTTGAGTTTTAGATCATTGAAGATCTCCTGGGGAAGCCAGGGTGGTCTCTTGCCATATTTCCTATCTTTCCTACGCAGCGGGATAGTTTGCTCTTGTGCCCTTAATAATGTCTTTTTGAAAAACTGCCAACTGTCTTCAATTGTTTTTCCCCTTAGACTTGCTTCCCATGGGATCTTCCCTACCAACTCCCTGAGTTTGCTAACGTCTGCCTTCTTGAGATCCACTGTCTTTATTCGCTGTTCTCCCTCCTGCCATTCCCTAGAATCATGAACTCTCTTGTTCCGTGGTCACTTGCACTCAAGCTGTCGTCCGCTTTCAAAGTCTCAGGAACGCTGCTGGCTCTTCTGGTGCCACAGCGCCCTCGGGGGGCAAAAGGCAGAACCGCAGCACTCTCAGGCAAAATGTGTTTTATGCAGGGAAAATACACAATGATGCGAGACAGAGGGATTCTGCACGTCTGCAGGTGCGCAGAATCCCCCCAGGAGCAGTTCTATCCCCCCCTCTCTGTAGGTCTCAGAGCTGCAAGGTGAAGTGGAGTCGAGGGACCAGAAGGTGGCGCTGCTGCTTCACAGCCTTCAGGATAAGACAGCTGAGGCCGATATGGAACGAGTGAACAACAAGGTTTGGGCCCCAGGGCCGGGACTGGCTGGCTCAGGGAGTGGGGAATGGTACCCCGGGGCGGGCACTGGCTGGCTCAGGGGGGTGGGGAATGGCTGGCTCGGGAGGGCGGGGAATGGCACCCCGGGGCAGCAACTGGCTGGCTCGGGGGCGGGAGGGCGGGAATGGCACCCTAGGACGGGCACTAGCTGGCTCAAGAGGGCGGGGAGTGGGGCTTTTCCCCTCTAGGGGGCACTGACTCCCATCCGGCCCCAGGGCCGGGAGTGGCTGGCTCAGGGAGTGGGGAATGGCACCCTGGGGTGGGCACTGGCTGGCTCAGGGAGTGGGGAATGGCACCCCGGGACGGGCACTGGCTGGCTCGGGAGGGTGGGGAATGGAACCCCGGGGCAGCGACTGGCTGGCTCGGGGGGGGGGGAGAATGGCACCCTGGGACGGGCACTAGCTGGCTCGGGAGGGCGAGGAATGGCACCCCGGGGCAGCGACTGGCTGGCTCGGGGGGGGAATGGCACCCTGGGACGGGCACTAGCTGGCTCGGGAGGGCGGGAATGGCACCCCGGGGCAGCGACTGGCTGGCTCGGGGAGGGGGGGGAATGGCACCCTGGGACAGGCACTAGCTGGTCGGAAGGGCGGGAATGGCACCCCGGGGCAGCGACTGGCTGGCTCGGGGGGGAGAATGGCACCCTGGGACGGGCACTAGCTGGCTCGGGAGGGCGAGGAATGGCACCCCGGGGCGCGACTGGCTGGCTCGGGGGGAATGGCACCCTGGGATGGGCACTAGCTGGCTCGGGAGGGCGGGGAATGGCACCCCGGGGCAGCGACTGGCTGGCTCGGGGAGGGGGGGGGAATGGCACCCTGGGACGGGCACTAGCTGGCTCAGGGGGGTGGGGAATGGCACCCCGGGGAAGGCACTGGCTGGCTTGGGGTGGGGGGAATGGCACCCCAGGGCAGGCACTGGCTGGTGTGGGGGTGGGGAATGGCACCCCAGGGCAGGCACTGGCTGGTTCGGGGCTGGGGGTGGGGAATGGCACCCCAGGGCGGGTGCTGGCTGGCTCCGGAGGGGTGGGGAATGGCAACCCGGGGTGGGCGCTGGCTGGGACTGGCGCTCTGCTCCCTTGCAGACGCTCCGGGCCGAGCTGTCTCACTGGGAGGACTCAGGGCAGCGTCTCCAGCGCCGGGCGGAAGCGGCCGAGGGTGCCTTGCGGGGTCTTGTGGAGACCGTGAGCAGGTACCGCTGGGGGGCGCTCTACAGACAAACAGGGGGACCTCTGGGGAGTAGAGGCCTTTCCCCTCTAGGGGGCGCCAGCTCCGATCTGGCCCCATCCAGGATTCCTAGCTCTGATCTTGTCCCCCCATTAGCGTGACCTTATAGCCGGCTGCTCCTGCCACACCCCTGCTACCCAGAATCCTTTGCTGCAGTGTTTTGGCTTGTGTGGACCATCAGCCCCTGGGGCTGGTGTGATTGAGGTCACGACCCCGGCTGTCCCCTCATCCTCCGGTTCTGGGGTCACAGGCCCAGCGGGTGGGACGCAAGGTGTGTGATTGGTCGGGGTGTGGAGGTCCTGCCCTCTGACCCTTGGTCTCATCCTGTCCGCAGTCTCCACCAGCAGGTTGGGGGGCAGGAGGCAGAGCTGAAGGCGGCCGCATCGAGCCTGGCAGGGCTGGGAAACCGAGTCACCTTCGCCGCCAAGAGAGTCGACACCATCCAAGGTGAGTGGGATGAACCGGAACAGTGAATCCAAACGATGGGCCCATCTTCGCTGGTGTCCTGCCTGCCGCAGGACAAACCTATGGGCCCATCCAGCCCGGTGTCCTGGATCAGATCTTCCGTGGGTCTCAACAGGATACACGATCCCCCTTCACTTCCTGTCCCAAACTTTTGAGCAGAGTCACTGTGCGGCTTTTGCCCAGCCGCCCCGCCCCAGAGGTGGCTACATTTCAGCGCCAGGTGGGCGATCCCCGTGCGGCACCCCTGTGGGGCTGTTCCCAGCCGCCCCGCCCGATAGGTGGCTGCATCTCTGGGCCATAACTCTACATCTGTGCGGTTGCAGGGCTGGTGTCTCGTAAAGTGGCCCTGGCTCGACTGCAGAGAGACGAGCAGCCCAAGGCCGCTGGGTCGGAGAACGACGGGTGAGTCCTCTCCAGCCCCACCCCACCCCCGGGGACAGGCACCGGCTGATCGCACAGCGCTTATAGGGGCGCCACGAGGGAGTGGGGTCTAGTGGTTAGAGCGGGAGGGGGCTGAGAGCCAGGACTCCTGGGTTCCATCCCCAGCTCTGGGAGGGGAGTGGGGTCCAGTGGTTAGAGCAGTGGGGGGCTGGGAGCCAGGACCCCTACAGGGGGCCGTCTGACCCTTTCGCTCCCCCCTTCCCTCCCAGCCCATCCTACGAGGCTCTCCGGGCCGAGCTGGCCCTGCTGCACCAGGAGCGGGACCATCTGGTGGCCGAGCTGAAGAAGGGGGCCCAGGTCCTCGAGCAGCAGGTGGCCGAAGCCCGGGAGAAAGGTACGTGGGCCGGGTCGAGCTCGACGGCGGCCCCCGGTGGCACAGGTGGAACCGCACCCGACCGTCTTTCCCCACCGCTGGCTGGGGTGCCCGGCTGGGGTGCAGCCCCTCCTGGCCATAGCGGGGAGTGCCCAAGGTCCCGGCAGGTTAATAACAAACCCGTCCCGTCTCCCATCTGGCCGCAGCGGAGCGGGAGCTGCGGGAGGCGACGTGGAGCCTGCAGGGGGCGCTGGAGCAGGAGGCGGAGCGGGAGCGGCGGCGGCAGCAGGGGCAGCTGGAGGGGGGTGCAGCGGGAGCTGCAGGAGAGCCTGGAGGCGGCCGAGGGGCTGAGACAGGAGCTGGCTGGGCTGCGGCATGAATATGAGAGAGGTACGGGGAGGGCGGGCTGGGGGGCAGGGCATGCTTCAGGGAGCGGGATGGGGGTCAGTGCGAGGTGCCGTGCTGCGTGGAGGGGGGCAGTGGGGGGTGCCATGTGGGGAGTGGGTCGGCGGGGGGCGCCATGCTGCGGGGAGTGGGGCGGGGGCACGGCGGGGGGCTGCGGGGAGTGGGGTGGGTGGCAGCAGGGGGCGCTGGGCTGCAGGGACTGGGGTGGGAGCAGTGGGGGGTGTCGGGGAGCAGGGCGGGGGCGGCTGGGCTGTGGGGGGGGTGGAGGGGGGCTCAGCAAGGGGCACCGGGCTGTGGGGACCAGGGCGGGGGAGCCAGGGAGCACCAGCAGGGGGCCCCGGGCTGTGGGGAGCAGTGGGGGTCAGCAGGGGGCGCTCTCCCCCGGCAATCAGAGCTAACCCCCTCGCCCCCCCTTCCCGCAGCGCTACAGGAGAAGGTGACGGAGGTGGAGGCCCGGCTGCGTCGGGATCTCTCGGAGCTGGAGCAGAGGCTCAACGAGGCCCGAAGGGAGCACACGAAGGCCGGTGAGAGACGCCCCCGCCAGCGCCCCTCAGTCCTGACCCCCAGCTAGCCCAGCCCCAGGCTCCCCCCACTGCTCCCCCGCTGCCCCCTCACCTGCCCTCTCCCCGCAGTGGTTGCCCTGCGTCAGGCCGAGCGCCAGGCAGCCCGGGACAAAGCCAGGAGCCAGGAGCTGGCGCGACTGCAGGAGGAAGCCAAGCGGGAGGCGACGGGCCGGCTGGGGGCGCGGCTCCAGGCGCTGGAGAGAGACAAGAACCTGCTGATGGTACGTGCTGGGTTGGGGGGTGCCCCTGTGGGAGCCCCCAGTGCCTAGCCGCAGCCCCTGCTGTCCCAGGCCTGGGCTCCCCCCGGGCACCGCACCCACCCGCCTTCCTGACCCCGCCTGTCCCCCCAGGCCACCCTGCGGCAGGAGGGGCTCCTGGCCCAGTACAAGCGGAACCGGCTGGCGGCCCAGCGGGACCCAGGGGAGCCAGGAGGGAGCGGGCAGCAGCCACCGCCGGGGAAAGGGGGAGCCCGGCCTCCCTCCAAAGGTACCGACCTGCTTCCAGCCCCCCGGCGGGATCTGACCCAGACACCCCCCTGCCCAGGCCATGGCCCACCCAGAGGCCTCCCACGCAAGTCCCTCCAGCCTGGGCGATGGCCCACCCAGAGTTTCCCTGCTGGGGCCCCCCTGCTAGGATCCCCACCCAGCCAGTATGGCCCCCCGACCCTCACCTGCTAAGCTCTCCCCCATACTGATCTCCCAGCCCCCTCTCCCCACAGAGACCTTGGCTGCAGTGCTGGACGACCTGCAGAGCCTCAGCACGGCCCTCCTGCGGGAGGAGGACGAGGAGACGCCGCCAGAGGAGGAAGGCAGCGCCGAGGATGAGGAGGGGCCGCCCTGATGGGGGGGCGGGGAGCTGCCCCCCCATCTGGCAGCTGGTTTTCATAGATGTGGAATAAAGATCGTTTGCATTAAACACGAGCACATTCTTGTGGCTGAGTCTGTCGTAGAACCCAGGAGTCCTGGCTCCCAGCCCCGCCCCCCCCCCTCTAACCACTAGACCCCACTCCCCTCCCAGAGCCGGGGAGAGAACCCAGGAGTCCTGGCTCCCCCATTCCTTGTTTGCGCACATTCCTGTGGATTTGTCACCCCCCACCCCCGTCACAGGTGCTGTTAATTACCCACGGTTCTGATTGAGCAGCCCCCTGCTGTTGCCTTGACCCCTTTTGCCCCCTAGCTGTTGGGACACACCCCATCTCCCACCCCCACCCGTGCTACCCAGTGGGGGCAGGGCCGATGTTAGGCCAGGGCTCCCCGTATGTCACAAGGGGTCACGGGCTGAGTGTCGCCCGGCTGGTCTCGCCATGAAGATACGTGGGGTCGCCCCCGGGGCCGTGGGGGGGGGGGGAGACGCCTGAGCCCAGGGCTCCCTGCAGGCTAGGCCTGGGCGCTGGATCGGTGCCACGGGGCCCCTGCCACTTCCCCCAGCCCAGCTGCTCTCCAACGACCCCCCCACCGTTTCCTTTGCTGTGGGTCAGGTTCCTTCCCCCCGCATTTCCTATAACTCCCTCCACCCCCCCCTGCAAAAACCTGGACCTCTACCCCTCTCGGCCCCTCCCCTCTCAGCCCACCCCTCCCCTCCCAGCTCCTCCCCTCTCAGCCCCCCCCTCCCCTGAGCCCCTCCCCTCCCAGCTCCTCCCTTCTCAGCCCCTCCCCTGAGCCCCTCCCTCCCCCCCCCCCCCCCCCCCCCCCCCCCCCCTCCCTGAACCCCTCCCCTCCCAGCTCCTCCCCTCTCAGCCCTTCCCCTCCCCTGAGCCCCTCCCCTTCTCAGCCCTTCCCCTCCCCTGAGCCCCCCCTCCCTCCTCCCCTCCAGCCCCTCCCCTCCCCTGAACCCCTCCCCTCCCAGCTCCTCCCCTCTCAGCCCCTCCCCTCCCCTGAGCCCCTCCCCTCCCAGCTCCTCCCCTCCCCCTTCCCCTCCCCTGAGCCCCTCCCCTCCCAGCTCCTCCCTTCTCAGCCCCTCCCCTGAGCCCCTCCCCTCCCAGCTCCTCCCCTCTCAGCCCTTCCCCTCCCCTGAGCCCCTCCCTTCTCAGCCCTTCCCCTCCCCTGAGCCCCTCCCTTCTCAGCCCCTCCCCTCCCCTGAGCCCCTCCCCTCCCCCTCCCCTCTCAGCCCTTCCCCTCCCCTGAGCCCCTCCCCTCCCAGCCCTTCCCCTCCCCTGAGCCCCTCCCCTCCCAGCTCCTCCCTTCTCAGCCCCTCCCCTCCCCTGAGCCCCTCCCCCTCCCAGCCCCTCCCCTCTCAGCCCTTCCCCTCCCCTCCTGAGCCCCTCCCCCTCCCAGCTCCTCCCTTCTCAGCCCCTCCCCTCCCCTGAGCCCCGCCCCTCCCCTCCCACCTTCCCTCTCAGCCCCTCCTCTCCCTGGGCCCCTCACCTGAGCTCCGCCTCTTCCCCCTAGCTCCTCCCCCCCGGTCCCTGCCCGCATGCGCATGCGCAACCCCCACCCCAGGTTCGCCCCTCCTTCCGCGACCGTTGAGGCGCTCGCGCTCCGGCCCCGCCCCACTCCTGTCAATTTCGGCCAATCAGCAGTCGCCCGCCGGCCCGCTCCCCACGTGACTCCGTGGTCCCGGCCAATCAGGGAGCGGTCGCCCAGGCCAAAGCCAATGGGTAGCAGCGGCCGCGCCCACGCGTCCCGGCTCGGCCAATCAGCGGGCGACTCCCCAGGCAGCGCGCGTCGAACGGGAGCCCGGGCAGCCGCTGTGGCCGGCGGACGCTCAGCGCCGGGCCGAGACAAGGGGAGGGGGAAACTGGGGTCCCGGAGCTACGTCACCGGGGGGACCCCGTTACCAAGGAGACCGGGGGTCCGGAGCTACGTCACTGGGGGGACCCTGTTGCCAAGGAGCCCGGGAGCCCGGAGCAGCGTCACTGCGGGGACCCCGTTACCAGCAAGGCCTGGGTTCTAGAGCCGTGTTGCCAAGGCGACCGGGGGACGTGCCCGCCAGCCTCGCTGCCCTGGGGGCCGGGGGGCTCTCGCGCTGCGTTGCTAGGAGACCGGAGTCCCGAGCAGGAGGGGTCGGGGTGCTAGAGCTGCGCAGCAGGTTGCCATGCCGACCAGGGTGTTCGTTCTAGAGCAGCGTTGCCAAGAGACGCGCTGTTCTGGAGCCGCTTTCCCCTGGGGGGGGTTCTAGACCGGCGTTCGTGAGAGGCTCTCGATCCTGAGCGCAGAGCTAGAGACACCGGGGGGGGGGGGGTTCTGGAGCTCTGTCAGCAAGAGGGGGATCTAGAACCGCAGAGGGGCGGTGGGTCTGGAGCTGGGAAAGGGCCCTGCCGGGCTCCAGAACTGCGTTGCAGGGGAAGGCAAAGGGGATCCAGAGCTGGGGCAGGGGGAGGCCTCCAAGCCCCCCATGCTTTGGCTCCCCTGAGCCCACGGGGGGGCCGGTAGCGGGGTCCCCCCACCCCCTGCAGGGAGCCAGTGCACTTTAGCAGCAGCCAGGGCGGGGAGACGATGCCGTGAGCTGTTGTGTCGTCAGCTGGATAACGAGGGAGGTAACGGGAGGGAATTAATCCCCCCCCACACACACCCCGGGCAGGAGAGGTTGGGGCAGGTCTAGGCCCGCAGCAGGAGCTGGGTAAATTTCCAGCCACTGCTACCATGAGTTGCTCCTGTCTCAGCCAGTAAACTTCTCAGAGAAGAATAGAACCCAGGAGTCCTGGCTCCAAGGCCCCCCGTTCTAACCCACTATACCGCACCCCTTCCCAGAGCTGGGGTAGAACCCAGGAGTCCTGATTCCCAGCACCCCCTCCCCAATGCTGGGGAGGGGGAGCCAGCCATGCCATCTGAGGCCCTGCCCTGCTTCCAGCTGCTGCGGATGGGCCCAGCCAGTCCGGGGGATGACCCGAACCGGGACCTGCACACCTTCCGGCCAGCTGGGCCGCACTGCACCTACCGGCTGGGGCGCCGGGCCGAGGTCTGCGACGTCCCCCTGGTGTCAGAGCGCAACCCGGGGCTGGTGTCCCGCATCCACGCCGAGATCCACGCCGAGAGGGACCCGCACAGCACCGCCGGGGAGTGGCGGGTCTGCCTGGTGGACTGCAGCACCCATGGTGAGGGCTGGGGGGCGCTGTGCTGGGGGGAGCGGGGCGGGAGCTCAGCAGGGGCACTCTGCCCTGGCACTCAGCGCTGGCTCATGCCTTAACACTATTGCTCTGGATCCCCGCCCAGTTAATTCCTTCCTCTGCACTTCGCATCGGAGACGATTCCCTTTTCACTTCCTGTTTAAAGACTCGCCCAGGGTCACTAGCCGCCGAGCCTCACCCCAGAGGCAGCTGCATTTCAGCCCCAGGCCAGTCATCTCAGTGCAGGGTCCCTGGGTGGCCACTAATCCTGTCCCACCCCAGAGGTGGCTGCATGTCAGTGGCGACTGAAAAGATCCCAGAGGGTAAGTTATCACACACACAACCAATCCTCCCTCCCTCTGTGTTCTCCCGTACACACCCCTCTGTCTAAGGCAGCAGTTCTCGGCTTGCAGGCCGCATGCAGCCCAGTTAGCACACAGCTGTGTGCTAATGGCTGCCGGGCCGTGCGGCTGCCCAGTGCACCAGGGTCCTGGCTGCCCGGCGCGATGTGTTGGGGTCGCCAGCTGGCTCCATGGGGCCCAGGGCTGCCGCCCAGCCCTACAGAGTCCGGGGTCAGTGATGGGGCTGTCACCTGGCCCCGCACAACAGGGCCTGGGGTCCCTGCCACCCTGCCCAGGACTCCACTCCTGGGCCCACTCTGTGGAGCTGTCTCTGGGCGGGAGACACTGGGCATAGGGTCTGTGTGTGGTGGGAGGGGGGGTTGGGGAGAGGGGGGCGTTGTGGTTCTCAACCTGTGGACCAGGTAACACGTTGTGGGCTGCATATGCGGCCCACGATGATAAATAGTTGAGACCCACTGGTCTAAGGTATCCTCCTGTCTGTCCCTCACCCCCATACTCCTCTTTCTGCCTGTCTATCAAGCTATCCCTCCCCATACACATCTACCTGTCTCTCTGTCTATCCCCCTACACACCTACCTATCTGTCTGTCTGTTCCCATACACGTCTGTCTATCTGTCTATCCATCTCCATACACGCCTGTCTCTCTCCATCCCTATCCACGTCTGCCTATCTGTCTGTTCATCCCCATACACACCTATGTGTCTGTCTGTCCCCATACACGCCTGTCTATCTATCCATCCCCATATACCCCATCTCTCTAATCTCTCTCCCCCAATATCTATCATCTCTCCATCTAGTTCTACCTCTATTCGTTTAATTAAAATTAAAAAACCCTGGAAATTCCCTGACCCAAAGCTCTGCACAGGTCGCCCCCGTGAGCCCGGCAGTTCCCATGAGAAGGACTCGCTCCCCTGTGGCCACTAGCCCACCACCAAGTGTGCCAGGGACCCCTGGCCTCCCCCTTCACCCCGCTCTCTCCTTCCCATCTCCGCCAGGCACCTACGTCAACGCGGTGCGGGTGCCCCGGGGCCGGCGCCTGGAGCTGAGCGACGGAGACCTGGTCACCTTCGGCCACCCGGACCCTGTGCCCGAGGGCTGCGCCCTGGCACCCCCGCCTGACGACTCGGAGTTCTGCTTCCTCTTCCAGAAGGTGCGGGTGCAGCCCCAGGATTTTGCCGCCATCACGGCCCCCAAGGCCCCCTGGCCGCTCCCCTGCGGCTTCAAACCCGTGCTGCCTGGCGGCAACCATCGCATCCGCCCACTAGCCCGGCCCGCGGGGCCCTCTCGCCCTTCCCGCCCCAAGGCCACCCTGATCCTCAGCTCCATCGGCAGCCTCAGCAAGCTCAAACCACAGCCACTGACTTTCACCCTGAACCGGGGTCCGAGGTCGGAGCCTCCCTCCCGGCCCGGGGCCTCCAGGAGCCGTCGGAAGTCGGCCCACACGCTGCTCCCCGAGCTGGAGGACGAGGTGACCCGGCTGGACGAGGAGCCGTGGGCTTGTGAGCCGGATGGATACAGCTGCCAGAGCCCGCTGCGGAAGGCGCCGGAGGGGGCAGGGAGCGGCAGGGCGCAGCCAGATGCGCGACTGAAGGTCCAGGTCACGCCAAGCGGGTGAGTCGAGTCGGTGTCCCAGCATGCTCTGTGGAGGGGGCAGGATCATAGCACCTACATCTCCCCCGAAAGGGCTGGAGATTGCCCTGCTACCCTCAGCTGTCATCGTCTGCCCTGTGTTATACTTGGCACTGCCCACGGTGCTCTGCCCCAGAGCTGGGCGCACAAAAGGCTCTAAACTCACAATAAGGTGTGGGGGGCCCCAGCCTGGCATTGGGACCTCCCAGAGGCCAGCGTGGGTGAAGGGGGAGCCGTTGGGTTTAGCACTGAGGCAGCAATTGGTTTGTAGGGTCCTGTGATACATGAGGGGCTAGTGAGCCAGCCAGTGTCTCCTAGAGGGGAAAGGCCCCACCTGACCCACCCTGTCCCTTGCCCTGGGTCCAGATCAGAGCCAGCATCCCCGAGAGGGGACAGGCCCCGGGCCCCATTCTCTGCCCCCCTGAGTCAGCCAGTCCCCGCCCTGGGGCTGGATCGGAGCCGGTGCCCCCTAGATGGGGAGGCCCAGCGTCACTCACCTCTCCCGTCCCGTTGCAGGAAGCGGCGGGGGCGGCCGCGGAAGCACCCGCTGCGTGACACCTGCCAGGTGTTCTCGCAGACGCTGCTGGCGGCGGAGCCCTGCGCGGCCCCACGCTGCCGCCTGCCCCAGGACGAGACGGTGCAGTGGGTGCAGTGCGACGGCTGCGACGCCTGGTTCCACGTGGCCTGCGTGGGCTGCAGCTACAGCGCCGTCCAGGAGGCCGACTTCCGCTGCGGGGGCTGCCGCACGTAGCCGCAGGGCAGGGGAGCACGGGGCGGCCAGGAGACTGGAGACGGTGCAAGATGGGCAGGGAGTGGTGACACCGGGCCTGGCGATTGTGTGCGCGCACAGACAGTGACTGGTGACACCGGGCCAGGCGATTGTGTGCGCGCACAGACAGTGACTGGTGACACCGGGCCTGGCGATTGTGTGCGCGCACAGACAGTGACTGGTGACACCGGGCCAGGCGATTGTGTGCGCGCACAGACAGTGACTGGTGACACCGGGCCTGGCGATTGTGTGCGCGCACAGACAGTGACTGGTGACACCGGGCCAGGCGATTGTGCGCGCACAGACAGTGACTGGTGACACCGGGCCAGGCGATTGTGCGCGCACAGACAGGGACTGGTGACACCGGGCCTGGCGATTGTGTGCGCGCACAGACAGGGACTGGTGACACCGGGCCAGGCGATTGTGTGCGCGCACAGACAGTGACTGGTGACACCGGGCCTGGCGATTGTGTGCGCGCACAGACAGGGACTGGTGACACCGGGCCTGGCGATTGTGTGCGCGCACAGACAGGGACTGGTGACACCGGGCCAGGCGATTGTACGCGCACAGACAGTGACTGGTGACACCGGGCCTGGCGATTGTGTGCGCGCACAGACAGGGAGTGGTGACACCGGGCCTGGCGATTGTGTGCGCGCACAGACAGGGAGTGGTGACACCGGGCCTGGCGATTGTGTGCGCGCACAGACAGGGAGTGGTGAAACATGACACCTTAGAAGGCACTGGTGAAATCGTGGGAGACAAGCAATGACTGGTGAAATGTGCCAGGCGATTATGCATGCCCAGCGGCTAGTGCCACCGTGCCAGCCAAGTGGGGACTGGGTGAAAACAGCCGAGGAGCCTGAAGCAAGAAACGTAAGCCGGGCACGTGGCTGGCGATGGAAAGAAGAGATGCCCGACTCGTGACTTGTGCAAAAGTGCCAAGACGATTGTGCAAACCTGGGAGCCGAGCACATCCCTCTGGGCTGGGATTTCTGTTCCCCTACAGGGAATGGGACACGGGGCCTTTCCTCTCTACGGGGCACCGGCTCCACAATCCAGCCCCAGCGCACGTGAGCTGTGGCTTGTGAAAATGTGCCCGATGGGGTGAGAGCCAATGGAGGGCCGATGCCTGAGCAGTGCCTCACACTAACTGTGCCGGGCTTTCGCTCCCAATCAGGCCGGGCGTTGGCCCGGTGCCGCCTCAGAGCATTTGGCATTCGTGCGCAGCATGGACATCGAAGCAGCGGCTCGCAGAGACTACACGCGGCCCTCGTGACAAACAAGGCAGCTGTGCAGCCTCGCACGAGGAGGTGACCTGGCCATTTCCACGCCCACGAGGACTCCAGGAGGGCATCCAAGATGCGCACACCCCCGTGCGATTGATTCATCTGCCAGCCTTTACACCCCATTCCCTTCCTTCTTTCCGTAGCAGCCGCTTCTCCCTGCGCCTGGATTTCCCCGTGCGAATACACCCAGTCGTCATGGCCTCCCACGGAGCCGCTTCCCCGCTCCCTTCTTCCTTCCAGGGGAGGGGAGACGGAAAAGAAGGGAGTGAAAACGCGCCGGAAAGGCCAGAAAAACTGGATTTTTCAGCCTGTTCCTAAAACGGGGTTCTTCCTACTCCTAAACCGGACCTTTCCCGCCCACGACGCTGGTGAATGGCTCCCCCCGCCGCGCCATGGGCGGAGACGCGGATCCACCTCTCCCCTCTGTTATTTTTTCCTTCTTTTGCTCTGGCACCAAAAAAAAAAAAGGGGGGGGGTGTTTCTAACTGATCACCTGTTTGTTTTTCTCCACCGTCCCGCTCCACTTGTGCCCATTGCAGTCTAACATGCGCCACAAAAACCAACCCCTGGCGAATGGTTTGTGTGTAGCTGCCGCCCACTCCAAATTTGCTGCAGCACAGAGCACCCTATATGTGCCTAGGTCCCTCCTCAGCTACTGCGCGCCTGCCGGCAGGAGGCTGGTATTGCAAGCCTGGGAATTGACCCTCCGGGGCAGGAGAAGCCAAGGAGCGCACCCCCAGAGGGGAACTGTGGCTCAGGGGGCAGGGAGTTGGGAGATCAAGACCCCCTCGCAAGTCCATCATCTACAGTGCGGTCCCATTCCCTGCTGGCCACAGCTGTCGCTTCCTCGGATCCGGTCGATCACAACCAAACCGAACCTGCAGGCAGATCTCTGTGTGGCCCGGGTTCAGGTGGGGAGGGTAGTAGGGTCTAGTGGTTAGAGCGGGGGGGGAGGGGAGCTGGGAACCAGGACTCCTGGGCTGTGTCCCCCGGGGAGGAGAGTGGGGTCTAGTGGTTAGAGCAGGGGGCAGCTGGGAGCCGGGACTCCTGGGTTCTGTCCCCAGCTCTGGGAGAGGAGTGGGGCCTAGTGCTTAAAGCAGGGGGGGCTGGGAGCCAGGACTCTCTCTTGCTGCCCCAGTGACCTGAGCTTCAGTCTTTTCCTGTTACACCCACCCCAGTGAGAAAAGGCAGGGTCAGGGCTGCGGTGCTAGCCCAGGGCGGGGGGTTTCCTGGCTGGGAAGGTAGCCGAGGCCAGGTGGCCTTGGGGGGGTTAAATCCTGCCAGGCAAGGCCCCACCCTGAGTCAGTGGCCTGCTGGATCTTGGACCTGCACGAGCCCTGCCTGGGAAACAAGACGGGGCGCCGGCCCTGGCTCTGTGCTGCAGGGCGGGGGGCTCAGCAGGGGGCGCTGGGCTGCGGGGAGCGGGGCAGGAGAGGGTGTTTTTCCTCACGTTACAAAACCAGACACGGACACCACCCGGCGTTTGGGTAACGAGTCATTTAATAAGGCACCGAGAGGGGGGTGGGTGCGAGCGTGCAGCAGCTTCCCGTCAAGACACCGCCCGGGATTCTCGCCCCCGCCCAGTAAAACCCAGATCACTTTCCCCACAGCAGATTCAGCAGCAAAAAAAAAAGAGAGAAAAGATGGGGGGGGGGGGAGCAGATGGTAGGGATGCAGCCAGAGGGGTCAGGACTCTTAGCGCCTCCTGCTGAAGAAAAAGAGTCTTACACTATTTACACCATTCCCTAAAAAAGAGCTACAAAGTCTAGAGGAATGTGGCTGATCTAGAAAAAAAAAAAAACCCTGACGGTTCCTGGGATGGGAGATGGGGGGCTGTGGGGTCCCTGGGGGTTGTTGCAGGGCAGCCGGACACTCAGGAGGCTGGAGGGGGTTGTGTGGTTCTGGAGTCACAGTGGTTCTAAATTCCTCCTGTCCTGGTTCTGGAGTCACTGCGGGTCTAGACTTGATGCATGTTGGTTCTGGAATCACTGTGGTTCGGTATAGTGACGTCTTCGGCAAATGGAGCAAGGTTCTAGACTCACCGTACTCGTTCTAGAGTCGACAACGAGCTGCTGCAGCTCTGGACTGTCCCCCCTGCAACCTGAGGTTCCTGAAGGGGAGATAGGGTTTGGACACCCCTGCCCCAGACCCTCCATGGGAGGAGGCCTCAGAAGTGGGTGACTGGGTTCTAGAGCCAGAGGGGTTAGTCTAGATCAGTGGTTCTCAAACTGTGGGTTGGGACCCCATTTTAAGGGGGTCACCAGGACTGCTTAGACTTGCTGGTGCACGGGGCTGAAGCCCAAGGGATTCACCCTTGGGTGGTGGGGATCAGGTTACAGGCCCCCTGGCTGGGGCTGAAGCCTTTGGCTTTGACCCCTACCCTGCCCAGGGCGGGGGGCTCAGGCTTTGGCTCCCCCACACGGGACAGTGGGAATCGGGTGGACTCAGGCTTCAGTCCGTCCCCCCCCTTGGGGTCACGTAGTAATTTTTGTTTTCAGAAGGGAGTCACGGTGCAATGAAGTTTGAGAAGCCCTGGTGTAGATGTCATACACGTAGGTTGATGGAAGCTCACCGGGATGGAGTTCTAGTTTCCCCCAGATGTTCTAGAGCCCCTACCCACGGTTGGGCTACACGGGAGGTTCTAGATCACACCCAGAAGCTCTCAGCGTGGGTGGCCTGATTCCAAAGTATTCATGGTTACACTAGAACCCTCCCACCTTGAAAGTGCCGATGTTCTGGATTCCTCATGGTTCGAGATCCATGACTTGCTCCCCAAGATACCTGAAAGGAGCTGACAGGAATCGAGCCACCAGAGCTTTCTTAGCTATTCTAGCCCTATAAAGATATGACAGGACTTTCTGGAGTCTCCCGTTGAGGTACCTAGAACACCATCGGCTCAAGATTGTCCACTGAGAGGCTGGAGCTGTTCTAGACCTCAGATGGCGGGGACAGGGTGGGTTCTAGAGCACACCAAGAACATCCCACTTCTAGAGTCTGCCTGGTTGGGGGTGTTTGCAGCCCAGAGCCTCTAGAGCCAAGATGGGGTGCTGGCTGGAGAACGCTTGCTCGGTCTAGACAAGGCTGATCTAGAACCAGTCCTTCCCCCTGCCTTGAGGCCTTTCAGACTGGGGGGGAGGGGGAAGATTTGCCTGTAAATAAAAACGTACCCACAATCCCTTGCCTTAAAATAAAAATGGGGGGAGGGGTGCGCAAATCAGCCCCCTCCCGAGAAATTGACACACAATCCCTTGCCTTAAAGTTAAGCAAGGGGGGGGGGTTCCAGTTAAAATCCCCCACCCTGACCCTCCTGTCCGCCCGCCCCACCCCCAACCCCCTGGCGCTCAGGTGGAGTGCATGGGGTGGCCCATGAGGGGGGGCCCAGGGGGAGTGGGGTCGAAGGGCTCCCCCCCGTGGTGGAACTGGGGCACGTAGAGGGCGGCGAAGGCGGCAGCGTTGTAGCCCTGGGGGGGCGGAGGGTGGTGCCCCATGGGGGGCCCCGGCAGCTGGCCGGGGGAGCGAAGGGCAGGGCCCCCCCCTCGCAGTCGTCGCGCCCGGAGCAGCCCCCGCTGCGCTTCCCCTTCTGCCGGCGGTTGCAGAACCAGACGCGGACCACCTGGGGGGGGACAGACGGACAGACGTCAGCCCCATGGGATGGGCTGCCCCCGCGCCCCCCCACAGCCTCCTGCACCCCTCCCCCACACAGCCCCCTCACTCGCAGCCCTCCCTGCACATAGCCCCCCTCCCCATGCCCCCCATGCACACGCAGTCTCCTGCACCCCTCCCCCCCACAGCTCCCCTGGGCCGCACCCTCCCCCAGCCCCCGAACCCGCAGCCCTCCATGCACACATGGCCCCCAGCACCCTCCCCCCCGCGGCACCCCTCCCTGCGCACCGCCCCCCCGGGACTCACGTCCTTGTCGAGGTGCAGGTCGTGGGCGATGTGGGTGATCTCCTGCAGGCTGGGCTTGGGGCAGCGAAGAAAGTAACTCTCCAGGGAGCCCCGCGCCGCCGTCTCGATGCTGGTTCGCTTCCGCTTGCGGGCCTGGAGCAGGGCGCTCTCCATGCTGCACATCTGGGGGACAGGCGGGGCACCCCCCGCAGAGTCACCGCCGCGCCCCCGACTCCCCCGTCCCCCCGCAGAGACACCGCCATGCCCCCGACTCCCCCCGCAGAGTCACCGCGGCGCCCCGACTCCCCCCCCCCGCCCCCCCCCCCCCCCCCCCCCCCCCCCCCCCCCCCACCCCCCCCCCCCCTCCCCCCCCCGCAGAGTCACCGCGCCCCGCGCCCCCCGCAGAGTCACCGCCCCTGACTCCCCCCGTCCCCCCGCAGAGTCACCGCCATGCCCCCGACTCCCCCCGCAGAGTCACCGCGGCGCCCCGACTCCCCCGTCCCCCCGCAGAGTCACCGCCATGCCCCCGACTCCCCCCGCAGAGTCACCGCGGCGCCCCGACTCCCCCCGTCCCTCCGCAGAGTCACCGCCATGCCCCCGACTCCCCCCGCAGAGTCACCGCGGCGCCCCCGACTCCCCCGTCCCCCCGCAGAGTCACCGCCATGTCCCCGACTCCCCCGTCCCCCCGCAGAGTCACCGCGGCGCCCCGACTCCCCTGTTCCCCCGCAGAGTCACCGCAGCACCCCGACTCCCCCCCCTCCCCGCCCCCCCCCCCCCCCCCCCCCCCCCCCCCCCCCCCCCCCCCCCCCCCCCTCCCTCTGCAGAGTCACCGCCGCGTCCCCGGCTCCCCCCATCTCCCTATTCCCGGTCACCCCAGCGCCCCCCCCGGAGAGTCACTACAGCACCCCCGACTCATCTTATGCCCAAATAAATCTGTTAGAGTCTCTAGGGCGCCTCCTTGTTTTTGCTGATGCAGACTAACACGGCTGCCCCTCCAAAACCACCAACCTCCCCCAGTCATCCCAGGGCCCCTCCAGCCCTCCCCACCCCCAGATTCCCCCCCATAGTCACCCCAGAAGGCCATTGCCCCCTTGACATGTGAACCCCCACAGAGTCACCCCCCAGCCTGCCCCGTCTCCCCCATTCCCCCCCAAGTCACCCCAGTATCCCACCCAGCCCTAGTCCCTCCCAGAGTCAACCCAGCATCCCCTGTCCCTGTCCCCCCGAGTCACACCAGCAGCCCCCCAGCAGGCCATTGCCCCCCAGCACACCAACCCATCCACTCATCCCAGCCCCCCCCTCAGAGCAGCCCATCCTCCCCCCAGTCCCCCCAACCCCCAGGTCCCCCACAACCTCCCCCCGAAACACAGCAGGCTGTTGCCTCCCCCCCTCCCCAACATGCCAACCACCCTTTGGGCCCAGCCCCCCCATGATGTCAATCCACAGGTGCCCCCCCAAATCCCACCCGGCCCCCCACCCACCTCCTGCAGGTTGGCGTTGCCGTCGGCCTCGTCCAGCCAGCGCTGCAGGAGCGGTTTCAACTTGCACATGTTCTTGAAGCTCAGCTGCAGGGCCTCGAAGCGGCAGATGGTCGTCTGGCTGAACATCTTCCCTGGGGGGCGGGGGGGGGGGGGTCAGGGCCGAGGGCGGGGGCAGCCTTGCCCGGACCCAACGGGCAACCCCCGCCCCAGCCGTCTTACCTGTGTGTGGGGGAGCCCCTGCTCTCTGAACGGACCCCGGCGTCCTGGGACATCCCCCACGCCCCCTTGGAAATGGGCCCAGGAGTCTAGGGACACCCCCCTGCCCTGTGAACGGACCCTGGCATCCGGGCCCCGCCCGCACACCCCCTTGGAAATGGGCCCAGGAGTCTAGGGACACCCCCCTGCCCTGTGAATGGACCCTGGCATCCGGGCCCTGCCCCCACACCCCCTTGGAAATGGGCCCAGGTGTCCAGGGACACTCCGCACCCTGTGAACGGGCCCTGGCGTCCCCCCAGCCCATTCAGGAATGGACCCCAGCGTCCGGGAGCCCCCCCAGTGACACGCACCATACAGCACACCCAGGGCCAGCCCCACGTCGGCCTGCGTGAACCCCAGCGTGATCCTCTTGTGCTTCAGCTCCTTGGCAAACTGCTCCATCTCCTCCGTGCTGGGGGTCTCCTGGGGAAGGGGACGGGGGCCTGTCAGTGGGGAGGGGCAGGGAGAGAACCCAGGCGTCCTGGCTCTCCGCCCTGCCCCCACTCTAACCACGAGACCCCTCCCCTCCCAGAGCCGGGGACAGACCGCAGGGCTGGGCTAGCAGGGGGCTGCGGTCTGGAGTGGGGGGGCACTGGCAGAGCTTGGTCCGGGGGGAGTTTCCAGCCTGGAGCCAGGGCTCTGGCCCCGCGATCATCTGGCAGGAATCTGGCCGCTCAAGTCCCAGGGCTCAGGACACAGATGGAGCCCGGGTAACAACTGCCCCGGCTGAGCAGCTTGAGATCGTCCATTCCTGACACACCCACAGCCCCTCCCCACCTAGCCGGGGACAGAACCCCGGAGTCCTGGCTCCCAGCCCCCCCTGCTCTAACCACTAGACCCCACTCCCCTCCCAGAGCCAGGAGTGAACCCAGGAGTCCTGGCTCCTGCCCCTGTGTTAGGAGACCTGGGGCGCTGGGTGGAGGATCTGTTCCCATCACCCAGGCAATGGCCCCATCGCTCAGGAATGACAACGACCCCGCACCTGTCTGACCAGCCCTGCCCGCACTGCGGCCAGCTCTGGGGAACAGTGGATGGGTGACACCCGCCCGCCTTCGGGACAAGGAGGGAAGTTGTGTCCCGGTTCCCAGCCCCCGCACTCTAACCGCTAGCCCCTACTCCCCTCCCCGAGCCAGGGAGAGAACCCAGGAGTCCTGGCTCCCAGCCCCCCTGCTCAAACCACTAGGCCCCACTCCCCCCCCCGAGCTGGGAGAGAACCCAGGAATCCTGGCTCCCAGCCCCCCCCTACTCTAACCACTGGCCCCATTCCACTCCCTGAACCAGGAGAGAACCCAGGAGTCCTGGCTCCCAGCCCCTTTGGGCTGGGGAGTGGGCCTGGGCCAGTGCCCTCAAGGGGGAATTCACGGGTGATTGTAAATCAGGGAGGAGTCCCAATTAGAGAGCAGGAACATATCTTCCTTTGGGGCAGCTGGACACAGGGCCTAGCCCGAGTGGGGGAGGGAGGCTGGGAGCTAGGACTCCTGGGTTCTCTCCCCAGCTCTGGGAGGGGCGTGGGGGCCTAGTGATTAGAGCAGTGGGGGCTGGGAGCCAGGACTCCTGGGTTCTCTCCCCAGCTCTGGGAGGGGTGTGGGGGCCTAGTGGTTAGAGCAGGGGGAGCTGGGATCCTGGACTCTACTCCACTTCCTGTCCCAAACTCTGCCCAGCTGAGGTGTGGCGGGATCGGCTGGGATCTCTCTCGCACCCCAGGGTGGATCCACAGAGATCCCGAGGGACCCGGTCCGTAGCTCAGGGGATCTGCTGGGATCTCGGGAGATCCACCCCCAGGATCTCGCCCAGCCCCAGAGCCTGTCCGTACCTCATCCCCGCTCTCGGCCTCGTCCGCCTTGACCTCGCCGGGGGCCGCCGGCGCCCCGGGGCTGCCCCCGCTGCCATCGCTCCGGGGGCTGCTGGCCCCGCTGCCCTCGCCCCCCTCGCCCGCGGGGCCTGGGGGCGGAGCGGGCAGGGTGGCCAGGGGGCGGGCGGCGGCCTGGGGCAGGAAGCAGCCCCCCCAGGCCTGGGCCGGGTGCCCGTAGATGGGGCCCTGTTGGCCACACTCCCGCTCCGGCTTGACGTCAGGCTTCAGGCCTTCGTAGGCCGCAGCCGGCTGGCCAGGGCCGTAGGGGGGCGCCCAGCCCTCCCCGCCCATGGGGAAGGGGCACCAGGCTCGGAGCAGGGCCTGGTGCCCGGCGGGGTCCCCTGGCTGCGTCTCCAGGAGCCCCCCCTGCGGCCCGTAGTCCAGCCGGTAGCCGTAGCCCTGCCCGGGGGCCACCCCATTGTAGGCCTCAGGCAGGAAGCTGCCGGGCCCCTCGTGGGGCGCGTTGGCTGGGCCCGGCGGGACGGCGTCCAGGTGCAGGCCCTGCCCCGCCAAGGGGTACGGGCGCCCCAGTTCCTGCCCCACGTGGCCGGCCATGGTGACGGGCCAGGGGACGCAGGGAGATGGCCACCTCGAGGGCACGGCTCAGTCCACGGCCACCGGGCCGAGGGGGCGGCGGGACCCAGGCGTCCGGGGTGAAGCTCTGCGGTGGTGGGACCCAGGTGTCTGGGGTGCAGCTCAGCCACCAAGGGACTCAGGTGTCCGGGGTGAAGCTAAGCCGGCGGGGGGCCCAGGCGTCCAGGGGATGCAGCTCAGCCGGCGGGGGACCCAGGCGTCTGGAGTGAATCTCAGCTGGTGAGGGACCCAGGCGTCCAGGGGATGCAGATAAGCCAGTGGTGGGACCCAGGCGTCCGGGGTGCAGCTCAGCTGGCAGGGGAACCCAGGCTTCCGGGGGATGCAGCTCAGCCGGCGGGGGGACCCAGGGGTCTGAAGTGAATCTCAGCTGGTAAGGGACCCAGGCGTCCGGGGGATGCAGCTAAGCCAGCGGTGGGACCCAGGCGTCCCTGGTGAATCTCAGCTGGTGAGAGACCCAGGCGTCCGGGAGAATTTGGCTCCTACCTCCTGTGCTGTCCTGGCCAAGGTTAAGCAGGAGGAGCTGGTAAGAACCCAGGCGACCGAGAGATTCTGGCCCCTAACTCCCTGCCAAGGCGAAGTCCAAGAGGAACCCAGGCATCCGGGGAAAGTTCAGGGGGTGGAAGCCAGGCGTTCAGAAGGAGCGCAGCTTCTGGGGACCCAGGCGTCCGGGACAACGGGGCTGCCACTCCTCGGACCCCCTGGGCAAGCAGTGAAACCCAAGGGGGGGGGGTGGAGGGAACCCAGGCGTCCGAGAGAACGTAGCCCCCACTCCTCTGACCTCTTAGTTGACCGGTGAAGCCCAAGAGGGGTGCAGGAAACCCAGGCGTCCGGGAGAACGTAGCCCCCACTCCTCTGACCTCCTAGTTGCCTGGTGGACCCAAGCAGGGCTGGAAGGAACCCAGGTGTCCGGGAGAAGCAAGCAGCAGCTCCTGCCTCTGCGCCAGTGTTGCCCCCCCCAACCCGCCTCGTTAACCCCTCCCTGGCCGGGCCCCACCCCGAGCATTGGCTGCCCCACTCCCTCCCCCGATTCAGCTCCAAGGAGCCGGCCCCTCCCACCCGGATCAAAGCCAGGGGCTCTGCCAAGGTCGCCCCCCCTCCCCCCCGCTAAGTGCCCCATCGCCGCTCAATGGGTCCCACTTAGCTCCAGACAATGGCCCCGAGGCCTGCCGGGGGGGACGCTGAGAGTGGGGGGCAGGACTCCTGGGGTCTCCGGGAGGGGACTGGTGGTCGGGTGGGGTGGGGGCTGGGAGCCAGGACTCCTGGGTTCTCTCCCTGGCTCTGGGAGGGGAGTGGGGTCTAGTGGTAAGAGCAGTGGAGGGAGCTGGGAACCAGGACTCCTGGGTTCCCTCCCTGGCTCTGGTCGGTGTGGGAGGAGGGTTACAGGCAGGATGAGTGAAGTGGGGTGCAGAAGGGTGAAATGACTGACTTGACCTTTAAAGACAGCTCAGAAAGTCAATGGCAGAACCCAGGCGTCCTGGCTGGCTCCTAGCCCTCCCGAGCCGGGGAGAACCCAGGCGTCCTGGCTCCCAGCCCCCCTCAGTCTGGCCCATCAGCCTCACTCCCCGAGTTTGGGGAGACCGGGGCGGGTGGTTCACGGCCAAGGGCTGGGGGGAGGCCCGTGGGGACAGGCAGCGGAGGCGGCCAGGAAGCCAGCCCCCCGGGGGAGCCATCAAGGTCCGGGCTGCCCCATTGATGTGAGAGCCGGGCGCTTAGCAAGAGAATGGCTTTGATACATTGTGCGGGGCGAGGGCGGGGGGCACCAGGGGGCGGGGGAGCCAGGACTCCTGGGTTTATCTCCCCTTGGTTTCGGTCGGGTTTTGATCACTCTGCAGCCTGTGATGGGCGTGAGCGGGGCGGGGCTGTCTGGGCTGGGGGGGCTGGGAGCCAGGACTCCTGGGTTCTCTCCCTGGCTCTGGGAGGGGAGGGGGGCAGTGGTTAGGGCAGCGGGGGTTGGGAGCCAGGACTCCTGGGTTCATTCCCGTCTCTGGGAAGGGAGCGGGGGGGGGGGGGGGCAGTGGTTAATGCCAGGTGGGATGGGAGCCAGGACTCCTGGGTTCTCTCCCTAGCTGTGGGAGGGGAGTGGGGTCTGGTGGTTAGAGCAGGGGGGGCTGGGAGCCCAGACTCCTGGGTTCCCTCCCTAGCTGTGGGAGGGGAGCAGGGGTCAGTGGTTAATGCCGGGTGGGATGGGAGCCAGGACTCCTGGGTTCTCTTCTGGCTCTGGGCGTAGGGCAGGGGGCAGTGGTTAGGGCATGGGGGGCTGGGAGCCAGGACTCCTGGGTTCTCTCCCTGGCTGTGGTGGTGGGGGGTAGTGGTCAGGGCAGGGCGGGCTGGGAGCCAGGCCTCCTGGGATCTCTCCCGGCTGGGAGGGGCAGGGGTTGGCCCCCCAGCACTTAGCAGGCTGTTGGGGGGTGAATGCCCCGGCCGGGTGCTATTGTGGCCGGGATGGCCAGTGACACGCTCAGCTATTCAGGTATCAATAGCCCAGCCCTGGGCCCAGCTGACCTGGGGGCGGCTCATTGTGTATCTCTGGATGGGCTGTTAAACCTGAGGCCTCAACCTTGGGGGGGGGGAGCTGGGGGTCAGGATTGAATGAGGGGCACCAGCAGGGCTGGGGGGGCAGGGGGCTGCAGGTCGGGAGTGAGGGGCACTGGAAAGTTAGTGGGATCAGGTAGAGAATTGAGGGTGAAAGCTCAGGGAGAATTTGGGGTCCCGTTTCTGGGGGGGGGATGTCCAACTGGGGGGTAGTTTACAGCATTCAAAGAGAATTTGGGGAGCAAGTGCCTGATATTTGGGGGTGATTCTTTGGGGGAACTGGGTGTAACTGTGTCTGGGATTGGGGGCAGGGTTCACTGAAGGGTCCTGGGGCCCAGTTGGATTGAGGGGGGCTGGTGAGTCTGGGGGGTCCTTTCTAGCAGGGGAGCCCTGGCTAGGATTCAGGATGGCAGATATTTCAGGGGGATGTTGATAGAAGAGATGCCTAAGAGACTTCGGTGGTTGCGGGGGGCCCTGGCGAAGGACGTGGGGGGTTCCCCAAATCTCAGGGTCACATGACCGGGAATGGGGGGTTATGGGGCATAGGCTCCGTGTCTCGCATCCTGCCCCAGTCAGCTGCCCCATGGCCCAGCCCTTTGTCCTGCAGCCCAGGAGATGGGACCGCAGCCCACTGGCAGCCCCACGGCAGTGTCCCCCCCAGATCAGAGCCAGCACCCCCTAGAGGGGCCAGGCCCGGTGTCCGAGACTCACAGATGCCTTCATCTCTTTTGCTTTTCTCTTTTATTCCAAGTTGGAGGGTTGAATAAATAGGTGGGAAACTGGGGGGCGGAGTGGGAGGGGAGCAGCATGGCGGGGAGCAGTATGTGGGGGGGCAGCTGGGCAGGCGGGGAGCAGGGGGCCTCTAGCATCTCCCTCCGATCTCCCCTGGGAACCTGGTATGGACCAGAGCGTGTTTGTGTCATCGCCCCCTGCTGGGGGGCTCAGACCTGCCCCATGTTTCCCCGCCAGCAGCCCGGGGCGTGGGAGCTGCCGGGACACCCGGAGCCCTGACAGCCACGCGACTGAGCGGGGCTGTGACCCGCGTGTGAGCCCGATGCCCGGGGCGTCACGGATGAGGGAAACCCGGCCGGCCGCGCGCGGCCATTCGGTCACACGCCAGCCTCAGGGCCACGCCGCAGCCCACACGCCAGCACACGCATGACGCCGCGGGGCCGTGGTGCACCCGGCCAGGATCTTCCAATTCTCCGCTCGCTCGGCCTTAGGGGGAAGAGGAGTGTTTGGGGGAGGGGCGGTTCCTGGTCCGTATCCCCCTATATCGACCCCCTGGTCAAACTACCGTGGGTGGGGGGGGGACTTGGTGTCACCTCAATATGGGTCCCCCTCAGTCCCTGTCCCCTCTGAGTCTATGACTCCTCTCATGATTCCCACCCCAGCCACTAGCCTGCTGGTCAATATCGTCCCGGGGTGTCACTTCAATACTTGTCCCCCCTCCTCCCAGCTGCCCTCATCCCAGCAGGATGCCAACTTTGGTTCCCACCCTGTTTAGGTTCCCCCAGTCAATATACCCCTTATATAGGCCACCCTGGCTGTCTCCTGGTGTCACTTCAGTGTCACTCCTGATCTCATGGTACCCACCAGCCCCCTCCTTGGCCTGCTGGGAGTGGGCTGTGGGGGGGGTGAGGGGAACCCATGGTGTCTGCCGCACAGAGCTCTCCCCCCCCCCGACACGCACACTCTTTAGTCTCAGTCAGTATCCTTCTATATGGGCCCCCTGGTCAATTTTCTCTTGGTGTCACCCCAAATGCAATCCCCCCAACTCCTGAACTCACTAAGACCCTCCTATGGTTCCTACCTTGTATAGTTTTCCCCAGTCAATATCCCCCCATATGGACCGGCCCCATAGCACAGCCCCTGCTCCCTGAAAGGAACCATGCTCTGGACAGATGGGTCTGCAGGGAGGGTAGAGAGCAGGGGAGAAATAGGGGGTCCCCGCATCAGAGTGATGACCCTTCACCTTTAGCCTCCCCCCCCCAAAATTTTCTGGGGGGGCGGGTTCTTGGGGAAGATGTTGCCAAAATCTGAGCAGATCCACCTCCCCCCCCCATGTCTCCACCAGGAGGCACTGTGCTGCTCCGGGGAAGGGGGGCTGAATGAGGGGGGCAGGGTTAGGGGGGGCAGCGCTGCCGGGCGGACGCCGTGTTGAAGAGCGGGTTGTGGATTTCCATCTCCCCACTCTGGGAACGAGGGAAGAGGAGGAAGAAAGGAAGACGTCAGTGAGGGCACCGTGCGAGGGGCAGAGCGCAGCGACACTGCCCGACTCCCCCCAGGCTGGCGACCCCGCTGAGCCCCCGCCCCCACAGCCCAGCACCCCCTGCTGAGCCCCCGCCCCCCACAACCTGGCGCCCCCCGCTGAGCCCCCACCCCACTCACCCCAGCCCGGTGCCCCCCACTGAGCCCTCGCCCCCACAGCCCGGCGCCCCCCGCTGAGCCCCCACCCCCACAGCCCGGTGCCCCCCACTGAGCCCCCACCCTGCTCCCCACAGCCCAGCGCCCCCCACTGAGACCCCACCCCGCTCCCCACAGCCTGGTGCCCCCTGCTGACCCCCGTCCCCATCCCCACAGCCCGGTGCCCCCTGATGCCCCCCACCACGCTCCCTGAAGCCCAGCACCCCCTGCTGCCCTCGCCCTGCCCCCTGCTGTCCCTGCCCCGCTCCCCACAGCCCAGCACCCCCTACCGGTGCCAGTCCGGGACATTCGTACACAGTGAAGTCCCCGTTCTCAGTCTCCGACTCCGTCGAGAGCTGCTGGACGGGCTTTGGGGGGTTCCTGGGGGGGGACAGACCCAGACACGGGGTGAGGCCCGGGGCCGCGGCCAGGGTCTAGGGCGGGGGGTCCGGGAGCTGACGCAGCTCTGCAGCCAGGGGAAGAGATCCAAGGGACCCAGGTATCCGGGTGGGAAACGGGGGGGGAGGGGGGAGACCTAGGCCTGAGGCCCAACGTCCCATGGGCCCAGCCAGAGGGGGGTGGGGGGAAGGGAGTAACTGTCCCCGAAAGACCCCCAAACTGGGGGGGAGGGTCGAGTGGGCTGCTCACAGGGCAGGGGGCTGAAGGACTGAAGGGTGAGATTTTGGGGTGCAAACTTTCCAGGCTGGATTGTGGGGGGAAGGTCGGAGGGGACAGAGAGGGGCGGGGAGGGGCAGAGGTCAGGGGTGACTTGGATGGGTTTGGGTTTTGGGGGGGGTGGATTGGGGGGAAATTCAGGGGGGATGGGAAGGGGAAGATTCAACTGTGAGCCTGGAGTTTGGGGGGGTCGGTTTAAGGGGATGATTTGGGGAGTTTATTTGGGGTGGGGGTAGATTCAGGGGAATAGGAGGCTTGGGAGAGGGGGAATGGAGTGGGGGAAGGGAAGGAGTGGATTTTGGGGTGTGGATTCGGGGGGCCCCTCCCTAAGCCCCTCCCCCCCACTCATAACCAATGGGGCGAATGCGGGGGGTGGGAATGGAAGGGAACTCACTCCTCATTGGTCAGGATCTTTTTCTGGTGCTCGTACTGGTGCACCTGGCAGGACTGGGCCAGCCGGGCGTCCATGTACTGGGGGGACAGACAGACAGACGGGGAGATGGTCATTGGTCAGGTGAAACTGCTGCCCCGGACGCCTGGGTCCCATTCCCCGTCCCGGTCTCCAGCCCCCTAGGGGTGAGCGCACTGTGCTCCAGTCCCGGACGCCTGGGTCCCATTCCCCGTCCCGGTCTCCAGCCCCCTAGGGGTAAGCATGGCTGGGGGGGGGGGGGGAAATCTCACCATTCTGGGCTGGTGGTATCGATAATGATTCCCCCGATATGCCGTATATGCCATCTTCTGGGCCAGCCGCACCTCCCGCTGCAACCTGGGGGCACGGAGTGCGGTGGGGGGGTCAGAGCCAGGGGCAGGGCAGTCCGGGGCTGGGCTAGCAGGGGCTATGGGTCAGGAGTGAGGGGCACCGGCTGAGCTGGTAGGGGAGGACCCAGGGGCTGCGGGTTGGGAGTGAGGGGCATGGGCAGAGCTGGGGGGCAGGGCTGGGCTGGTGGGGGGCTGCGGATCAGGAGTGAGGGGCACCGGCAGAGCTGGGGGGACAGGGTGGGCTGGCGGGGGGCTGCGGGTCGGGAGTGAGGGGCACCGGCAGGGCTGGGGGGCAGGGCTGGGCTGGCGGGGGGCTGCGGGTCGGGAGTGAGGGGCACCGGCAGAGCTGGGGGGGCAGGGCTGGGCTGGCGGGGGGCTGCGGGTCGGGAGTGAGGGGCACCGGCAGAGCTGGGGGGGAAGGGCTGGGCTGGCGGGGGGCTGCGGGTCGGGAGTGAGGGGCACCGGCAGAGCTGGGGGGAAGGGCTGGGCTGGCGGGGGGCTGCGGGTCGGGAGTGAGGGGCACCGGCAGAGCTGGGGGGCAGGGGGGCTGGCGTGGGCTGGCGGGGGGCTGCGGGTCGGGAGTGAGGGGCACCGGCAGAGCTGGGGGGACAGGGCTGGGCTGGCGGGGGGCTGCGGGTCGGGAGTGAGGGGCACCGGCAGAGCTGGGGGGACAGGGCTGGGCTGGCGGGGGCTGCGGGTCGGGAGTGAGGGGCACCGGCAGAGCTGGGGGGGCAGGGCTGGGCTGGCGGGGGGCTGCGGGGGGGTGCAGTTCCTACCTGTACCAGCAGAGGGCAGCCACCAGCAGCCCTGAGACCCCGGTCACCGAGCACATCAACACCAGCACTGCAGGGGGCGGGGGGGGGGAGAAACATTAACCCCTTGAGCACTGGCCCCCCCAACCCCTTCAACGCCCCCCTGCCCCCCAGGCGCTCTGTCCCGCCCCCTGCCCCATTCCCGCCCCCTCCCTGTCACTCACGCAGAGACACGGCCTCATTGAGCCGGGAATCGGGGGGAGCCGAGTTCAGGTCTTCCTCCGGCCGGGGGGGGCTGGAGCCGGGCATCTCGGCGGAGGGGGGAGTCGTGGGGGGAGGGGGAGACGTAGGGGGGGTCTCGGTGACCGAAGGAACCTGGGGCTCAATCCCCATGGAGCCAGCTGCAAAGATAGAGATGTCAGAGAGCCCCCTGCCGACCCCCGCCCCGCTCCCCACAGCCCAGCGCCCCCTGCCGACCCCCACCCCCTCCCCACAGCCCAGCGCCCCCTGCCGAGCCCCCACCCTGCTCCCCACAGCCCAGCGCCCCCTGCCGACCCCCGACCCCCTCCCCACAGCCCAGCGCCCCCTGCCGAGCCCCCACCCTCTCCCCACACTCCAGCGCCCCCTGCTGACCCCTGCCCCCCTCCCCACAGCCCAGCGCCCCCTGCCGAGCCCCCGCCCCCCTCCCCCACAGCCCAGCACCCCCTGCCGAGCCCCCCACCCTGCTCCCCACAGCCCAGCTCCCCCTGCCGAGCCCCCACCCCCCTCCCCACAGCCCAGCTCCCCCTGCCGAGCCCCCCACCCTGCTCCCCACACTCCCAGCGCCCCCTGCTGACCCCCGCCCCCCTCCCCACAGCCCAGCGCCCCCTGCCGAGCCCCCCACCCTGCTCCCCACAGCCCAGCGCCCCCTGCCGAGCCCCCACCCTGCTCCCCACACCCCAGCGCCCCCTGCTGACCCCCGCCCCCCTCCCCACAGCCCAGCTCCCCCTGCCGAGCCCCCACCCTGCTCCCCACACCCCAGCGCCCCCTGCTGACTCCCGCCCCCCCTCCCCCAAAGCCCAGCTCCCCCTGCCGAGCCCCCCACCCTGCTCCCCACAGCCCAGCGCCCCCTGCCGAGTCCCCACCCTGCTCCCCACACCCCAGCGCCCCCTGCCGAGCCCCCACCCTGCTCCCCACAGCCCAGCCCCCTCTGCTGAGTCCCCAACCCAGAGCAGCGCCCCCAGCTGAGCCCCCTGTTACCTTCAGTCCCTACCTTGCTGGGGGGTCTCGGTCCCAGGGGTCCTGGATCCCTTCTGTTTTTTGGCCACCAGGGAGCGGATGAGGGTGGCCAGGTCGACGGGTCCCGCGTCGCCCTTGGCTCCGTCTTCTGGGAGAAACACAGGAAGATGGGTCGGTGCCCCCCACTCCCGACCCGCAGCCCCTGCCAGCCCTGCCCCCCCCAGCCCTGCCGGTGCCCCTCACTCCCGACCCACAGCCCCTTCCAGCCCTGCCCCCCCCAGCCCTGCCGGTGCCCCCCACTCCCGACCCGCAGCCCCTGCCAGCCCAGCCCTGCCCCCCCAGCCCTGCCGGTGCCCCTCACTCCCGACCCACAGCCCCTTCCAGCCCTGCCCCCCCAGCCCTGCCGGTGCCCCTCACTCCCGACCCACAGCCCCTTCCAGCCCTGCCCCACCAACCCTGCCGGTGCCCCTCACTCCCGACCCGCAGCCCCTGCCAGCCCAGCCCTGGGCCCCCCAACCCTGCCGGTGCCCCCCACTCCCGACCCACAGCCCCTTCCAGCCCTGCCCCACCAACCCTGCCGGTGCCCCCCACTCCCACCCGCAGCCCCTCCAGCCCGCCCTGCCCCCCCAGCCCTCCGGTGCCCCCCACTCCCACCCCACCCCTGCCAGCCCAGCCCTGCCCCCCAACCCTGCGTCCCCCCACTCCCGACCCGCCCCCTCCACCCTCCCCCCAGCCCTCCTCCCCTCACTCCCGACCCCGCCCCTCCACCCTCCCCCCAACCCTCCGTCCCCTCACCCCGACCCGCAGCCCCTCCACCCAGCCCTGGGCCCCCCACCCTCCGGTGCCCCTCCTCCCGACCCCACCCCTCCACCCTCCCCCCCAGCCCTGCCGGTGCCCCTCACCGTTCCTATGCGGCGTCTCGAGGACGCAGTCCCCACCGGGGTCCTCATGGTAGGGGCGGATGCAGGGGCCACAGCTCCGGATCCCCCCGGGGCCGCAGCCCTTACGCCGCTGTAGGAGGCAATTCAGCCGGATCCGCGGCGGGCACATCGCAGCCGGGCCTGCGGGAACTGAACCGGAGCGGCCCCGCTGTAACCGCCGGCCCCCACTGCCCTCCCGGAGCCCGGAGAGAACCCAGGAGTCCTGGCTCCCAGCCCCACCCCCGCCGTAACCTCCAGCCCCCACTGCCCTCCCGGAGCCCGCAGAGAACCCAGGAGTCCTGGCTCCCAGCCCCACCCCCGCCGTAACCTCCAGCCCCCACTGCCCTCCCGGAGCCCGCAGAGAACCCAGGAGTCCTGGCTCCCAGCCTCCCCCACCCCCGCTCGAACCACTAGACCCGGCTCCCCTCCCAGATGTTTCAACATCTGTCCTGGCATTTGCTCCTGTTCTCCCGATCTGCAGCCCGCCCCAGCCCTGCGGGTGCCCCTCACTCCCGACCCGCAGCCCCTGTTAGCCCAGCCCTGCCCCCCCCAGCCCTGCGGGTGCCCCTCACTCCCGACCCGCAGCCCCTGTTAGCCCAGCCCTGCCCCCCCCAGCCCTGCGGGTGCCCCTCACTCCCGACCCGCAGCCCCTGTTAGCCCAGCCCTGCCCCCCCAGCCCTGCGGGTGCCCCTCACTCCCGACCCCCAGCCCCTGTTAGCCCAGCCCTGCCCCCCAGCCCTGCGGGTGCCCCTCACTCCCGACCCGCAGCCCCTGTTAGCCCAGCCCTGCCCCCCCCAGCCCTGCGGGTGCCCCTCACTCCCGACCCGCAGCCTCCCGAAGCTGGGAATAGAACCCAGGAGTCCTGGCTCCCGGCCCCTCCTACTCTCCTCCACACCCCCCCGATGCCCCTCCCCCTCATTGTCCCCCCCTCACCTGCCTCCCCACCGGCCCCCGGGGCCAGCCCCAGCCCCAGGAGAGCAGCCAGGGCCGCCAGCCAGCGCAGGGTCCGCATCTCTCCGAGCGGGGGGGGTCCCCGCCTCTGGATCCTCCCTCCCCGGCTGCGGGGGGCGGCGGAGCGCGGGGGGCGGGGCTGGCTGTATTTATGAATGAACCAGGGATGGAGACAGAGGCGGGCGGGGGCGGGGAGACCCACCCACAAGTCGCCTTCACTTCCTGTCCCAACCCCCCGGCTGGGTGTTCTGTGCGGCTGGTACCCGCTTGCCCGCCCCAGAGGTGGCTGCATCTCAGGGGCGGAGAAGCCAGCCCCATTTGAAGCTGTTCTATGTGGCAGTTACCCGGCTGCCCCTCCCCAGAGTCAGCCGCATCTCAGTGCCGAGCGAGGGCTCCTGGTCTCTCTGGCCTGGGTCTGGCTCTGGGAGCCCCTGGGATGGATGCAGGGACTCCCAGCTGGGAGATCAGTGACAGCCCACCCCCGCTGGGGTCCACGGTGCCTGTCTCCAAGGAGACGCCCCCGCCTGCGGTGGTAGATGCCGCAAACAGCTTCTCATCCCCCCCGCCCACCCGGGAGATGGAACCCAGGTGTCCTGGCTCCCAGCTCCCCCCCCTGCTCTAACCACTAGACCCAACCCCCCCCAACTGTGGAGAGAACCCAGGCATCCTGGCTCCCTGCTCCCCCCCCCTGCTCTAACCACTAGACCCAACCCCCCCCCCCAGCTGCGGAGAGAACCCAGGCATCCTGGCTCCCAGCCCCCTCTCACACCCACATACCCACCAGCTGTCACCATGGCAACCAGCTCCCTGCACTGTTGGACCTGGGATGAAGTTGATGCAGCCGTGGGTTGTCATGGTGACAGGACGGCGCTGTGGGGGTGGGTCCCCAGTCCCCCCTTAGTTATGGGGGGAGGAGAAAGGGCTTCATCATCTCCTCCCCCTCCAGGAAACTGAGACCCCCCCCAAGCTCCCCACGTGGGACTGGAGGGACCCCAGCCCTGGTGCCTGGCTGGACCCCAGGTGTGTGAGGGAGCACCCCCCCACCACACGCCAGCCCCTCTCTGCCCCATGGGCAGCCTGCAGGAGGGACACAGGGGCCTAGCCTGCCCTCCATGGGGCACCCTTTGCGACATGAACTGGCTGGGGGTGATAGTGGGGGGCTGGAGCGGGGGGTGCCCCACTGATGAGGCACGGTGCCGGCATCTCTGGGCCTGTTGGCTACCAGAGGCTGGCACGGCCCTCGGGCCGACACAAAGGTCCATTTTCACCAAGACAGTGACCCACAGGGAGAGCTCAGCTGGAGAAAGATTTCCCTGGAGTCGCGCCAAATGGCCCAGCACTGGGAGGGGAGTGGGGGCTAGTGGTTAGAGAAGGGGGCTGGGAGGCAGGACTCCTGGGTTCTCTCCCAAGTTTGGGGAGGGGAGTGGGGACTAATGGTCCGAGCAGGGGGCTGGGAGTCAGGACTCCCGGGTTCTATCCACAGCTCGGGGAGGGGAGTGGGTCCAAAGGGTTAGAGAAGGGGGCTGGGAGGCAGGACTCCTGGGTTCTCTCCCCAGTGCCGATACAAACACAGACCCAGGGGCTTTGTTAGCTCATTTCATGGTTTATTTATCCACTGGTCTGCCTTGGCTTGCCAGGCAAAGGGATCCAGCAACATCTGCGTCTCCCCAGCACGCAGCCCCAGCCGGCCCCACAGTCCCCTCCGCTGACAGGTGGAAAGCCCAGCTGAGGGGCTGGGAATCCCCCTGTCTGCACAGCGCCCGCTGGGCCTGGGTGGTGCCCGCGGGAGACGGTGCCCAGAGACAGCTGGGCTTAGGTCGGCGTTGTTTTCTTCTTTACCTTCCTTTGGCTGGGCCAAGCTTTGGGCAAGGAATTCGTACCATTTTCCTGGGTTCGTTCTAACCGTAGAAAGAGCAGCAATGTCGCACGAGCTGCCCTGAAAGGAGACCCAGCTTTGGGGTTTTAACCAGGCCCGTTTTCCTCCTCAGTGCTAGCCACGCGTGTGGGTCGAACAGCGATTAACTTTTGAACACAGCCCCTATTAGCTAGAATTAGTTCCCACCACTTCTCTGGAAGGCCAGCCAGCTTCGGGCTTTCAACCCAGAGCGGTTTTCTCCAAACTGGTATCCAGGCATTGGAGTAGGATATGGATCATTTTTTTAAAAAAATATTGTCTTATTCTGGGGGTTTTGTTGGACTGTAGAAATGGCCGCAAAGTTAACGCCACCTTCAGTGGAAGACACAGTGAGTCTGGGGATTTTTAACGCCCTGTGTTTTCTGTAACTGTTATTTGATCGTCTGAGTACAAGAAGTACAAATGGGTTTTTTACAGATTTTCTTATTATTGGGTTTTTATTGAACCCCCAAAATAGCAGCACTGTTCCTTCACCCTGTTATTTTTCCCAGAAGGAGCCAGAAATTTCGGAAAGGGGCATTTTTCTCCTAACAGAATAGAATAGAATAGAGAGGTTTTGATTCAAATGGTCTTTTTACCTTTAAAAAGGGAACAAGGTCATGGAATAATATCTCATCCTCCCCGCCGAAATTGGGACCGTTTCCCTTTTCACTCTGAGCGTTCGCCTCCAGAATCCTCCCCGAGTGTCTGCCTATGATAAACAATTTGATTTTTTTCAATATACACATTATCGAGTATCTGAACTAAGTCATCCTTTTTGGTCTCCTCTTCTTCCTAGTGATAATCAGCACATCGAGCAGCTTTCGTCGGCGGAAAGCAATCAGGACCGTGCTGGGAGGCATGAGAGGCTTTTGGGTTTTAACACAGACTGGATTTCTCCCAACTGGTATCCAGACATTTGAGTTGGCATGCCAGTAATTTTGCAGTAAACTAACGCCTCTGGCTCCGTGGCAGGCTGGGGTGGTCTCTTCTTCTGTGAGCCCCAGCCGTCCATAGGGCCAGCCAGCCAGACCTGATTTCTAGCCTAAAGCTACCCCACCCCCCCACGATTTGTTAATAAAACCAAGAGAAAAACACATGCAGGGAGCAAAGAAGGTGTCACAAGGGCGCGTGGCCCCCACCAGCTCTTTCTTTCCTTCCACAGGTGGGTCTGACCATGAATCCGAGCTCCCCGTCAAGCAGGAGCGGCCAGGCGGGAGGGGATGGGGGGCTCCGGCAGACAGCAGAGCTGCGGGGCGGGCTCCCCTCAGGACCCCGCATTACGCCTGTCGCCCAATAAGGACGTTGTCTCGTCGGCGCTCCTGCGAGATTCTGCAACGAAAACACAGATGGGGGAGCCTTCAACCAGCGAACTCGCCGATGTGCTGGTAAGGGGGTGGGGACTAGGAGTTAGAGCAGTGGGGGCTGGGAGCCAGGACTCCTGGGTTCTCTCCCGGCTCTGGGAGGGGAGTGGGGTACGGGGGTTAGAGCAGGTGGGGGCTGGGAGCCGGGACTCCTGGGTTCTCTCCCGGCTCTGGGAGGGGGGTGGGGTATGGGGGTTAGAGCAGGGGGGTGCTGGGTGCCAGGACTCCTGGGTTCTCTCCTGGCTCTGGGAGGGGGGTAGTGTCCAGGACTCCTGGGTTCTGTCCCGGTTCTGGGAGGGGGGTGAGGTCTGGGAGTTAGAGCAGGGGGGTGCTGGACGCCAGGACTCCTGGGTTCTCTCCTGGCTCGGGGAGGGGTTCCTAGTGGTTACAGCAGGCTGAACATTCCCTTCTACCTCTAACAGCAGCAGCTGCACTCCATGGCCACCTCCTCCAAATGCCCTCGTGCCTCAGTTTACCTCCCTCATGACCAGCACTGGGGTGGATGATTCCCCGGAGCTGCTGGCCCTGACTAGCTTAATTCCAGCCCTGACGTGGCTCAATCAGCAGATTAGCCAATCGCCGGCTAATTAGTGTCACCAGCTTCCGCCCAGTCAGCCAGTTTACAGCTGGTCCAGCTGGTTGCAGGGGAACAGATGCTGTTCCATCCGGACACCACCTAACGCTGCCCCAGCCGGTCTGGAGCCAGATCCTGAGCCGGTGTCAATCTGGAGCGACCCCACTGACCTCCAGGGAGTCAGGGCTGGATTCTGATCTAAGAGTAACTTGTTAACCTGGCCTCAGTGGGAGCTAAATATCATGAGTGTGCAATTCAAAGGGAAACTGAGGCACAGAGAGAAAAACCAGGGATGGAACCCAGGAGTCCCAGCTCCCAGTATCCCTGCTCCTCTGCAGATGGGAATAGTTTAGGGCCTCGGAAGAATAGCAGCGTAGTTATTATTGCACCCAGTAGGGGGCAGTGCAACATGCAAACATCACTGCAGAGATGGAAACTTAAACCTCAGGCCAATAATATTTTATCCATCCCCGTACACGGGCTCGGGCTCTGGATCTAGCCCACCTCTCCCCGGATCCATATCTGTGTGTCTGCCCCATGCCGCGCCCCCACCACCCAGGTCCCTCTGTCCTCCCCCCGGATCCATATCTGGGTGTCTTCCCCCTTCCCCACCCATCCATCCATCCATCCTCCCCCCGGATCCATATGTGTCTCTGCCCCATACCCCCCATGCATCCATCTGTCCTGCCCCCTGGATCCATATCTGTGTTTCTGGCCCATACCTCCTTGTTCATCCCTCCTGCCCCCGGATCCATACATGTGTCTGCCCCATATGCCCCAATCCATCCCTCTTTCCTCCCCACTGGATCCATATCTGTGTGTCTGCCCCATACCCCATCGTCCATCCATCCTCCCCCTGGATCCATATGTGTGTCTGCCTCATACGCCCCTGTTCCCCCCCACCGCGGATACCCACCCATCCCTCCCGGGTGCCCCGCTCACCCCCCCCAGGTACCTCTCTTCCGCCTGCACAGCCGCTTGATGACGTGCCACATCCATTGCACGAGGAGGCAGAAGCATTTGCACTGGTCGCACATCGCAGGCTCACCTGCGCCTGGGGAGGAGGGGGGGAAAGCCGGGGCCAGTGGTCAGGCAGCGCTGGGGCCAGATTCTCTCCTGCCTGCCTCGCCAATCCGCTGCCGGGCTGGAGTCTGCTCACAGCCCCCGGGCGCCGACCTCCCGCCCCCCCTCCTGCGCTTGGCTGCACGGCTCGCCTGGGGTGGGGCGTCCCGGCTCCGTGCCAGGATCCCGGCGTGATCCCACCACACCCTGTCCGGGGAGGGTCCCGCGCACGCAGAGATCAGCTCCCACCCCCCGGCCGTGCCATTTCCCCAGAGTTGGCGCTACGGGCAGCTCCTCCCGCTCGCCCGTTGTCGTGGCTCCTAGCATAATTAACCGCCCCACCCGCCCGCCTCCACAGCGAGAACCAGATTCCTGTGCCAACCTGCCGGGCGCCTCCTGGCTAGACCCCGGTCGCCCTGAATCATCGGCCAAACCAGTTTGAGTCCGTGCCGTGAGAAGACCAGCACCAGCCGCGGCGGGCTGGCTCCAGATTCACACCAGGGCCGGCCTGGACTCCCCTGACCTCAGCTGGGTCGTTTGGGATTTAAACGGGGGTCGCTGGAACCAGGTCCCAGCCGCAGCCGCCCCCCACCCCTGGGCTCAAGGGTCAGCGGGAGAGCTCTGACCGATCTCCAGTCCCAGAATCCGAGGGACCGCCCTGATCAGGTCGTTTGACGACTTCTCTGAGCCAGGACTTCCCTGAATTAATTCCCAATTCAACTAGAACAGATCCTTCCAAGCAAACTCCCGGGCTCAGTCGAAACACAGCCGGGGCAGGGACTCTGCCTCGACCCTCCGTAAAGTGTCCCCAGGGTTAATTCCCCTCCCTGTTACAAAGTCACACCTCGTTTCCCATCTGCATTTGGCTGGTGCCGGGGTCCAGTCATCGGAGAGGAAAACTCTCTAACCTGGAATCTGCTCCCCCTTCCAGCCACGCCTAGAGGGGCTCCTGTCTCCCCGTAACCTGTCTGTGCAGCTAAACGGACTGAGCTCCTGGAGTCGGGGTTTCTAGCTCTTCCATAATTTTCGTGGCTCTTCTTTGAGCCCTCAGCAACGGATTGATGCCCTCCTCAAATTGGGGGCCCCCAGAACTGGACCCCAGCCACAGCCGCACCGGGGCCGAATCCAGAGGGCAAATCCCATCTCGGCTCCTGCTCCAGGGTGCTGTTTACACGGCCCAGGATGGCGTCGGCACTTTCTCCGCCTCGCCCCCAAATCTTTGCCAGAGCCCCTGTTTCCCAGGAGGGAGCACCCCAGGCCCAGACACCTCTAAGAGCTACTGGGCCATGGGCTGGCGTGGCGTATCCCCTCCGTTCCCCTCCAGAAGATCCTTACCGGTCTCCGGCGTCGTCACGCTCCGGGTGCCTCTCCCTTATCCTCTGGGAACGGCCCCGGGTTTATATACCCGCCTCCCCGCCCTGAATGCCCAGACCGGCTGGATCACAGCAGGGCGAAGTCACGGGGTGGGGAGAAGTTGGGGTGTTTTCACAACTGCCCCGGAGCAGCCGGTAGGGTTGGTAGCCTGCCAGGTTGTCACTGAACCCAGCATCCTCCACCCCACCCCTCGCCGGGGTCTCTGAGGTGGGGCAGAGCTCTGGTGGCAGGCCTGGAGGGGGGTGTGATTCTTTCGGGGGGGCTAAGGCGGGGGATGAGATTTGGGGGAGGTGGAATTGGGGCACGGCAGAGCTGAAACCCCGCCTCCTGGCTCCATTTATGGGATCTAGGATGGGGGGGCTGATTCCCCATCCCTGCCCCCCTCACGTGAGCTGGGATTTGTGGGGAGCCTTGTCGCTCTAGGAGGGCGTCTGATCCTCTCTCCCTGCCCTCCTGGCTTGAGCTAGGATCTGGAGGGCCCTGCCCCTATGGGGGTGTCTTCACCCCTTGCCCCCCAAGTTCGTGGGTATCTGGGCAGGGTACATGAAGCGAATGCAGAATGACATCTCAGAAATCCCAGCGGTTATGCATTGGGGTGGGATGGGCGCCTGGCCAGGGTGTGGGGCAGGGAGGGGGCGGACTGGGTGGGCCTGGCTGAAAAGGGGGCCTCCCAGCTGGCCGAGGTGGCCGGTGCGAGGCCCGGCTCAGTGGCCGGCTTGGGCTACGTGACCAAGGACACGCGTGGTCCTCCAGGAAGCCGCTGCCTGGGGTCCATGTCCAGCCCGGTGCTCGTTGGGCCAGGCCCCATTTGCATACCGGTCCTGGGACAGTTTGGTGAAAATCAAGCGAAGTTTGGAGCTGGGGGGGAAGGGAGGGAGGGGCCGTAAAACGCTGTTTCCCGTGTTGGGAGGGGAAAGGAAACCGGAGGGCAGGAAATACAGCCGGGACGGAGGCTCGCCCTCACCGAAAGCACAGGCCACCGTGGTTGACTAAGGAAGCCTGTGACGGACTCAATCAGGAGAGGAGAAAAGGAGTTTGCTGGCCTGGGTGCCCCCAACAGCCCTGTGAATATAAGATCCCCCAGGTGGGGTCAGAGCATGGTCCAGTGAGCATTGCCCAGTGTCTTCTAGCAGTCAGAGGGTTAGGGTCACCCTTCGTGTGGGCTTATGTCCCTGGCTATCTTGGCTAATTGAAGGACCAGTCCTCCAGGAACGTATCCATATCTTTTCTGAACCCTGTGATCCTTTTGCCCATCAGGTCACGCCCCCAGCGGTGAGTTCCACAGGTTGGCTATGCGCCGCGTGAACACGTACGTCCTCAGGGGTTGCGTTCCTTTCCTCGGGTGCCCCTGGGCTCTGTATGGGGGGACAGGAGAGCTGAGCTCGGGCGGCAGCGTTCAGTTGGCTGGGGCCAAAGCCAGAGGAGGCGGCTGCCCAGCTGAGGGACGCTGGGACCAGCCCTCAAAGCAGAAGCCATTGCCGCTGGGTCGGGTGACGGGGCAGCCCCCCAGCCCTTCTCCTTCCATGGATCTGCTGGATGTTTGCTTGTTGTGGTCGTGCTGTGAGGTGTTTGAAGCCTGAAGATGCCAACTGGGGAAGCGATCTAGGATCCCAAACCCGGACGGGTTTCCCACCCGGTGGTTACAGGAACTTTAAGCTCGGGAGAGAGGGTGGGTAAGTCTCTTTCTCCACCGCCACCTCCACCCTTCCCTACAACATATCCCCCCACCCCACTGTGTCCAGATCCCCTTCCCCTTCAGCCATTAGCCGGTTACAAGCCATCGTCACCTTGAGGTTTCACCAAAGCGTTTGAGTAGAAGCATTAATTTTTAATGGGTTTTCTTCTTCATTTTTTAAGTTAACCATAAAAATAGTAAAACAAAAATCACCGTCCCTGTCACCTGTTCTTGTTGTTTTTTTACTGGAAGGGACATTTTCCTCCAAGCTGTTAGCCAAGCATTTGAGTGCAATAAGTATTTTTTACAGCTTTTCTTCCGATGAGGTATTTTTACCTCCGAAATAGCAGACACATCCATTCTTCTTTTCGCCTGTGGTTTAGTTCAGTGGTTTTCAACCTGTGCTCCGCCGACCCTTGGGGGTCCACAGACTCTGCCCAAGGGGTCCACCAAAGGTGGTTGTTACCATCGAATGATTGTTTTCGATCTCTGATCCGCGGCCTCCCGGGGGTCCACAGAAAACGGGTCCACGGCTCGAAATTTTGCAGTGGTCCGCAAATGACAAAAGGTTGAAACACACTGGGTTCGTTGAAGAAGTTTTTAGAAATAAGCATTTTTCTTCTACCTGTCAGCCAAGCATCTGAGCACAACACATAGTCATTTTGTTGCAGCTTTTCTGAATAGTGGGTTGATTTTTTACCGGAGCAGGAGCAGCAAAATGCAGTCGTCTCTTCAGCTGTTTTTTGTTCAAGGTTTTAGCAATAAGTGTTTTTCTCCTAGCTATTAGCCAAACATTGGAGTATAACACGTGTTAATTTTGAGAAAGCTTTCCTTACCGTTGGATTTTTTGAACCTTAGAAATAGCAGCAGTCTTCCCCTTACCTATCTTTTAGTTACAGGTTTCAGAGAAGAGCCCTGTGCTCCGAACTGTTAGGCAAGTATTGGAGTATAATAGGGGACGGAATGAAGCGAAGGTTTCACAATTACCACCAGGGCTGGTAGATCCAGTCTTGGCTGGCACAGGTGTGGGCGTCTGGCTTCAGCTTCCCCAGGAGCGCGATTGCTCAAGGGATCTAAGGTGACGCTGGAATTTTTCCCCACCTTCCCATCCGGCTCTTGATCGGCTTCTCTCCTGTCATTAGAAACCTGGCTCCGAGCTCCCTCCCCACCTTCTCTAACCACCAGACCCCATTCCCCTCCCAGAGCTGAGAGAAGAGTCCAGCAGTCCTGGCTCCCTGCCCTAGACCCCTATTGATCATGGCCCCCAGTGAGCGAGGTGCTGCACGTTCAGGGGCGTGGGGACATGGTGACACCAGCCCCTTCTCGGGGGATTAGACTCCATTTGTCCCCCTCCAGGCCCCCGAATCTTAAAGGGCCAGTTGTCCATCCCCCTCACCCCGCCCCAGTTCCCTACGTGGGGCGGGATCCACCGGTGGGAGAGATTGACAGGCGCTTGGCCAGGGCCGGGCCCGCATCGGGCCCCTTGCCGCGTGATGTGGGATCCCTCTGGCCAAAACGGTGACCCCACGTGGGGCTGTAGCCAGCCAGGCGTCACTGGGGGGGGACACGCCGAGGCCAGCCTGGGGCCTCCACGTTGGGGGCAGGTCGAACCGATGCCCAGTCGGACAGGCCCCGGTGCTGTTTTGGGGCTCGCGGTGGCCCCTGGGAGGCTGGCGGGGGTAGGGGGAGCTGCATGGAGAGCGGGGGGGGGCAGGAGCTGGGGGGTGAGAGTGAAATGGGCGGGGCCCCCTTTAAGAGCCAGCCTGGGTATTGGGGAGCGGCCCCTTTAAGAGCTTGAGTAACACGCGGCGGCCCCTTTAAGAAGAGGAGAAACAGGGAGCGGCCCCTTTAAGAGCGGCCCCTCCCCTGCTCCCCCTCGCTTCCGCGTTCGGCCCAAGTCCTGGGTCACGTGGCGAGGGAGCGGCCCCGCCCCCACCCGCCGGAGTGCGCCTGCGCGGCCCGGGCCCGATCGCTGCTGCCGGGCTCAGGCTGCTCCACGCGGCTCGCGCCGCCGGGATGGTGAGGGCGTGACGTCACTGCCCCCCGGGGAACCCCCGCCGCGGGGAGGGGAGCATGCGGGGGGGGGCACGGGGAGTGTGCCTGGGGGGGAGCCCGGAGGCGCGCGGGGGGGGGCCGGGGGATGCGCGGGGGGGATAACCGGGGGGGGCTGCACGGGGGGGGGGAGCCGGGGGATGCGCGGGGGGGGATAACCGGGGGGGCCGGGGGGGGCTGCGGGGGGGGGGAGCCGGGGGATAACGGGGGGGGATGCGCGGAGGGGGGAGCCGGGGGATGCGCGGGGGGGGAGCCGGGGGGGGGGCTGGGGGAGCGGGGGGGAGCCGGGGGATAACGGGGGGCGCTGGGTGAACCGTGTCCTACACTTCTCCAGCTGCTGGAGGCAAGTGGGGGCCCCCGGCCGGCCTGGGGGGGGCATTGGCTGGAGGCCCCCTCGCTGGGTGCGGCGTGGAGGGGCTCCCTTGGCTGACATGCATCAGCCCCCCCGCCCCCGCCCCGACGGCTGGCCCCAGGGTTTGGGGGGGCACCAGCGGGGGGGCGCTGAGCAGCAGGAGGATGGGGTCAGGGAGCACGGGGTGGCCGCAGGCTGGTGGTGGTGAGGTGCCCCGGACCAAGGGGCAGTGGGGGGGCGGGGAGCAGTGATGTCTCTGTCTCTCCAAGGGGGTCTCACCTCGCCCCCCCCCCCCGCCCCATCTCGTCTCCACAGCTTTTCTATTCGTTCTTCAAATCCCTGGTGGGGAAGGACGTGGTGGTGGAGTTGAAAAACGATCTGAGGTGAGTCTTCGTGCCAGCCCCCCCCAACCACTCGGCCCCACTGCCCCCCCAGAGCCGGGGAGTGAACCCAGGCGTCCTGGCTCCCAGACCCCCTGCTCTAACCCACCAGGCCGCACTCGCCTCCCAGAGCCGGGGAGTGAACCCAGGCGTCCTGGCTCCCAGACCCCCTGCTCTAACCCACCAGGCCGCACTCGCCCCCCAGAGCCGGGGAGTGAACCCAGGCGTCCTGGCTCCCAGACCCCCTGCTCTAACCCACCAGGCCGCACTCGCCTCCCAGAGCTGGGGTAGAACCCAGGAGTCCGGGTTCCCCGCACCCCTCACCGCTGTAACCACTGCGCCCCGTTCCCCCGTGGTAACACCCCTCCCTCTCTGTTGCAGTATCTGTGGGACCCTCCATTCTGTGGATCAGGTGAGAAACGTCCAGGTTATTTTCAGGGCGTGTCCCCTCCTCAGTGGGCCTGGCCCAGGAGATCCCCCCCCCCACCCCTTGGGTCTGGATCGGAGCCGGCGCCCCCCGATCCTGCCCCCCCGAACCAGCCTGCCCCCTGCCCTGAGGCCAGATCAGAGCTGGTGCCCATAGAGGGGAAAGGCCTCATCCCCCCCCCGCCTCACCTTAAGCCAGTCTGTGCCCCACCCTGGGGCCTCATCAGAGGGGAAAGACTGCACCCCCCCCACCACCCCGAGCCAGCCTGTCCCCCACCCTGGGGCTGCATCGGAGCTGGTGCCCCCTACTGGGGAAAGGCCCCCTGCGGGCTCCCCTCTTCCCCCAAGCCAGCTAGTCCCTGCTCTGGGGCCAGATGGGAGCCAGCGCCCGCGAGAGGGGCAGGCCCTGTGCCCCATCCCCTGCCCCCTGCTCTCTCAGCAGAGCGATGCAGAAGGCAGCCGCTTGCCCCCCTCCGTCTGGGTGTTAACCGTCCATGTGTCTGTCCGTCCTGCCAGTACTTGAACATCAAGCTGACCGACATCAGCGTGACGGATCCGGAGAAGTACCCCCACATGGTAAGGGGCCAGCCCCCCCCCCCCCGGGAGGGGTGGAGGGGGCCCTGCTGGTGGAGTGCGTGGGAAGTGAGTGGGCAGCGGGAGGTTGTTTGGGGGGGGGGGAATCAGAGGTGCTGATGGCATCTCTCACAGGGTGGGTCTGGGGTCCTGGTCTCCATCCCAGCAGGGGGCGGGGCCACAGACACAGGGGGCGGGGTCTGATCCTCCCAACCTGCAGGGGGGCAGATGCTGACCCCCCACCCCAGCCAGCAGGGGGCGGGGACACGTGGGGGGCGGGCTCTGACACACACACACACACCCCCACAGCCCCCCAGCCAGCCCGGGGCGCTCCCCCTCACCCCGGTCTCTCTCTCCCCAGCTGTCGGTGAAGAACTGCTTTATCCGGGGCTCCGTGGTGCGCTACGTGCAGCTGCCGGCAGACGAGGTGGACACGCAGCTGCTCCAGGATGCCGCACGCAAGGAGGCGCTGCAGCAGAAGCAGTGATCTCCCCCCCGCTCCCCAAAACACGCCCCCCCCCCGTCGCAGGGGGCCCTGGGCAGAGACCCGCCCTACCCGGCTGCTTCCCTGCCAGCCTAAAATCCTCCCTGCTCGGCAACTCCTGCCACTGGACCATGGGGCAACTGGTGCTCCCGGACGCCTGGGTCCGTGGCTGCTCCCCGTCCTGGTTGGGAGCAGGAGCTGAGCCCCTATCCAGGAGCCCGGAGGCCTGGGTTCTTCCTTTTCATCCTATGCAAGCCCAGGCCTCCGGACTCCTGGGTTCATCTGAGCTTGTGCTCAGGAGGGAACAGGAAGAGCAGAGGGGAATCCGGGGCCCTGCATGGGGGCTCAGCTTCTACTCTAGAGAATTGGGTGGGGCTGTGCCCTTTCTAGGGCCCTGGATGCCTGGGTTCAATCCCCCTGCCCCCCAATATCCCCAGATCTAGGACACCTGAATTCTGTGTGCTCCCTGAGCTGCTTATCTCTCATGGGATGAATATCGGGGCAGTTCCTAGGTTTGTTGTGTCTCTCCCCCTTTGGGGAAAAGATTTTGCAGGGGGTCCCTTTTAGTTCTGGTTTGAATCTCTCCAGCCCCCCTCTTTCACCTCCAGGGCCATGGCCAGTTAACCCTCATTTTTATTTTTAAACTCTAATTTCTCCCTATTCTGTAAGGGGGGGTGTTTAGTCCCCCCCACCATATCTTTGGGCGGGGGCAGGGACTGAGCTCCTGGGGTGCCATTAACCCCAGTCGCTCCCCAGCGGGCAGAAATCTGGAAGAGTTGTGGGGTGTTTGAATTTCCTCTCCATTTCACGGGGGGTGGGGGGCTGAAGTTTTTTTAGGGTTTGGGCTGAGGGGGCTGAAGGGCTTTTTGTATGTTTGATTCGTGGCTCGAAGACTTAGGCGGAATAAAAGTTTGGAGCCTGGTTACAAACTTTTGTTCTTGTTTGTGGCGAGGTCGACGGTCCGCTCCAGTCCAGCGTCCTCTCTTGGCCCAGACGCCCGGGTTCATCTCCGTGCACCCCCCCGCCCTGCCCATTGTAGATGTTGAGCTGCTGTCCTGGCTTCTGGATGCTTCGGTTGATTTTTGCTTCGCACCTCCCCCCCCAACACACACACACCCGGGAGCAGAAGTTGGGCTCCCATGTAGGGCCCCAGATGCCTGGATCGATCCATGTTCCACATGTGGGGAAGCTGAGGCATGGAGCGATATGACTTCCTCAGACTCTCCCGAGCAATCTAGGCCACAGCAGGGCTGAGAGGCCAGGGGTCCGGGCCCTCAGCTATGACCCAGTCTTCTCTTGTCTGCTCCCTTGTTGCTGGTGGTGTGTTCAGGGCCCCCAGAGCGGATGGGGGGAGCGGGTGCCCGGTCGGTCCCTTCAGCGTGGTCCATGTTCTCTTTTGCACAGAATAGTGCCTGTCCCTTTAAATAATATTGCATCATCAAACACTTACTATGACCTCATGGCCCCTTTTGTGTTACATCATTGTCCAATGGGGTCCTGGCACTTTAAATGTTACTCAGGCTCCGCCCATTTCTCAGGGTGACCTCATCTTTCACTAACTTTCTGCCCCTGCAAACACTCTTACAGCAGGCTCCGCCCACAGATCTTATTGCATTAACAGGCTCCACCCATTTTCACATACCCTGTCCTAAGGGATATTGCTGTTTAAGAAATATTACATCATCAGGGAACTCCATGCTCCTCCCCTTTAAAAAGATGTCATCAGACAAGGATCCACCCCTTTCACTGGACTGCCTTCAGTGGGCTCCTCTAAGCTCCTCCCATTAGTGATGTCATCAGGCCCTGCCCTCTTTAAGAGTAGCCATGACCTCACTGGCCAGGCTGAGAGCTGTGGCTTGATGATGTCATAGTGGCTCTTGAAGTCCCGCCCCCTTGAAGAGTATTGTGCAATCCCCCTTCCTGAGGTGAGGTCACTGACATGGGTCCTGCCCCTTTAACTGCTTGGGTTCCGCCTTGAGGTTCAGGATTGGCTACTTCACCCCAAAACCAGCTGCTGATTGGATGGCGTGAGATGGGTGGGGATGCAGTGCCAGCCAATGGGAAGGCTGGGTGAGTCTGCAGTCATGCTTCTACAGAGAGAGCAGTGGGGTATAGGGGGTGGGGGCTGGGAGCTGGACTCCTGGGTTCTCTCCCAGCTCTGGGAGGGCAGCGAGGTCTAGTGATGAGAGCGGGGGGGGGGGGGACTGGGAGCCAGGACTTCTGGGTTCTCTCCCTGGCTCCTCCTTCCCTATCGAAATGATCACCCTTTAGCCCCACCCCAATCCCATAAACACTCCCCGAATCCCCATCCCTTCCTGCAGCCTGCGCACCCAGGGGTTAACACCCCCCCAGCCGCAAATGCTCTGCAAACATCTGGCAAATGCTTTGCACCAGCAGGGCTGATCCCTCCCATCCAGGCCCCCAGAGCCCCCAAGCAGCAGCCCCTCTCCACTAACTCAGAGGCACCCCCCACCCCTGCCCGCCAGTCCCATTTGCAAACTGTTAGCAGACCCCTGGGGGCCGATTGCAGCTGGTGCCACTGCTGGGGGGGGGGGAGAAGAGAGAGGAAAGGGGGGACCCCACCCCTTTCTGCCCCCCCATTCCCAGCAGCCTTTGCAGCTGGCCGCAAGCAGAGGAGACAGGAGCAGAATTTGCAGGCAAAAGGAGAAACCCAGGTACCTTCCTGCTGCAGAATGGGTGGTGGGGAGAGGGCCATGACAGGACCGTGAGGGACCCTTGGCCTTTGGGGGACCCCACCCCAATATTTAGCATTAATGCAACAGGCCCCATAGCTGGACTGCAGGGGGCAAGGAGTCTGAATCGGTAGGGGGCGCTCTCCCCTGGCAGTCAGGGCTGGCCCCCATGCCCCAGTGAGGTGCCAGGGGGTGTCGTGCTGCAGGGAGCGGGGCAGGGGGCTCAGTGGGGAGCACCGTGCTAGGGGGTGCTGGGGCAGGGGGAGTGGTGCGGGGGCTCAGCAGGGGGTGCTGGACTGCAGGGAGTGGGGTAGGGGGCGCGGTGCTCTGGGGAGCAGGGCTGTGTGGGGTTGCCAGGGCTGGGGTGTGGGGCGGGGCAGTGGGGTGGGGGCTTGGCAGGGGGCTGGGCAGGCAGTGGCAGATGAGGGGGCACCATGGACTCATCCCGTCTCTCCCCAGAGGGTGCCCGGGTGGGCTCAGCAGGGGGTGCTGGGATGGCAGGCTCGGCAGGGAACGCGGTGGGCTCACCCCATCTTCGGGCTGGGCAGGGGACACGGTGGGCTCACCCCGTCTTGGGGCGGGGGTCCGGGCGGGGGTACAGGGGGCTCACCCCGTCTCTCCCCAGGGGCGCTCTCCATGCCGGCGCGCCTGGCGCTGGTGGACTGGCTGGACGAAGGCTTCTCCAGCATCATCGAGCTGGCGGCGGTGAGCGAGCCGCGCCGGGACCCCGCCCGCTACCGGCCGGGCCAGGAGGTGGAGGCCCGGTGCCCCCTCTTCAAGGGGCTGAACCGCGCCCGCATCCTGGCCCTCAGCGGTGAGTGAGCGAGCGCCCCCCACAGGCTGGGCACCATGCTGCACTGGCCTCCCCCCTCGTCCCACCCACGGCTCAGTCCGGACGCAGCCACGTCCGTCCCCACCACGTTCGTCCGTCCCTCCCTCCATCGTCCCTCCCTCCATCCCCCCTTGCACCTCTCCGTCCGTCCCTCCCTCCCTCCATCCTCTCCACACCCCCTGTCCGTCCCTCCATCCTGTCTCTCTCTCCGCAGGGGACAGGCAGGAGTTGAAGTGGATCCAGGTCCGGGCCGGGGGGTGTCCCAGGAGCAGCTGGGGGGCCAGGACACTGCGGGGGCCCCCCCACCGCCAGGTGGCGACATGGAGACGGGACAGAGTGCCCTCTGAGAGAAGGAAACACAACACAGGTGGGTGCTGCCCCCCGTGCTGGACACCTGGGTCCCCGTATCCCATCCCTGTCTCCAGCTCCCTAGGGGTGAGAGCGCTGCACTGCCATCCTGGATGCCTGGGTCCCATTCCTCTAGAGGCCAAGAAGTCTCATTCAGTGAATGTTTCTTGTCTCATTCCAGGAGGTGACGCCAATGACGTCACCACCTCGGTGCCCGACCCTGAGGGGACCCAGGTGTCCGAGGACGAGGGTCGGGTGACCCCCCAGAGCACCTCATCCTCGGAAAACTGGCGTTCCTCCTCCCCCGACTGCCCCCACGTGGACAGCTCTGGCTGCGGGGTTCCCTGCTCCCCTGGCCCTGTGGACCCAGGTGTCCGGGCAGGGCCGACCGAGCTCTGCACCAGGCCTGAGTGCGAGAGGATGCGGCAGGAACTGGAGGTGCTGAGGGACCGATACGCCAAGATGGAGGCTCAGAATGCTGTGCTGGCCCAGAGACTTGGTGAGCCCGGACGCCTGGGTTCTCTAGGACGACAGTGGGGTCTGGTGGGTCAGAGCAAGGGGACAGGGCTGGAAGCCCGGACGCCTGGGTTCTCGGGGAGGAGCATGGGAGCAAGTGGTCACTCCTGTCTCTGTTCGCTGCAGGGGGTGTTGTGGAGCCGTCCGGGGAGGTGGACGGCAGCTCCGTGCGACCGGAGCCCGGGCTCTATGAGGACCCTGCGCTACCTCGGAAACATGGGGTGAGCTGAGGGGCAGGGAGTGCAGCGGGGAAGAGTGGGGAACCAGGGGTCCCTATTATAACAGTCTCCTCCCCCTACTGCCCCACCCCCACTTTCCTCTGTGCTCCCCTCCCTGCCCCCCAGATGCAGGAGCTGGTGCCGGGAGGGGGCGTGTTCCTCTACCCCACCCAGCTGGCCCTGGCCCACTCCAGCGCCCGCAGCCAGACGGCCCTGGCCCGGCTCCTGCTCGACGTCTTCTTCTCCCGCCAGGAGCAGGCACGGAGCAACCTGTCCGGGGAGAACGGGCTGCACCGCCTCAGCCCCCCCGTCGTCAGTGCCATCGTGGGTGAGTCCGGGGGGCTCAGGCAGTGGTATGGCCCTGGGGGGGCAGGGTCAGGTAATAGTATGGACTGAGAGAGGCCGTGATGGTATGGCCCTGGGGGGGCATGGTCAGGCAGTAGTACGGACTGGGAGGGACAATGATGGTATGGCCCTGGGGGGGCGTGGTCAGGCAGTAGTACGGACTGAGAGAGGCAATGATGGTATGGCCCGGGGGGGGGTCAGGCAGTAGTATGGACTGGGAGGGACAATGATGGTATGGCCCGGGGGGCGTGGTCAGGCAGTAGTACGGACTGAGAGAGGCAATGATGGTATGGCCCGGGGGGGCAGGCAGCAGTGCAGACTGGGCAGGGTAATGATGATATAGCCCAGGGATCAGGTTCAGTCAATGGTATGGCCCAAGTGGGTGGGGTCAGGCAGGGGTATGGCCTAGGCGGGGCAATGATGGTATGGCCCAGGGTAGGGCAGGATGATGGTATGGCCCAGAAGTGTGTGTCAGGCAATGGTATGGCCTGGGTGGGGGAGGTCATGGTGATGGTATGGCTCAGGTTGGGCAGGCAGTGGTACGGCCCAGGGGGTGCAAGGTTATGGTACGGCCTGAGGGCGTTAATGGTGGTACGGCCTGGGTGGGGGCTGAGGTCATGGTGTAGCCCGGGAGGGCAAGGCAATAATTTGGCCCGGGGGGGGGTTATAATGGACTGGTCCATCATAAGGGTATTCCGGGGCAGAGGATCCTGCTGCCATTCACCCCACTTTTCTCTCCCCCCTCAGCCTATGCTGTGGGTCAGTCCCAGTTCCAGCCCAGCAGTGCCGCCGTCATCAAGAACTCACTGCGCAACAAGCTGGGCTGCCTGAGAGCCCCGTCCCGCCAGCAGGGGGCCAGCAGGGGGCGCCCCGCGGCCTGACACGCTGCATCCTCCCAGCAGGGGGCGCCCCGCGGCCTGACACGCGGCATCCTCCCAGCAGGGGGCGCCCCGCGGCCTGACACGCGGCATCCTCCCAGCAGGGGGCGCCCCGCGGCCTGACACCCGGCATCCTCCCAGCAGGGGGCGCCCCGCGGCCTGACACCCGGCATCCTCCCAGCAGGGGGCGCCCCGCGGCCTGACACCCGGCATCCTCCCAGCAGGGGGCGCCCCGCGGCCTGACACCCGGCATCCTCCCAGCAGGGGGCGCCCCGCGGCCTGACACGCGGCATCCTCCCAGCAGGGGCGCCCGCGGCCACCGGCATCCTCCCAGCAGGGGCCCGCCTGACACCTCATCCTCCCAGCAGGGGCGCCCCGCCTGACACCCGCATCCTCCCAGCAGGGGGCCCGCGGCCTGACACCCGGCATCCTCCCAGCAGGGGGCGCCCCGCGGCCTGACACCCGGCATCCTCCCAGCAGGGGGCGCCCCGCGGCCTGACACCCGGCATCCTCCCAGCAGGGGGCGCCCCGCGGCCTGACACCCGGCATCCTCCCAGCAGGGGGCGCCTGGGAGAGCTGTGAACGGGGAGTGGTTCCCCTGGGGCTCCGGTTCCATCTGATCTTATTTTCTAATCACCAAACTCCATACACAAAGAACTGGAGGACTTGTGGCACCTGAGAGACTAACCAATTTATTTGAGCATGGAGCTTGCGTGAGCTACAGCTAAGTGAGAATACAGACTAACATTCCTGCTACTCTGAAACTCAATACAGAAGCTTTTTTGACACCTCCGAGTCCCTGGCCCTTTGTCTGTGGGAGGGACTCAGGACTCCTGGGCTCTCTCCCTGGCTCGGGGGGGGGGGGGAGTGGGGCCTAGTGGTTAGAGCGGGGGGGAGCTGGGACTCCTGGGTTCTATTCCTCTCTCTATGAAATTTCCTTGTCCAAAAGGGACCCCCAGGGAATGATCTGAAAGCCCTGAGGTAACTGCTCACAAGTGGGGAGGGGACGGACACTGAGCATCTCCACCAAGGCGGATCCAAGCTGTGCGGGGGATAATAGAATAAGAAAACGGTGGGGTGGGGTGAGCCCTGAAACCCAGCCCCCACCCCAAGCAGCATGTGTGGGGTGGGGACAAATATCTTATCGGGGGTTTGTACTCCCCCCCTCCCCTACGCTTCTAGCCAAGGATGGGGTGGGGTCATGAACCCAGGTGTCCAAGCTGGGCCGGCTCTCCTGCCCCAGCCCCCATTTCTCCTCCCCTACCCCACTGGTCACCCCCTCTCCCTTCCCTAGAGTGCCCCCTACCCCCAGTAGTCACCGTACAGAGCTGCAGTGCCTCACTCCCGCCACCAGGGGATGCTCCCCAGAGCCTTCCCTCTCTATGGTCTTTTCCGGCTCTAGGGCTCGTGACTCAGCTGCTCTCTCCACCAACCCGTAGCGCTCTATGGCTCTCCAAGTGCCGGTCGTGTGGGTGAGGACCCCGGCTGGGGCTGCCTCGGGAGGGGCCTGACCAGAAATAGCCCGCCCCGCGGCCGAGCTAGGGCGGAGTGGGGCGCGGGGCGTCCCCGGGGTCTGGGGGTGACCCGGGCAGCGCGGGCCGGGAGGCGGGGAGCAGCTGGCGCGGGGGTCGCTGGGATCAGGCGGCGCCGCGGGCAGCCCGGGGCGGGTCCTGCAGCCGGGGAGCAGCCAGAGGCGGAGACACGTGGGGCCGGGAGCAGCTGCCGGGAGCGCAGGTACCGGGGGGGGGGCTGGTGCCTCCTGGCCCCCCGCCTCCCCAACCACCCCCCACTCTCCTCCTGCCCCCCAGCCCCCCACCTCCCCTTCCTAGCCCCTCCCCTGCCCCACAGCCCCTCCGTCATCCCTGCCCCATAGAACCCCGCCCCCTGCCCCATAGACCCTCCCAGCCCCCCACCTCCCCGTCCTAATCCCCCCAACCACCGCCAGCCCCCCCCACTACCCCTCCCCTGCCCCCCAGCCCTGACACCCCGTGCCCCATGGAGCCTCCCAGCCCCCCACCTCCCCGTCCTAGGTCCCCTCCCCAACCACGCCCCTCCCGTACCCCACAGCCACTCTGTCATCACCCCCGCCCCACAGCACCCAGCCCTGACACCCCCCTGCCCCATAGACCCTCCCAGCCCCCCACCTCCCTGGCCTAACACCCCCTCCCTCCCCAGCCCCTCCTGCCCCCCCCCAATGAACCTGACGGTACCGCTTCCCCCCATCCCCACCTCTCAGTTGCATCCCCCCCCCATCTGCCCCCCTCTGAGCTGCCTGGGGTCCATCCTGTGGTGGGCGGTGATGGGGCTGGGTACCTAGGGCCATTGGCTGGGGCTGGGGGGGTTGCTTGGATCGCCCCTCCCCCAATGAAAGCTCCCTCGGCCCCGCCCCAGGGAGGCGGGTCTGGGCTCTGGGATTGCATCAGCCCCGCGGGTGTCAGAGCCCAGCAACCGGGGCAGGTGGGAGCCGGCGCCCCCTAGAGGGGACAGGCCCCGGTGCCCCATGCCCCGCCCCCCTGAGCCAGCCGGTCCCGGCTCTGGGGCCCGATGGGAGCCGGTGCCCCTGCAGGGCAAGGGCCTCTTGTCTTATCAACTCCGTCTCTCCGTCCCCAGGCCTGTCGTCGGGGTGCCCAGCCTGCGCCATGCCCACCCTGTATCTCTCCCCGCACCCGGACAATTTCCAGAACCACCGGGTGCTGATCGCAGCCCGCTATGCCCCGGCGCTGCCCGAGGTGGTGGAGCTGCCGGAGCAGGGGCTCCCCCCGCAGCCCCCTGCCCCCTGCCCCGTGCCCAAGCTGCCGGCTTTGGAGAGCCGGCTGGGGGTCTGGGTCTCGGGCCCGGCCGCGGTGGCTCATCTCCTGTCCCCGGAGCGGCTGAGGGGGCAGGGGCCGGCGGGGGGCGCTCTGGTGCAGCAGTGGGTGAGCTACGCTGAAGGGGAGATTGCCCCTGCCGCATGCACAGCCGCCTTCTCCGCCCTGGGTCTGGCGGAGCAGAGCAAGCAGGTGAGACCGCCCGGACTCCTGGGTTCTCAGGGAGGGGAGTGGGGTCTAGTGGTTAGGGCAGGGGTAGGAACCAGGACTCTTGGGTTCCTAAGGAGGGGAGTGGGGTCTAGTTATTCGAGTGGAGGGGCAGGGGTAGGAGCCAGAACTCCTGGGTTCTCTCCCCACTCCTAGAAGAGGAGTCGGGGGAAGGGGAGAGGCCTAGAGCGGGGGTGGGCCCTAGGACTCCTGGGTTCCCAGGGCAGGGAGTGGGGTCTAGTGGTTAGAACAGCAGGTTCTGGAGTGGGGTAGGAGCCTGGACTCCTGGGTCCCGTGTGTGTTGCATTACCCTGGCGGGTCTCTCTCTGCCTTCCCAGGTGGTGGAGCGGGCGGTGGCCGAGCTGCGCCGGGCGCTGGCCGTGCTGGACGGGCACCTGAAACTGCGCACGTACCTGGTGGATGAGGCTGTGACGCTGGCAGACGTGACTGTGGCCTGTGCCCTGCTGCTGCCTTACAAATATGTGGGTGCCCCAGCTCCCCTCTGGCCCCGCCCCCCACGACCCACTCTCCCACCTGCTGGGTGGGGGGTGGGTGCGTCAGGGGAAGGGTGGGAAATGGGGTGGGGGGGACTGAGAAGGCAAGATACCCCCACCCTCTCCCCCACACACTGGGGAGCAGGGATTGGGTGGGGCGGCCATTAGGACATCTTGGGGGTGGGGGGGGACTGGAAGGTCAGTTTTGGTTGGGAACCCGTATTGTTTCCACCCCGCCACCCCCGGACCTTTATGGCCAATAATAGTGTTTCCCTTCTTCAATTTCAATAATGGTGTCTTTTTCCCCCCTCAATTCCAGTGATGGTATTGCCTGATATTCCCTTTCCCCCTCAAATTCTGGTAATGGTATCTCTCTCTCTCCCCCCATTCCAGTAATGGTATTGCCTGATGTGGTCTGCCTCCTCCAATTCCAATATTTCCTGATATTGTCACCCTCCCCACTCCAATAATGGTATCTTCCCCCTCCCCCATTCTGATAAGGATTTCTTCTTATTCCTCCACCCTGGAGTAATATTGGTATCTCCTAATTTCCCTCCCCACCCCTGTTTCAATAGTGGTATCTCCCTTGCCCCCCCATACTGATAATGAACCCCCCCCCAATCTTTCATGGTCTTTTCCCAGGTGCTGGACCCCCCCAGCCGGGCTCCTTACCCCAACGTCCTGCGCTGGTTCCTGACTTGCGTCAACCAGCCCCAGTTTCAGGCCGTGCTGGGGCCGGTGAAGCTGTGTGAGCAGGCGCGTGGGGGTGACACCCCCAGACCGAAGACCCAGGGTAAGTGACCCCCCAACACCTGCCCAGAGCACCCCCTTCCAAGCCTCCTCCTCCTGGAATGCCCCTGCTGTGTTGGCTTCACGGTAGCCTGCGGAACTCCCTGCTACTGTATATTACAGAGGGGATACTGGGCTGGATTGACCCAGGGCTCAGATTCATGGTGGCGGGGGTGGGATGCAGGCCTGGATGGGCCTATGGGTCTGATTGGGGGGCAGGACTGGGGTGGGAGTACCAGCCTGGAAGAACCCATTAATCTGATCTGGGGGCTGGGCCCACTGGTGTGATCTGGGTGGCCAGGGATAGGGGAGAATGGGGGGGATACCTGGCTGGCTTGACCCACGGGTCAGATTCATGGTGGCAGGCATAGAATACTGTGCTGTATGGGCTCATGGGTCCAATCCGGCCTGATTTCCCCCCCAGCAGAGCATGTGGGGCCTGCAGAGAAGGGACCAGCAGTGGGGTCAGCCCCTGGCCCTGGGGAGGCCCCGGTCAAGAGCGCCTCTCAGCTGAAGAAAGAGGCGAAGAAGAAAGAGAAGCTGGAGAAATTCCAGCAGAAGAAGGAGAAAAGCCAACAGCAGCAGGGGGAGGTGAGAGAAACGCGGCCAGCTCTGGGGAACGCTGCCTGGGGATGGCCCGCCCGGTACTGAGATGCAGCCAGCTCTGGGGCGGGGCGGCTGGGGAGCAGCCGCGTGGAACACCGCACGAGAGTTTGGGAGGGGGCAGGGGACTGTGTAGCCGTTTTGAAATCACAGGCTAGGTTTTAGCGAGGACACAGTCGAGTCAGCCGAGCTGGGGCCTGGCCAGGACGCCGGGGTTCCCACCCCAACTCTTTGGGGGAGAAGTCGAAGGGTGATGAGCATGCTGGCACCCCATGCTGCCCCCCACCTCGTTCCCTGCAGCACAGCGCCCCTGGTGGCGAAGGGCAGTGTGACGCATCCTTTCTCTTTTCTTTTCTCCTTTTCCCACAATCCTTCCCGCGGGAACCAGAAAAAGGTAAAAG